CTCTTCCCATCTCTGCTTTTTCATCTGTCCATGTTGTCGGAAGTTTGACTTCTAAACTTCCACAACTGCAGCTGCAACTACAACTACCACTACCACTACTTTACACTACACTACAGTACAGTACGCTACACTACACTACACTACGTTAAGCTACGCTACACTACACTACACGACACTAGTTACACTACACTACACTATACTACACTAATTACACTACACTACGCTAATTACACTACACTACAGCTACACTACACTACCTTACACTAGACTACACTACAGTAATTACACTGCGGCACGCTGCAGCTACAAATGCAACTACAACTACATCCACACTACATTACACAAGTCTACACTACACTGATTAGATTGCATATCGCTACAACTACAATTGCAGCTGCAACAACAACAACAACAACAACAACAATAAACAAAACACAAACAAACAAACAAACAAACAAACAGACAGACAAACAAACAAACAAACAACAACTACTACTCCTACTACTACTACTACTACCACTACCACTACCACTACCACTACTACTACTACTACCACTACTACCACTACTACTACTACAACAACAACAACAACTACTACTACTACTACCACGACATTACACTACACTACACTACAGTTCGCTACCCTACACTACACTACACTAAGTACACTGCACTACACGACAACTACAACTACACTACGTTATACACTAGACTACACTACACGACACAACACTACACGGCATTTCACTGCACTACACTACTCTAATTACACCACACCACGGCTACAACTGCAACTGCGCTTGCAGCAACACTAATTACACTACATGACAACTACAGCTCCACTACACTACAACTCCACTAAACTAACTATAACTACAACTACACCTACAACTGCGCTGCACCACACTACATCCAGCAGTTGTGGTGAGGTGACCACTGCAACCATTAAACAAATCAAAAAAACACAGCTCCAACCACCTGTCGGTCCATCAGTGGATTCGCTCTGGCATCCGTGACTCACAACAATCAACCTCTCCTATAGGTTTCCTATTTTTGAAACTTCCGCCGCCGTCTTGTGCGGTACTACTGGTACTCCAAAACTGGGTACTCCAAAATTGGGTACTCCAAAATTGAGTTTGAAATAGTTGGCAGCAAAACAAGAAGTGTATATTTCTACAAGTAGTACCCGCACGAGGCGGGGCGGGAGTTGCCTTAGGGATTTACTATAAAAACCTTTCTCATCTATAGAACTTGCATGCGCGGTGCACCAGCCAGGCCCGTGTGCGCGTACTTTGTGCGGAGCTGTTGCAGTGTTGTTGTCCATGTTCTGCGCGCGACCCCGGCGCAGTGCAACGCCAAGGGAAGACTTTCCTCACACTTCACACTTGCATTTCACACTTGCACTTCGCACTCGACACTTCATCTCATCTCAAATCATGTGAGCTCTTCTCACCTCGTCTCAGCTCTTCTCATCTCATCCCATCTCTTCTCATGTCATCTAAGTAAGTTCTTCTCAACTGTTTTCATCTCATCCGAGCACTGATCAACCTTTCTCGTCTCCTTTGAAGTTGGTCTCAACTCATTTTAGCTGGTTCTGCATGCCAGAAAGCTCTTACTGTCAGAGAGAAGTCTCTTGCACAAAAAACCACTGGGCGCAAAAAGTTTTTGCACATAGACACTTGCGTCACAGATGCATTTACATACAAAAGCCTTTCCGAAATACTTTGTACTACAAAGCTTGCACGAAGCACTTCCCAGTACTACTTTGTACTACAAAGCTTCAACAAGGCACTTCCCAGTACTACTTTGTTTGTACTACAAAGCTTGCACAAAGCACGTCCAAGTATTACTTTGTACTGCAAAGCTTGCACAAAGCACGTCCCGGTACTACTTTGTACTACAAAGCTTGCACAAACTACTTCCCAATACAACTGCGCACTACAACGCTTGCACAAAGCACTTCCAAGTACTACTTTGTACTACAAGACTTGCAAAAAGTACTTCCCAGTACTACTTTGTGATACAAAGCTTGCACAAAGCACTTCCAGGACTACTTTGTTTGTACTACAAAGCTTGCACAAAGCACTTCCCAGTATTACTTTGTACTGCAAAGCTTGCACAAAGCACTTCCCAGTACACTTTGTATTGCAAAGCTTACACAAAGCACTTCCCAGTACTACTTTGTACTACAAAGCTTGCACAAGGCACTTCCCAGTACTACTGTGCACTACTACGCTTACAAAAAATACTTCCCAGTACTACTGTGTTTTACAAAGCTTGCACAAACTACCTCCAAGTACTACTGTGTACTGCAACGCTTGCAAAAAGTATTTCCCAGAACTACTATGTACTACAAAGCTTGCACAAAGCAGGTTCCAGTACTGAACAAAGCTTGCACAAAGCACTTCCCAGTACTACTTTGTACTACAAAGCTTGGACAAAGCACTTCCCAGTACTACTTTGTTTGTACTACAAAGCTTGCACAAACTACTTCCCAGTACTACTGAAGTTACTCTACTACTGTGTACCACAAAGCTTGCAAAAAGCACTTCCCAGTACTACATTGTACTACAATGCTTGCACAAAGCACTTCCCAGTACTACTTTGTACTACAACGCTTGCACAAAATCCTTCCCAGCACCACTTTGTACTACAAAGCTTGCACAAACTACTTCCCAGTACTACTTTGTACTACAAAGCTTGCACAAAGCACTTCCCACTACTGCTTTGTACTACAAAGCTTTCACAAAGCACTTCCCAGTACTACTTCCTACTGCAAAGCTTGCGCAAAGCACTTCCCTGTACTACTTTGTTTTACAAAGTTTGCACAAACTACTTCCAAGTACTACTGTGTACTGCAACGCTTGCAAAAAGTATTTCCCAGTACCACTATGTACTACAAAGCTTGCACAAAGCAGGTTCCAGTACTGAACAAAGCTTGCACAAAGCACTTCCCAGTACTACTTTGTACTACAAAGCTTGGACAAAGCACTTCCCAGTACTACTTTGTTTGTACTACAAAGCTTGCACAAAGCACGTCCCAGTATTACTTTGTACTGCAAAGCTTGCACAAAGCACTTCCCGGTACTACTTTGTTTTACAAAGCTTGCACAAACTACTTCCCAGTACTACTGTGTACTACAAAGCTTGCACAAAGCACGTTCCAGCACTGAACAAAGCTTGCACAAAGCACTTCCCACTACTACTTTGCGCTACAAAGCTTGCACAAAAGTCCTTCTTTGTACTACTTTGTTCTACACAACTTGCACAAAAAACTTCCCAGTACTACTGAAGCTACTACTTTGTACTACAAAGCTTGCGCGAAGTACTTCCCAGTACTACTTTGTACTACAAAGCTTGCACACAGACAACTTTTATACACAGCAGGTTCTTTCGCAGAGAAGCCTTTACACAGAAAATCTTTCAGACACAGAAAACCTTTACACACCTCAAGTTTTACACGCAGGAAACTTTTACACACAGCAGGCTCTTACACAAAATCTTTTACACACTACTTTGTTATACAAAGCTTGCACAAAGAAAGCTTTTACACACAGCAAATTCTTTCGCAGAGAATCGTTTGCACACAGCAAGCTTTTTAAACAGAGAAGCTTTTATACACAGAAGCTTTTACACACAGCAAGCTTTTACATAGAGAAGCTTACCACAGCAAGCTTCACACACAGCAAGCGTTTACACAACAATACATTTACACAGACTTACACAATTTGCTTTTGCACATGGGCAAGCGTTTACACACACACAGAAATTTTACACGAGAAGGTTTCATAAGTCACATAAAGAACTTCTACACACAGCAAGCTTTTACACACAAAAATCTTTCACACACACAGGCAAGATTTTACAGAAGAAAGGTTTTTACACAGAAGAAGCTTTCTGTACACAATCACAACAGGAATTTGCAGCTCCAAAGCCGAAATCTCGGCGCCAAAGCGAAAAAAAAGACGATTTTGAAGCACTTTTAATCACAGATGCTCAAACCCCCCCCCCTTGAACCCCCCCCTAGCAAGAAGTTCCCAATAAGCTCACTGCACAAATAATGTCTCTTTCCTTTTCGCGCTTCTGCTCAGCAGTCTTGCGACGAAACTGGGCTCCCAAATTCAGATTCCGGCACTGTCTTGGCTTCGCCAAGTGATTGGCACACCGTTATAAACAGTTGAAAAATGAAAAAGATAAACTGACAAACTCAAAAAAATGGTATTTTGAATGATGCAGGAATCTTTTGAAAGACTCAGACCTTGGTTTGCGGAGTTTCTGGATCCCAAGTTTCAGGTTCCAGCGCAGAATTATGTGACACTTGTCAGTAATTCCGGATTGTCGGTTCTTGTTAGCTTGAAAAAACAACTCACATAGTTACATATCATTGAGATGACAGCGGAGACTTTGGGATATTTGTGTGACAAAACATTGGTATATATTAAAGTGAAACTTCCCAGCCACGCTGAATGAAGAGACTCGGCATGGCGGATCTCACTTGGAGTTGCTGGCCACAAAGTCTTGGGCATCTTTCAAAGAGGGCCTTTGGGCAGCATTTAGCGGTCGGAGGGTTTGACCTTGAAGGAATCTTGACTTTGACTGTGTAAAAATAATGACCAAAAAAGTAGAAAACCAATGGGAATATTTGTCACCACTGCAAAAATTGAGATAAGACAAGTGGAGTTTTTCCAAACTTATTTCATTGATAAAGGGCATTATTGGGATTAGTAATGAATGACAACCAAATTTTCCTTGGACATGAGGAAATAATCTATATCAACGACAATAAACAAAATCATCCTACCGTGGATGGAAGAAATCCTGCACCAGTTAAATAATAAGCGGTTTATCCGATTATGTATGTATTAGGCTTTCTACCATCCCGGGCAGTGCAGGATTTCTTCCATCCACGTCTTGTTTTGGTGATTAGACTTTCTTGGGGCTTCCAGATCGTTAAATTTAAATGCCCATTGAAAATAACTTTGGTGGGATGTGTCCTTGTACTATGTAATGCCCAACATCACAGAAAACAGCAACTCCCCGCATAAGCCAAGCAGCAGGTTCACTCTGGACTTGTGGTCCGCGTTCCATCGTGCATAAATAAATCCCAGGACAGTAAGCAAAGCATCTTCTTCGCGGGGGTTTGCCGATGTACCCCATTTTCTCTGAAAATTCTTTTGCAGACCTGGTGCAGAACGACTGTAAGTTGCACGGTAACCATAGGATCCCGGTTCCCGATTCAAAGTAATACCATCATCCTGCATAGCCTGGGTGAGAAAATCCTTCAAAGCTTTTGGTGTAGTGCTTGGTTTGCGGGTTCCACTGCCAGAAGAAGCTGCCGCAGATGGCTTTGCACGCTCTCTTTCAGAAGCTTCAAGGGCTGCTTTTTCTATCTTAGCCCTCTCCTTCTGTCTCTCTTCTTCAATTCGCTGCTTCTCCTCTTCCTCCTCTTTTTTCCTGGCCTCTTCTTCCTCGCGAATCTCTGCGAACACTTGTGCTCGCGCTTTTGTCTCTGTTTTCTCTGTAGATTGCTGCTTTGCAAGTTTTGCGATCTTTTTGAACTCAGGGCAATTTCTATTCTCCTCGTCCAATTCGGACACCATGTCAAGAATTTTGGTTTCATCATCGGACAGGTTTTTGGTTGACCGATGCGTGATGCCGGCAATCATTCTTTTGATCTCAGCTTCATCTTCTTCACCGGGGAAAAGATGCTGAACCAACATTCTTGCCCAGTCTACTTTCAATATGCTTTTGCTACCATTGGCCAAGCGTTTTCCGGATCCTCTGGTAGGTTTGTTCAGACCCAATGCAGCAAACAAAGATTGAAGGTTTGCCAAAGAGATCCAACAACCAGAGCGAACTGCAGACTCTAGCAGAGGCTGCCCGCCAGGATCCATGATGTGAAAAGCAAAGCATGTACCCAGATTCAAGATGGGCTCAGGCAACAACCCACGAACCAGAAGCCGAACTGGAAGGAACACCCAGTCTGATTCAAATACTTTCCAATTCATCATCCAAACAAGTGTTTGGGCTGGAATATCTCTCACCTCTTTCTCCAAGATCAGAAACTCCTGGAAGAAAGCAAGAACGGGAGAAGAACTGGAGAAACATGATTCTATTGTTTTAGCAGTGTAGAATATATCATTATATAATTGTACAACATATCCTCTCTTATAAAGGACCCCAAAATTTCAGAATCCAAAACCCTTTGATTGCCTTCTGGGGGAACATGTTTAATGACCAGATTTGCAGTCCAACCTCTTTCAGCACATAAAGAACATTGCTTCAGAGATATTCAAGGAACATATAGTTTTAGATGAGTATATATATATATACCTATGACATATGAATATATAAATAAAAATGTGTGTGTGTGTTTTTTTGGTAGGTGTTTATATATACACATAAATATGAAATATATCAGGTGCATTGTAGCTGTCAGGTGCATGTAGCAGTAGTCCTCGTCTTCAATCCTGATCCGTTTCAGATTGATTCAATGGGAAGCCAGCAGTGGTCCACTTCCGGTTCCCCAAGCAAAGCGTGCACACATCGAGACTTGCATTGAAGTAGACCTTTCCGGGAACGAAGAGACTACCTCAGCTCGAAAACATAAACAAGCGGTACTGCAAACTGCAAGTCGGCAAAAAAAAGCTGGAGATTAAAAATGTAACAGCCACATCCATGATGTTGAGCTAACTTGCACTTTCTTTTTTTCAAAGATGTCCGTCAGTCAATGTCTTTTGGCAACTTTCACACTGTCTTTTGCCAAGAAGCCGATCCAACAATCGTCCACATGACTGAAGTTGTTTGCAGCATCAGCGACCAAATAAGCAGCTGCTGCTGCAGACCGCTGTTGTGCCTGAACCCCAGAACTCCTCCATTTGGATTCATAAATCTCACTTGCAGATTGCAATGTTGGCTTCCTGCCTGAAGGGAAAAGTGATCTCTGCGGACTGAATAGATGGTGATTCAACCAGTCTCTCATTTCTTGTCCTTGGGGTGAAAGCATCGTAGTGAAATCCTGAGCACTGGGAAGTACTTGGGGTGCCCCGCCGCTTTCAGAGTAAGGTGAAATAATGGCATATGTGTACTTGCAAGCATCAGACATCTTGGCGTTCGTGCTGTGGGTTGCCGCCTTGCGGTGTAAAAAAGCAAAGCAATTCTCCAGTGTGTCCTTGGTGGACGGTGAGCCAACAAACAGTCTGGAGCTGAGTTTTCGAAGCTTCACATCAGACAGTGCAAACTCACATTGGAGAAGAAGGGCCATAGCCTCTCGTGGCAGTTGTTGTTTCTGCCAGCCCAAATCAGCAAGAACCTCTGCCCACTCCTTTTGTCTTGACTGATGAGCCTCTGCTGCCAAAACTGCCTCGACTATCGTTTTCATTTGCTGCATTCCAGCTTTTCGCACACCCCGCTCGGAGTGTAACAGTGTGGCCAGCAATTCAGGTATGCTCCACCAGTAGCGAGCATTGCTCCACAGAACGTTTTCTGCCAAGCATTCAGCAAAGTCAAATGCCAGTTCCAGCAACTCCATCTCACCCTGTGCCCACTCAGGCACACCCTCCTCCAAAGCCACTGGCTTTAGCGGTTTTGTGAAATGAAGCCTGTCTTGGAAAACGGACGTTTCCAACACACCCAATATGCCACTGACTACTTGGTACCAACTGCCCGAGGCTCTTGTGCTCACCCACCTAGATTGTTCATTCCACCCTTTGCTCAAAGCTTCGAGGGTCTCATAGTAGGACATTTCCAGTGGACTTGTAATTTCAACGAAAATACGCGCAATGCTTTGCAGCTTGCGGTCTTCCATAAACCCCAGTACCATTGCAGTTGGTCCATTCTTCCCGAAGATGGCATAGAGTTCACTCTTGGTGCGAGGCTCCTGCCTTTCCACATCACCATCAAACTCCTCTTCCTCCCTGTCCCGATCCCTCTCAACATGAAGATCTTCGCACTGATCGTTCTCCTCAGAAGCTTTTTGTTTTCGATAAAACCCCAAAAATGCATATTTAGAAAAAAATGTGTTGCTTAAGCTTTAAATGATCCCCTGTGTAATTCTTCACGGCAGCAGTTTTCTCCTAGACAATATATCGGCGAAACTCAACCATGTGCACAATCAAAACAGCGACAATCACAGAGAAGACGCGGTTCAGATGAAACTTGCAGTTGTTGATGAAAACGTGCACAGGTGTCAAGGAATGAAGAAGGAAAGGAGTGGGTGGGATGTTGTGTCATCATCTAGAGACCCTCACCTGCCTTTAAGTTAAACATAATCAGACCAAGGTTCCACTCGTTGATTGAGCGCTCTCAAAGCCTCCAGCTGAATTGTCCAATCAGCAATCAGATCTCTGAGTGCAGCGTGAAAGCCAAACCAAGCCTTTGTTTTCACCTCAAGCTGAAAAACCATGGGAGCGGGCAATCGTTCAATTCCAGTTTCAAACAATTCGGGGAAGAAAAATGTATATTATACCGGTTCCAAATACTGACAAGTAGCGTAGAGCCCTCTGTTTCTCAGAGCTTTGCTGGACATCCACTCAGACATGCATTCGGCAGGGTGGTGATCAGGGTCAAAGGCTTCATTACGGTCGTGAGCCACCAACTCAGCAAATTCCTCAAAGTAGTCAGAGCCTTTTGTGCTCAGGTAGACTTCAAAGCTGTCGCGTTTTGCCTCAAGACGATCCCCGCTCTTCCAAGCACCGTGGTCGAAGTTACCTGAGAATTGCATAAGGCAACAGCGTTTCTTGGACTCAATTGCAGGGACAAAATGGGATGATTTGTTTGGTTGATTTTGGAAATCATTGCTGGGGCCCACCCAAAACAAATCAAACCACTGCTCATTCAAGATGCAGCACAAGGTGAGCTTCATCATCGCTATGGTCAGTCTTGAACGAGAAACAGCTTTTTTGAAAGCGTTCCAAGAAGGATGAGAAACCTCGCTTTCAGCGAGGCCCCTCACGTGTAGTCGTTCGAATGCGTAATGAAACGCCTTGTGTTGAACACCTTCATCGTCCCCAACCTTAGCAGAGAGAAAGAACGGGGTAAGCCCTTGCTGCTTGTGGACAAAGGTAATGAAAAAACTTCAGCCCCGCTAGCTCAAGCTGTTCAAAAGTTATTTGTCTGTCTTTTTGGGGGGTTGTTTTTGTGGCTTTGGAGGCCATGGGAAATGAGTAAGTATATGGGTGGCTTTATAAAGCTGTTTTCTTCCGTCAGTATGAAACCATGGTATAACACCACCCGCTTTCTTCATGTTTTACTGACACTTGCAGAAAGTCGCGAGCAATGGACTTGTCTAACCCCAAAATTGAAATAAGTAACCAGCTTCGGGAGCGCTGGTGCGGACGTGTGGCTCAATAATAAGAGCTGCATATCGCTTCTGAAAACAAAATGGGTGGTTTTAAGTTTTGATCAGCTTCGGTGTCCATGGCAGAGCCTGTAACGTTTGGTTGCTTGAAAACTCAATTTGCCACTGGAAGGATTCTTCAGCCAAGCGTATATGATTTTGGTGAGGACGCGTCACGCGAGTCCCAATGTGCTTGAATAAAAACAGTATCAATCATTCTAGATCTTGGTTGGTAACAGCAGCTCTAAACCAAAGGATTTGGCTTCAAGCTCAAAGCCAAAGGAACCATTTTTAAGATCATCATGTCCTCAACTGGGGTGATCTTGGCAGTTCGAAGATCAACGCCCGGTTTCAAAACGGATTCTTCAGGCACGGCAAACGCTGCTAAGTCGTTGCCCGTCATGATATTCAGCATGTGGTTGATGGTTTTCAAAACCACCTAAGAAAAAGAGACGGATTCAATAACGAAGGCCCATGTCCACTGACCGAATGCCGTTCCTAACAGCTCTAAGAACTAAGAACAAAGGTTTTTCCCCGCTAATTCATGGTGACAGCTGGCCGAGAAGCAAAGTAAAGGTTCGAATCCTTCTTGCTTAAACGCGGCCTTGGCTTCAATCAGAGTGTTGTGCTGCCCAAAGGTTTTGCAATTTTTGATTTGGTGTCAAGCACTGTTCAACCGAGATTCCTCCAAGCGGAACTGCCATCCAGTTGCTCAGCAAAGACCTTTTTGAGAACCTTGGCGCGCTGATCTAATCGGGAATATCTGGCTGAGATGCTGAGATGCTGATCATGCTTGGAGCAGTTTGATGTGCAAACGGCCCGGATTTTTTTCGATGCCCGAGTTGTGCCATGCGACAAGCCAGCCAATCTTTCAAGAAGTATCGGCCATGACCAACTAGCTGCCATGATGATTCTGCATCAACTACTCATAGTTGAACTGTGGCAAACCAAAATGATTTGCAAACATTCAGAACTGATTGGTTCTTCCTCAAAGAATCTAATCTACTCACAAAAAAGTTTTACCCGCTTACTTTGCACTGCGCACTCAGGAGATGATCGAATGCTTGCAGGGGAAAGCGCAATAGTGGAAACTGTATCAATGTCGCGGCCACGAGGATGAGGAGCGGGAGGATCTGGCGGCGAGGCCAACATTTCCTGGAGCACAGATCAGATGACTAGGCCGACATATCAAATCAAACCGACATATCAGAGTTCATATATTTATATAAAGATCATAAAAATCAATATATATATATATATATTATACGTATCCTATTCAAACCCATGGTTCCCCAATTCCCTTGAAAGCTTCGGGAATGGGTTTGTCAAGGCCCGCACATTCGCTGGGAAGATTGTTATAATGATAGGTGATAAGATCAAACTTGTATACCGAATTTATCATTTATGGCATTTGATGTTGTTTGATAAATCAAATCCCACTATAACATACAATAATGGCCCATGAAATATCCTATTTCAACATATAACAGATGTTTGTGGGACTTCCTGCAACGCTATGTGGAGGATTTGATAGCGGAGAAACACCCTAATTTGGGACAAGAGAACCCCAAGAAAAAACAATGGACATGGATGACAGCCATTGTCACCTTTGAAAGTCTATTGATTTGTTTCGATCAATTTGTTTTGATCAATCTCTGCTCCCTGCCTGCCTGGGAGCAACGCTTGTGACGAACTGGGGCGGGTGGAGTTGTCACACATGTCTTCGAATCTTCTGGAGTCTTCATCATGAGATTCAAATGATTCTTCAGGGCCTGGGATGTCAAGAGTAATTTCTGCTCACTTGATGGTGGCGTCCCCACAGCCTCCACGCCACTGCTGACGGTTTCGTTGCCCTTAGACTTCAAAAGACCAAGTTCAACTGGGCTATCTCGCCCCATCCTGACACGACCAGTCTTCTCAGAACATGGCGTGTTGTTTGGTGTGACCCAGATTTTTTTTTCCTGGGAGGGGTGATCAGCGACATGTTTGCAAACGCGCTCTGCACTGAATCAGAAACCGATGGGCTTCCAGCATTTTTGCCAGGAGACACACTTTCCTTCGTCAAAGCTGGTGATGTAACTCGCGAGAGCAGAGCAGGCGAGGAAACCGAGCTGGGCGAAGTGGCATCACGGTATGTGCCCAAGACTTTGGAAGTTTGATCGGAACCATTTGCAGTCATCCGCGAAGCTGCACTGAATCGCACACGAAGTAGCTCCAACCGATGTTTAAAGCAGGCGCGAGCCAGAAATGCTGAACACCAAATTCACATACTTGTGTCGGACTCTGCAACGAAACAACATGTGTGAAAACCAAAGCATGTGCATGGGCCAAAAACCCCATGATGATCCATGATGACACCAGCTGTTTTAGTTTGAACAGCTCTGGAGAATGATGTGCTCGCAAAACTACTTAATTACATAAATTGCTGGTTCCGTACATGGTTGCATCGATTTTTTCCGGCATCCGCCTGGTCTTGAAATTGGATTTACTGCCCCATGTCAGTGTGCAGTACTGTACTGAGTCGCCATGCTGGGCCCCCAGTCAGCTCTAGACAGGATGCAATATTCATTGTCTAAAATGTGCTCTCCCCATTTGGAAATTTGAAATATATAATCAATAAAAGATTCAACTCATTTGATCCGGGAGCCGAGCAGGAAAATGTATCTTTGCATGGCAAGGGGTTGCTCCCAGAAAACTCTTCTGATTTGAAATTAACTTTTTTTGCTAATGGCTTTGAACATGTGCCATACACTGCAAGCTCACCCCTGACGAAGGCCGCCCTGAACAAAGAGTTCGCTGGCGCGGCTATTTCAACTTGGGTTTGGCAAGGAGCCACTTTGCCACTCAAACGGGAACCGTTTTCCTGAAATTTGATATATCCTCCCAGCACCATTACTGAAAATTTATGTATGGAAAGCTGCAAAACGGAATCTAATCTCTAAGCGAATCATCAATCACTTAAAGACTAGGCGTCCTTTCTTCTTGGCTGGTTTGGATTCTGATTCGATCTCTCTGTCTAACAGCTCCTCCAAATCAGGGCCTGGGCCGTCTACCTGCGCCCATGCTGGATGTGGCATACCGGAAATAAAATATGAGTTCATAGCTTCCCCAAGTTACTCCTTAGAACTTCTCAACCAAATCTTTGCATGGTTCACCCCTTGACTACCATTTTGTTGATTGTATATATATATATATATTTGTTTATTGATATTTTTCAAACGCTAACCCCCTACTACATCACATCCCAATGCCCAACGCTTAGTGGTTTCCAATGCAGAAATCCCCTTATTCTATGTACGAATCCCCACGTAACTATCAGAACAAATATCATCCCAATCAAAAATCAAGATCTTGATTCTTGGGTAGCCAATTCCATTAGGCAAAGAACAGAATGAAATATCAGGAAACTATGTTTGAAAAATAAAATTTGGGTAACACCGCTCGGGAGGATGTGGCACGGCGGCGCGGTGAATTCCTTGGCCATTGGAACAGGACCGATTTTTTGAGCCTTGACATGTTTCCATATTGTAACTAATTACTGGGGATGCCGGAACAAGGATTTCCCCTTCAATTTTCCACCCCCTAAAATCACCCGCGACAACGCCCAAAAACCACAAAAACGGGAACCTGCCAAAACAAATATACGGAGCCGACAAAAAAGCTCAGGAACAGCAGCCGGGCCAACCCCCCGCTTCCCACCCGCAAGCACCGACTCAAAACAACGAGCCCCACCGCACACCCACCAAAACTGCAGAACCCCGACGCGGTAAATTTCCATGTAAAAAATAGTTCCCAATAAGCCCCAAACCCGCAAATCCACCAAAAATGGAAATTTTGCAGTGGAATGTGGGTCGACCTCCATTTTACCTGTAAATTTCCATGTAAAACAACCCCCCCCCTAGCAAATAGTTCCCAATAAGCCCCAAACCCCCAAATCCACCAAAAATGGAAATTTTGCAGTGGAATGTGGGTCGGCCTCCATTTTACCTGTAAATTTCCATGTAAAACAACCCCCCCCCCTAGCAAATAGTTCCCAATAAGCCCCAAACCCCCAAATCCACCAAAAATGGAAATTTTGCAGTGGAATGTGGGTCGACCTCCATTTTACCTGTAAATTTCCATGTAAAACAACCCCCCCCCCCGGCAAATAGTTCCCAATAAGCCCCAAACCCCCAAATCCACCAAAAATGGAAATTTTGCATGGGTCGACCTCCTTTTACCTGTAAATTTCCATGTAAAACAACCCCCCCCCTAGCAAATAGTTCCCAATAAGCCCCAAACCCCCAAATCCACCAAAAATGGAAATTTTGCAGTGGAATGTGGGTCGACCTCCATTTTACCTGTAAATTTCATGTAAAACAACCCCCCCCCTAGCAAATAGTTCCCAATAAGCCCCAAACCCGCAAATCCACCAAAAATGGAAATTTTGCAGTGGAATGTGGGTCGACCTCCATTTTACCTGTAAATTTCCATGTAAAACAACCCCCCCCCTAGCAAATAGTTCCCAATAAGCCCCAAACCCCCAAATCCACCAAAAATGGAAATTTTGTAGTGGAATGTGGGTCGACCTCCATTTTACCTGTAAATTTCCATGTAAAACAACCCCCCCCTAGCAAATAGTTCCCAATAAGCACCAAACCCGCAAATCCACCAAAAATGGAAATTTTGCAGTGGAATGTGGGTCGACCTCCATTTTACCTGTAAATTTCCATGTAAAACAACCCCCCCCTAGCAAATAGTTCCCAATAAGACCCAAATGTTTAAATTCAACAACATTGGGACAATTTTGAAATGGGATGTAAAAGTAATTACTGATCAACCGGCTGCCACACCAGGCCCTGATGACAGGAAATTATTCCACTCAGACTCGGTCAGGTCAAGTCATCTTCGTTTACCACATCGAGTTCAGGATTGGTAGGTAGCGAAGGTGTCAACAGCAAGCTCTGGTGAATTCCCTTCTTTGCCTTCTTCTTGGAATCAGCCTTCGCTGGTGGATCGTTCTCTTCTTCTTTATCTTTCAAGTCCTTGGAAGTGCGGGGCTGGATTTGACCCGGCATGATGGCATGTACGGATTTTTTTGTGAACTACCCTTCCCCGCAATCAAACCTCGATATTGCATTTTTTTGTGTGTTCATCACCATTTCAAGTAACAATCAAATATACACAATGATGTATTGGAGTACGAACTAATCTACTCGAACCAGAACTGATTTAAACAAGAGTCCTGGGCAATCTTTTTAATCTCTTGCATCCTTTTGTCGTCTTCATCGCTTTCATTGCCTGCGCCGGCGCCCATGCTTTTGTTCTCATCCTCTGGCCCTTCCGTGAGTTTCGAATTCGAATTGACAGTCGTTGGGGAATCAGCTTCTGCTGCTTCGGCGTCTCTTGCGTCTTCTTCGATCATTTCATCCGAAAGCTTTTCCAATTCCTGCTGCATTTGCGCGATTTGCTCCTCAGAAGGAGCCTTTGCCTGCTGTTCCAACAACTGGGCATTCTCCCTCTCTAACTCCCTTTGCATCTCATCAAATTTCATCCGAGCTGCTTTCAAATCTTCTTCCTCCTGTTTCTTTGCAATTTCTGCCCGTTGTTCCTCCTCTTGCTGCTCTTTCTTTTTTGCTTCCCTCTCGGACTCTGCTCTCTTCTTATCTTCCTGTGCCTTCTTCTCATTGGCCAACGCTTCTGCCTCTGACCTCTTCCTCTCTTCATCCGCCTTCTTCAGAACCAACTCCCGTGCTTCTGATTCTGCCTGGGCCTGTTTGGCCAATTCTTCTGATTTCTTCTTCTCTGCCGCTTGCTTGGCTTTTTCAAGTGCTTCTGCTTCTGCTTTCTTGTCCTGTTCCATTTGCAACCTCCTCTGCTTTCTTTCTTGCAGAAGTCTAGCAAGCTCCTCTGTCCTGCTCTGGAGATCTTTCTTCTCCTGCTTTGCCTTCTCGGCCTGAGCAGCGATTTCCAGTTTGCGTTTTTTTGCTTCTCTCTGGTCAAAAATTTCTTGAGCCTTCCTATGTCGCTCTTTCTCCTTTGCTTCTTCTGCTGCACGTGCTTCATCGCTGCCCTTTGCACTGTGCTCATCCTCCTGCTGACGAACTTGTTGTAAGCGAGTAGAATCAATATCTTTTGCCTTGCGGCCTGCCAAAACCACTGTGGGGTCGCGGTTGGGCACACCTGTCTTGTTGGATTTCAAGATCAAGTTGCCAAATCCGTCCTTTGAGATGGACCAAGAGTCACTCCCGTTGTTCTCCGCACCGGGAAGCTTCAGCTCACGAAGGTTCACAGGGTCCACTAGGAACTGTGTGAGTTTTTTGCCCTTGTCCTTTTCCACGTAAATGAAAAGGGCTTTGTCTTCCTCGAGGCACTTGTCTTTCGGTTCACTCTCCTGTCCGGTTCGTCTTTCCGTCCAGGGAAGTGGATTCAAGATGGTTTTTCACAAATTAGGATTTTCAATACGTTGTAATTTGTGAATTATTGTATTACCCGCGTCATTAGAGAATGCGCACAAGAACACTATTCTTTCCTGGTTTTCGAAATGGAAATGTATTAATAATGGTTTTCCCTTAGGCTTTGATTCAACAACAATTTTCGTTCCATGCTACGGCTGTGGAATAAGAACACACTCCTTGTCTTCGTCGCTCTCACTCCCTCCGAAAGAATCGTCCATGTCCCCCTCGCTGCACATTGAACGAAGGCTCTGAGGTCGATCGAGCACAACACCTGGACCTGCGGCAGCCATGAAATAGAAGCTGTGAAAACCAACGTTGAACTGAGAAAGTGGGCAACTACAGGAATACGAAATTCAAAGTTTGAAGACCCTCAACCCCATTTGAAAGACCATTTGTTTCCATTTGTTTAATCTTTAAATCTGAATCGTTTTGAAGACCCCATTTGATAAAATCACCAAAAACTTGGGAGAATTGCCGTTTACTTCCATGCGCCTGATGTAGGTGCTGTTGTGGATCTTTGGGAAGAACGAACTGATTTGGCTCCACGGTGTCCATCCTCATCTTTCTTCTTTCTCTTCGCGTCTTTACCTTTCCCCACTGCGGCTTCCGCTGCGTTGATCTGGTTGTACAGTTCGTAGCACGCAATTGGGGAGAATTCCCGCAAATACTTTTTCCCTTGCCAAATGAACCTGAAAGGTTGGCAAGGAAGAAAAATAGACAATCCGGGGGTTCCTACATTCTTCAAAAACAATACGTTTCAGTGAACTTTGGGGTAGATTGCATATAATCGTCCAATAAACAAACAGGTAAAACCAGTTCAGAAAGATCACATGTTTGAATCAGTGGGTCTTTTAGTTGGACAGCCAGAAAATGCCAGGGAACTGTTCTTCAGACTCAGCATCCGAGAAAATAACCCAGTTTGCCTGTGACTCAGGAGGTCCAATATCAACTTTCTTGTTTGTCTTCTTGTGGGCCAAAATGTGCGTCTTTTTGCCTTTGACGTTTTCAGTCAGAACTGCCCATCCGTTGGCTGGAAGTGCCTCTTCCTCATCATTCTCCTCCTTGTCGCTCTCCATGTCAGGCTCCTCTGACTCTTCGTCACGATTCGACTCTTAATGTTTGAGAACCCAATCTGGTAGTGGGGGCGGTTGTTTCTTCTCGCTTTTCTCGGGTAGTTCATAGTCATAGGTCCCCAGATCGTCCCCTGGTGCTGATGTGGCAATCTTGGCCCGCATGAACCGACACATGGTCGCGACTTTCCATCCCACTGCCTGCATTGGAGATCCCCGGCGTAGGTATTCTGACTTCACAGCAGACAGCATCTTCTCTTTTTTCCTCCTTGGTTCGTAATCAGGCAAGTTTCCAGAAACGGTGGGTCTAGATTGTTTTCAGCCAGCGGCCAACCGAGTTCTGGCCCCCAAAAACGATCAACAGAAAATTGTTTGTCTTGTTTGTGGAATCCAGGAAATGAATGTTAATTTTCTCAAAGCTTTTGAAATACTAGACCTTTTCCACATCCTCAGCACATCACGGAATTGTTCATATGGGTTGGCCGCCCAAATCAATTCAATCAAAATGTTTAAGATTAAACTTAACTGACTTGACTTCGGGGATTCCTGTGTTATATTTGGGGCCGGGAATTCAACCCTGGAATGATTTGAAATTTTGGTCCGGATTTAGAAAAATTGTGTCATCCTTAGATTGTAAACGAGGCTCTGGCAGGGCTCATCGCCAGGGGAAAATCCCAAGCAGAATCCAAGTGCCAGGAACAACTCTTCGCGGCTCATCTTTTTGACAATCGAAGAGTTGAAGGTGGTCTCGTCCATGTGCTCAAGCCACTGTCGGAAATGGTCGTTCTTAGTTGTGGATGTTGAAAAATAAAGAAAAGTCAAGTGCTGAAAACCAAATGGACTGAAAATACGACTTCTCCAAAAATGTTGGTATTATACTGATTGTGTTTGATTGAAACCGTTTCTGTGGTAGCAACTTAGCCCTTCACCGGCATGTCATTCAAGCACGCATGCTTGTAGTACTCTGAGTTGACCTTTCTGTCTCCTTGATGTGAAGACTTTGGTGGCTTAGCTGTCTTTTTCGCGCCGGACTTTGCATTTGCCGACTTACCCCGGACTGGTTTCGGAGGTGGCGCCTCATCCTCTTCAGATGAATCTTCTTCTGGGGGCAAGCCAATTGCGGATCCGTCTGGCCACCTGGGTTTTCAAACACTTGTGGCCGGTGCGGAACTAGTCCCATCCCATTAGGTATTGTGGTCGTTAAAGCAGTAGCCTCATTTATTTGTTTTGGAAACCCCACAAACCGAATGAATAGGTATGAAAATCATATGATCTCTTGGATTGGGACAACTAATAAACTTTAATAAACAGATAATAAAGACAGTATATGACTATGATGTTTCTGAATGTGCGCATCAGAACCCACACTGGATGATTGTACCGCTCTTGTACCCATTGTAGTGCTCTACATTTGTTTTCTGGTAGTTACCTGGAACTCGTTTATAAAATGTCCATGGGCAAGGCACTTAACAGGCTTTTTCTTCTCAGCCCGACGAATCCGGGTAGAAGGGCGGAATGACTCCCTCTTACTATCATCATCCTTCTTCTTCATTTTCGATGTCGCTGGTGCCATGTCGCCCACCAGTCGGTCGGCAATGAGGCTTTCCAACGCAGCAAGCGGACAGGCGGGCGTACTGCTGCACAAGTAGTCAAGTCAAATGGCTCGGCTCAGTCACCAAAATTCAACTTCCGCCCTACATATTTATTTACAAGGTGGTTTGTCGAATCAAAAGCAGATTACAACCTGAAACAAAATTCCCAGCAATCCTACTGACATGATAGCGTGTTGATATGCTGCACGAATCAGTGTCCGTCATCTTGCAGTGTTTGCTACTAGCTACGTTGAGATCACAACAGAACATCACCATTTCAAGTTTGCAACATTTTCTCAATGTCGCTGACTTGTTCCGGTAGCTGTTGGTGAAACGCCATTGCACTTATGGGAAGGTCTCAATCCCCAACGGGTTTAAAACACACTAATGCCACTAGCTGCACGACTCCAATGCACCCCCAGTGCATGGCATTCCCAGACACCATAGAACATCGTCTGATATCTAGGATGGGCACCTCATGCACGCCCATTGCTGCACTCGTTTCAGGAGTCACTGGCCAGCCAAGAGTTGCCATCTTCTCTCTTCCTGTGAGATAGCGGTTCAATGGAACTGACCATGTCAGGCCACCTGACATGCGAAGGGTGGGTATACGTCCTGACACTCCGCTCCAACATTTGCGAGATGCATTGTCACCGAGATAGATGACAAGATTTTTGTCAAGGTATGGATCAGAATTGCCATGCCGCTGTCTGTAGTCTTTGCACAGGGCAGTGATCACTCCTCAGCGGTTTCAGAATTGCAATCAGATTGCTTCTTGCGTCCCACTCTTTTGAAAAGGGCATGTTCCATTCTTTGGAAAGATTTGAAAAAATATTATTACCTAAATTGATTTTCCAGGGCAGGGAAAATATACAATAAACAATAAAAAAGCTTACAATAAAATCATCATTTATTAAGCAGAGTTTCCTTGTTCTCTCGGAGTAAGCAGCGACCGCAGGTCTGGACGTGATTGATGCAAATCCTGAGGCATGGGATGCATTTTTGGAGGAAACTATATTTTCCCCATGAATGAACATATGGTTTCATCTAAATTTTGCCTGGAAACTACATTGAACTTCTTCCTCCTTGTGTTGGCGAGATCGACTGCAACCCGACAAACTTCCGAAGGGCTGGACACAAAGTAGTCACATGGTCTTGTTTTCACCCGTCTGATGATAAAATCCTTGATGCCGCTATAGAGTTGTAGAGGGCAACAGATTTGCTCTGTTCGTTCGCGATGGCTGAGTATTAGGTAGAGCCTCTCCCTGTTGACCCCTGCGTGCCCGACATCCGCAGGCTCCACTCGCAGAGTCCAAATGTGGTAGTGCTCACCATACAGGCGCTTGATCATTTTGATGCGCAGGCCCTGTGGGAAAGCAAAAGCTAGCGGTGGAGCAAGGATTGAACAAACAACAAGCATCAGTTTTTGCACAATTCGTTGCGACTGCTTTTATTTTATTATAAATGTTGGGCGCCTTTGTGTTTTCGATGCAAATGATCCTCGTCTTCTTCTCTATGTGCCTCTTTGCATGTGCCAAGAACGCGCCAATAGTGGGGCCCTCTTCCAGCTGTCTCAACCCTGCCATACTATAATCCGGGCATGGTAAACCTGCAGTCTCAATGTCCGCATCGGTGGATGGATCACCAAACAGGTTGCACAATCGGTTATGTGTGAAACAGTGCTGCCTTCGATACACGCAGGACCAATTCACCTTGTGAAATTTCACCATGAATGGATCTTCTGGGTCAATGGTTCCAGCTGGCATGCAATCCACTAGGTCCCCAAAAACGCAGGGCGGACGGCAAATCCCACCAGCTTCTTTTTCCAACCAAGCAAAATGATCTGCAATGAGCTGACGACAATTGGCGTCCCATTCCTTAGTGTGAAATTGTTGTTCCTGAATTAGTGACCTGTATCGACCTGTTGTCTCTTCAGCCATGGCTTTTTAAGTTGTCTCCCTATGCTATGGATTTGTAGCGTACATGCACCATATCCATATTATACATTCTATCAAATCCCCATGAGTTGTTTTTCAGAACTTTCAAGACATATTATGCAATGATAAAACCATTGGCGCTCTATTGTGGGTTTATAGGCTGGAACCTCTCAAAAGGTAGTTTTCGAAAAATATATAAATCCAAGAGACATGGCAAGAGACGGGCAATATTCTCACGGGGCGTCTCAGAAATCCTGAGTGATTGATTGTCTTCTCCATTGCTGTCCAACTCATCTCAGCCGTGAAGGCGCCAGTGCAGCTGGATGATGACCGACGAGCAGTCAAAAGCATAGACTCCTTCAAAAAGTCGGGCGTACGGGATTTGACTGGTGGGCAGTGAAATTTGAAACAAATCTGATTTGGATATGAAGTCATTTGGGTTTTCAACTCAGTTTTGCCTCCAGAGTTTCATGGCCAACAGTGTTGGCCACATACCACCACGCCATTTTGAATACTCTTGCGGCACGACTCAACATAGACTCATCTCGAGGCAAGTCCTTGTGCTTTTGGTTTTCGTTTGGGATACTGCAACACAAACCGAGAAACATAAATATCATAAATCAACATACTGAAGAGCAATCCGTAACGCAAAAAAATATATGATTAACGCGTTTCAGAATCAAGCATTTGATCGGAAGACACTGATGTCCGTGTGAAATTTGCAGTGGAGGGCTCGCTGGAGCTCTCGGTGCACATGGTCACAGAATCCATATCGGTGTCAATATCGGGCTCCGAATCAGGCTCCATTGCTACAATGGCAGTCTGCTGAAAATGGAAACGCTCGTGTCTAACTGTCAAAACGCTTGTCTTTTTAACTCTCCCTCTCCTGTGGTCATTTTTGCAGCACTAATTTTGGTTCATGCTTCCGATATGCGTGCGTGACTGTAAAAACGACTCTGGGCCAATCAATTTGGTGTGGCTTTGGAAATGACATGGAAATACAACCAGTGCGAACACATTTAGCAATCTGCAGCCACTGAAAATGCATTACTGAAAATACATTTGAGGACCTGACGCATGGAGGGGCGTAGCATCCGCGCAGACACTCGGGCGACCAAATGAAGCCGAGCTCAGTGGGTTTCTTTGACACCGCACTCCCGTCAACGTATACCTCGACATCCAAAAGCTCAGCTAAGAAGAAATACTATAGCAAAAAGAAACACAGGATTTTAACATTATTTGGACCATTTCTGCCAAATTTTGCCGTGTCCAACTGAGTGACGTGGAAGACTTTCCGATGTTGCATCTCTGTGCGCGCCCTCGACCAGTAGGCTACCTGAGGAGCAAGGGAAACTGCAAGATCAAACATCCATTGAAATGTTCAAACCTGTTTTGAAGTGGATGAGAGTTACGGAACCATTCAATGACGCAAACAAACCGCAATTTAAAGAACCTTCCTAACCCGTACCAAGCAGCAATGAACTTCCACGCGAAGGTTGCCACATGCGTGTTTTCCAAGTCAAATTTATCCAGAAGCTTGCGGATTGTCAACCCATGGTCTTCCTCAGTATTGAGGAATCTGAAATAAAGTGGGCATGAAATTTGAAAACAATGAAAACATATGTTACAAATTTACAGGACCAAGAAAAAATATATCGCCCTCTTCTCGACCCAGCATCGTTTTCGTTCAAAAGAAACAGCGCTGCTCGCGTGACTTTCTGCAAGAACAGACTGTGATCCAGTTTACGGTTTTTGGAACGGTGTTCCTCCTCTTTGACAGGCTCGATACTGAGCCGAGCCAAATTGGTGTCCACGTATTGGGCCAGTTGTTGAACCAGTGAAAGAGCCAAAGGTTGTAACAGGCCTCCATCAGGTTGGCATGACGAATCGAACGCAAAGGCTATCAGGTCCAACAGTGTAGGACGGCTGATGTCAGAATCCAGCCAGTGATTTCGGTTCAGTTTGTTTATATTCCATATCTGGTAGACTCTGTTGTAAATCGCCCTTGTCCAAAGCAGTCTGGAATCAATAGTGCCGTTCTGGGCCGTGACCTGTGTTGAGCACTTCGCAGCAGGGTCACCAATCTGGGACACGTTGAGACAGATTCGGCCTTGAGTCTCAAGGATGTGATTGATCAGCTGTCCCAAAAAAAGACGGCTTCTCTCCTTCTCTTCATGCATTCTTCTCGGGGTTGCAATGCCCCACACTATCCAAGAAAATGCCACAGAAGTAGTGAACATGCTTTTCCGCCACCAAACCTCTTGCTCTGAGTCTTGTCCCTGAGCATGCCTTGCTTTCATGGCACTAGGAAGTTCCAGAGAAGGCCACAGCAACTTGTGCCATGAGTTTACCTGTGTTGTCTTTCTCTCATTCGCAAAATGCGCCCGGATTTTGTCATCATCTTTCGAACTGAAAATGTTTTTTCCAAACCCAATGATTTCCCAATAGGCTTGAGCTTCCTCCTGGTCAGTCTTGATGACGGTAATTTCGCTATGTCCAGGCAGTCGGAACTGGCTTAGCACCGGCATTGCCGCAACTCACGAAATTGGAATCATGTGGAAACGGGTTTTGATTTCATACATGGGCGTTGTCTTACATACATAATCATACATGGTCCTATATCATGTGTGTTACATTCCAAGAATTAAATTATATAGTTTGACAGGAAGTAAACTATTTACAGCTTTGGATCTGCCATTTTTTCTAACCTGATTGCTGGGCTTCAAATTTGAGCCGCCGAGGCCTGGCAGGTTCCCATTGTGGCACACTACTGGAAACATTGAATTATGGAACACTAATTAGGCGTTATTGGACACTATTTGCACACTATTTTTTGCCAAAATAATTAGTTCCTAATAGATACCTATTAGATGCTTATCAGATACATGTTAGATTCCTACCTTTATGTGTCACTTACCACTGGTTAGTTTTGGCATGTTTTTGCCAGGGGGGGGGTTCAAGGGGGGGGGTCCAAATTTTTGTGATTTAAAAAGGACTTTTAAAAAGAAAATTGCTAGCACCAAAAATTGAGAAAATCTGCTGACAAATCACTGTGTGCAGCCTCGATGCAGCCACTCCAATACTATTTACGAGATCCAGTTGCAAAAGACAATAGTATTACGCATGCAGCCGCGGCACCAAGCAACCTTGACGCAGCCACTCCAATGCGATCTGAAGCCGCAGATTCAAGAAACGCAAAGAACTACGCAACACATAGACGCAACAACTCGTTCCAGAACACAGAGGAGGAACCCATTAATGTCGGTCTCTGATTAGTAGCTAGGTTCGCTATTGTGGCAATTTTTTCCAAACTATTCTGAAACCCATGTATTATTTGGAGGGTTCACTTTTGTGGCCCAAAAAAAATTGGGAGAGCTTTTTTTTGGAAAAAAAACAGCCTGTAATTGCTGAGAGGCAGACTACAAGTACTCCAAGCACTACAAGTACCACAAGTTCATCGGCAAAAAACAATTTTAGTTAGATTTCAATTGTAGCCAATTGAAATCCTTACTTAAGTGAGGATTTGCTTTTCTCTTGGGAAGAAAATTTTTGACTTTCCACTTTAAAGAGAGTCCAGATATTGTTTTGGGGGGGCCTCACACTAATCAGGAACCAACATTATCTCCGGAACGACCGCAGCCGCACCCGCACGGAAAAATACATGGTTTTGTGCTCCGGCTTCCTCCCCAACACAAGCCCCATGAAACATTCATGCAGCCATTGCAATACGTTTTGCAGCATCATGTAGCAAACCTGCATCTCTCTACACACATGGCAACGCCAGATCACAACAATCATGCAGCCATTCAATTGCGATCTGCAACCACAGATTCAAGAAACGCAAAGAACTATGCACACAGGACCAACCACTCGTTGCAGGACACAGATCGGAATCCATTACGTCCGGAACGACCGCAGCCGTGTCCGCCGCGCGAGGTACCCTTCATCGCCGGCTGCAGCCACTTTACAGGCAAAGTGCACGGTTTCGTGCTCCGGATTCCTGCCCAACACAAGCCCCATGCAACATTCATGCAGCCATTACAATGCATTTTGCAACATCATGTAACCAACCTGCATCACTCTACGCGCATGGCAACACCAGATCACAACAATCATGCAGCCATACCAATGCGATCTGCGACCGCAGATTCAAGAAACGCATATAGAATTAAGCACATATAGACACAACCGCTGGTTGCAGAACACAGAGGAGGACCGATTACGTCCGGAAGGACTGCAGCCGCACCCGCTGCACACACGAGGTACCTTTCATCGCCGGCTGCAGCCACTTTACACGCAAAGTGCACGGTTTCGTGCTCCGGCTTCCTCCCCCAACACAAGCCCCATGCAACATGCATGCAGCCATTACAATGCGTTTTGCAGCGTCATGTAACCAACCTGCATCTCTCTACGCGCATGGCAACACCAGACCACAACAATCATGCAGCCATTCCACTGCGATCTGCAACCGCAGGTTCAAGAAACGCATATAGAACTAAGCACATATAGACACAACAGCTGGTTGCAGAACACAGAGGAGGAACCGATTACGTCCGGAACGACCGCAGCCGCATCCGCCGCGCGAGGTACCCTTCATCGCCGGCTGCAGCCACTTTACAGGCAAAGTGCACGGTTTTGTGCTCCGGCTTCCTCCCCAACACAAGCCCCTTGCAACATGCATGCAGCCATTACAATGCGTTTTGCATCGTTTTGCAGCATCATGTAACCAACCTGCATCTCTCTACACTCTACACACATGGCAACACCAGATCACAACAATCATGCAGCCATTCCACTGCGATCTGCAACCGCAGAATCAAGAAACGCAAAGAACTATACGCACCTTGAAATTCATACTACCAAAATATGTTGGTCGTTTGTGTCGGTACTATTTTGTTTGGTCGGTTCTTCGAAATCCAGGCGTTTCACAAAAAACATATACGAACTTGATGAGGGCTATAGGCGATATGCGAAGAAAATAGGCGATGCGTCTGGCCTTCCATTGGTTCTACCTTAAATCCAGGTCACTCCTGCTTGTTTACGTGGGTGCGATTTCTGACTCCTATACTGACTACTTTTTATCTCGATGCCTTGCAAAAAATACTGCGGAACTAGCTATGTAAACACAAGCCAAAAACCAAGTTTTCTGGATTTGCGGGCGTTTGCGGGTTTTTGCGGGCGTTTTGCGGATTTTTGCGGGATGTTTGCGGGGCGTTTTGGTCGCGTGTTTTTGTTTTTTACAGATTCTGTGCGAAAGTGCTTTGAACAGTTTAAAAGTAGGCGGGGTTGCGGAGTCAGACCTGCATACCCAACTCCAATGAACTACTCTGGCAGCCTCAAAAATTGCTACTTACATGCGGGGGAGATGGGAGGAAAATATGAAGAAGCATTCAAAATTATCCAATTTCCATGGTTTTTGGGCGTTTCAGTTTTTGATGACGATCCCAAAAAAACTAGGCGGCTCCGACGATAATTGGTAAACAACCAAAAGGGTCAAAATATATCAAAATATAGTAGGCGTTTGAAGATCCAGGCACATATAGACAGAGCCACTCGTTGCAGAACACAGAGGAGGAACACATTACGTCCGGAACGACCGCAGCCGCACCCGCCGCACACACGAGGTACCTTTCATCGCCGGCTGCAGCCACTTTACACGCAAAGTGCACGGTCTCATGCTCCGGCTTCCTCCCCAACACAAGCCCCTTGCAACATGCATGCAGCCATTACAATGCGTTTTGCAGCGTCATGTAACCAACCTGCATCTCTCTACGCGCATGGCAACACCAGATTCAACAATCATGCAGCCATTCCACTGCGATCTGCAACCGCAAGTTCAAGAAACGCATATAGAACTAAGCACATATAGACACAACAGCTGGTTGCAGAACACAGAGGAGGAACCGATTACGTCCGGAACGACCGCAGCCGCATCCGCCGCGCGAGGTACCCTTCATCGCCGGCTGCAGCCACTTTACAGGCAAAGTGCATGGTTTCGTGCTCCGGATTCCTCCCCAACACAAGCCCCATGCAACATTGATGCAGCCATTACAATGAATTTTGCAACATCATGTAGCAAACCTGCATCTCTCTACATACATGGCAAGACCAGATCACATCTGACAATCATGCAGCCATTCCAATGCGATCAGCAACCGCAGATTCAAGAAACGCAGAAAGAACTACGCACATAGACACCACCACTCGTTGCAGAACACAGAGGAGAAACCCATTATGTCCGGAACGACCGCAGCCACATCCGCCGCACACGACGAGGTACCTTTCATCGCCGGCTGCAGCCACTTTACCTAGAAAATCCAAGGTTTCGTGCTCCGGCTTCCTCCCCAACAAGCCCCATGCAACATGCATGCAACCATGACAATACGTTTTGCAGCATCATGTAGCAAACCTGCATCTCTCTACACTCTACACACATGGCAACACCAGATCACAACAATCATGCGGCCATTCCAATGCGATCCGCAACCACAAATTCAAGAAACGCAAAGAACTACGCACACAGGACCAACCACTCGTTGCAGGACACAGATCGGAAGCCATTACGTCCGGAACGACCGCAGCCGCACCCGCCGGACACACGAGGTACCTTTCATCGCAGGCTGCAGCCACTTTACACGCAAAGTGCACGGTCTCATGCTCCGACTTCCTCCCCAACACAAGCCCCATGCAACATTCATGCAGCCATTACAACGCGTTTTGCAGCATCACGTAACAAACCTGCATCTCTAGACACATGGCAACACCAGATCACAACAATCATGCAGACATTCCAATGCGATCCCTAACCACAGATTCAAAAACGCATGCAACTACTCACACACGAACACAACCACTCGTTGCAGAACACAGAGGAGGAACACATTACGTCCGGAACGACCGCAGCCGCACCCGCCGCACACAGGAGGTACCTTTCATCGCCGGCTGCAAACACTTTACACGCAAAGTGCACGGTTTCGTGCTCCGACTTCCTCCCCGACACAAGCCCCATGCAACATTCATGCAGCCATTACAAAGTCACCACTTCCCAAAGTCACCAGTTTCCTCCGTCACCACTTCCCTTCGTCACCACCTCCCTTCCCTTCGTCACTACTTCCCTGTGCACCACTTCTCCCCAAAGCCACCACACTCCCTTCGTCACCACTTCCCAAAGTCACCACACTCCCTTTGTCACCACCTCCCTTCGTCACCACTTCCCTGAGCCTCCCACAGCCCTTCAATGTCAATTCTTTTTTGATGTTTATGTGATGTCAATTCTCACACCGCCCTTCATCAATGTCAAGTCCCTTGTGATGTATTGTTACGTGATGCCAAGTCTCGCACCACCTTTCATCAATGTCAATGCTTTTGTAATGTATTGTTATGTGATGCCAAGTCGCACACCACTCTTCATCAACGTCAAGTCTTACAATTCTATTTGTCCGTAGTGCGGAAGTATTACCTCCCAACTTCCTTTGATGATAATGTAAAGTCTCACACCACCCTTCATTGAGTGAATTGGTGTGTGATCTGAAGTCTCACACCACCCTTCATTGAGTGTATTGTTATGTGATGTAAAGTCTCGCACCACCCTTCATTGAGCGTATTGCTATGTGATGTGAAGTCTCACACCGTATTGTTATGTGATGTAAAGTCTCGCACCACCCTTCATTGAGCGTATTGCTATGTGATGTGAAGTCTCACAACACCCTTCATTGAGTGTATTGCTATGTGATGTGAAGTCTCACACAGTATTGTTATGTGATGTAAAGTCTCACACCACCCTTCATTGAGTGTATTGCTATGTGATGTGAAGTCTCACACAGTATTGTTATGTGATGTAAAGTTTCACACCACCCTTCATTGAGTGTATTGCTATGTGATGTGAAGTCTCACACCACCCTTCATTGAGTGTATTGTTATGTGATGTAAAGTCTCACACCACCCGTCATCAGGTAAGAATCATCCGTAACTCGGAAGATTGCTTCCCAACTTCCTTTGATTATATATATATATAGGACTAAACTCATCTAAATTCTGTGGTCCCATAGGGCTGAAATTTTGACCCGTACCCAACAAGATATTTTGCTTCCAATCATTCTGCTAAAACTGAGCATTGTAAAAATATGAGTTGGCTCGCAATTTGAGATTTGGGCTTTACCTGCACATTTTCAACCAAACCCATATCCTATTGGAAGGTTTCTGATGTTCAACCGTCACCTTCAATCGTTGCCCAGTGAACCACCGTCTCCCTCCGGCGCCTTCCCAAAACAGCGAGACAAAGCGCGTCCGGCAGCTGATCGGAGGCCCCACTCGCCATGTAGCATGTAGGAGCACAGGGCAAGAATTCTTGGATCATTCTGCTCCAGCACGTTGATTGAATCGATGTTGCAAGTCAGAAGCTTCCTGAAATCAAGATCTGAAGGATCCTTTTCAGTCAGCAAATCCTCCACAGCCTTGGCGCCCTTCTGCTTGAGTTTCTGCAAGTGAAACCAAGGTGACGAAGCTAGAAAGCCATAGGAATTCATTTGAACTTCCTTCTTAAAGCTGAGCCATGCCAGTGCTTTGACGAGGTCTAGTTCCATTTCTTCTGGTGGAAGTAGGTCTGCCCAGTCTAAAGCTTTCATCTGAATCTTTTTTTCACTCTCCTTCACTCGCCAGGCATTCTCAAGGATCAGCCGTTTATCTTTTTCATCAACCAAGCCATTCTTGAAAATGTCGAGCTTCTGAAGTGCGAAAAATGGCGCGCGATTGTAACCATACGACGACTGGGTGGACACCTGAGCGCTTGTGCACGAGGCCAGTAATGCTGGAATGTGTTCTTTCATGCGTGGAATCGCATCGAATTCGCCAAAGGCCCAAGCAGCAGCCTCGCGCACTGTATCGCTATCTTCCAGTAGCTGGGACAATGAAGGCAAATGAGGCAAAGTTTCCTCTGGGCGGAGGGGAGGATCAAAAACAAAAGGATACGGATACATGTCTGTTGAAAACAGAGAGCAAAAACAAAACTTAGCCACAGTTGTCAAAGACGTGTCACAAAAGCATGGGGTTTTTCCGTCAAACGCTTCCCTGAAAAATCTCTGCCAAGATTCGGGGATAGTTCCAAAGATTCCGAAGGTTCGGGCGGCAAGGTTGCGAATCTGTGGGTCTTCATGTTGAAATTGCTTTACAACAAATGACACCGGGGGAGCAGGCCTCTTCCCAACTTCTTTCATGTTTGCCAACAAGCAACAAGCATAAAGCTGCGTCCGAACTGATACATCTTGTTTCTCAACGATATTGCAAATGGAACTCACATGTTCACTTGTAAATTGCGGAAGTAGTAGTCTAGCACTCTCCAGCACGGAATCGAGGAAGGGGTCATGGTACATGCCGTAACTTCTCACACCGCCTGGGTCTTTGTAGGAAACCTTGGATTTGCGATTTAGGAACCCCAAAAATAGACAACATATTCCCTATAGATTCCCCAGTGGATTTTCTATTGGAAAAAATTAGAAACATCTTCAGCCAATCCAAGAAACTAGCAAGTTTACAACGGTATCAACTACCTGAGGTTCCTGTAGGTAGCCCGCCAACGACAGTAAAACTCGTCGACACTCATCGTTCTTACAATTCTTTAGAGCACTGGGCCATATCTTGGCAAGGCCGTCCAGTCGACCAAAATACAAGAGCCACTTTGCAACTCCTGACCAGGTATGGAGCCAAACAGGTTCAAGTTGCTCTTTTTCTGCTTTCTCAACCTTTTCGATCACAGCGAGAACTTTGTCATCAAAGATTTCGTCAGCATCTGAGCCCATCCATCTGATTGCAAAAAGAGCCCTAGTGAGCATTGTATCTGTGCTATCAAAGTAGTCACTCGAGGCCAATTGCTTGTGAACAAGCCTCACACCAATGTCCCCTTTGAATCCCAAAGCCCACCATGCAGCCTGCCGAACATCTACGGATTCATCTTCGAAAGCTACCCGTGGCAGTTCTTGCGCGTGACCTTCAAACTTCTCCCATGAAACCATGACCATAGACCGGCAAGCAGCTTCGCGCATCATGTGATCTTTGTGTGAGAAAATCTCTGGCTTGCAAACGGAGAGTACTGCAACAGCAGTCTCCTCCGTACCAATTCTGCCCAGGATTTTGAAGGCACGTTCTTGGTCTCTGGGGCTTCCCGTCGTCAAGAGATTCAAAAATGTCTGTGTCAATGGTCGTGCCAATTCCCCGAGCTCATCTGGTCTGACAGCCTTGCTGTTGTTAAGGTCAATGCTCCCCTCATTGATCCCTCGCAAGGTGAGTAAATCACTGTTCTGAAAGAATGAAAACGTCTCCTAGGTGGTCAGGTCAGGCCCTCTAGAAAAGTAATTAATCATTCTCCGCGATTCTGGCCCTGATCATCCCATTATATTATATATATATATTTGTTTATTTTATTGAGACATACATATATATATATATATATCATACCAGATTTCTCAACCATTGTTTCTGGCTGGACATATCTTGGTTCGGCTGAAAAAATGGGTTTGCCGAAAAAACAAGGCATCTCCCCCATGGTTTCCACGTACATGGTAATTCTGGGGGTAAGGACGGACCCATGACAAAGCCAAAGAAATTAACCAAACACCAAGCTTCCCACTTCTTCTGCAAAGCTTCCGCTTCGTGAAAGCTGATCTCTGTGCTGGCACAGTACGCCAAAACAGCTTCACGCATGCGCGTACCCTCCACATGTTGCCTGGTTGGTGGCTGAATGCCCTGAAAAAATATTCCGAATCATGTGTCAACATCCCAGGTAAGGGGTGAAAAATTAGATGAAAACAACAAACAATGATATGACCAACCAGTTGCACAATGTCTATCTCAACCCCGGAGTCTGAGCGGACAAGGGGCAAACCTCAGCATCAAGCGGGGGAAAATTGGCTGAATCTAGAGGTCAGACGCCCATCTTCAAGACTTTGTGGCAGTGATTTTGAATATTTTTCATAGGTTGGAATATCTGTCCGAGTCACCATTGGAGGCCTTCTCCTGCACTCTGCTCCAAAGGTATTGCTCAGCTGCTTGCCGGGCCCCTCTGGCTGCCTCATCTGATCGTAAAATCTCCCCTAAGATGTGCATCCGTGGGTCCTCTGCATGCTCCGATAGAGCATTTGTGTAGTGATAATGGCAAATCCTCAGGACGTCCTCACAGCAAAGCTTAGGCTGCTAGTTCTTACCACCAAAGGCTGGCCGTAACGCAACCTAACCCAGAATTTACATGCGATTACCTCAAAAAGCACTCTGATCGATGCACTCCAATATTCCACAAGTATAAATTCTATGGATTGTCTGGGTCATCCGGAACCTATCTAAAGCCCAAGCCATCCTAAGAAATCCTGCGCTCACCCAGAATCCGGCAATTAGATAGAAACCCTCCACGCAGATTGTTCAAAACACGGTGTGTGGTAAACTTATCCCAAAAAATCAAAGGAGGGTGGCCATAGATGAGTTCTGGCTTGCAATCTCTTTGAACACCAAAATGCTTACTTGGGTGTTCAGGGCTCTGTCAAAACCGATCGATCAAGAGGCAAGGGTCAAGAATGTCAACTGTTTGCATCCAACCGTCATTGGGAATCGTGATTTTGGCCACCATAATTCGCCTCTTTTCATGGTTGTATGACCATCCCTCGTATGGGATGATAAGGAACTTGTTGCCCATGTCCCAACACTCAACATTGAATCTGTCACGTAGGAATGAGCTCATATACGTTACATCTACAGTACCCGGGGTCGCCAAGAAATGTGAACTGTTGACTATGGAACATATTGGGCCTGTGCGAAAATGTCATCATTTTCCCTATTGGATTGGCCATGTGGGGAAGGCATTCACCGTCAGACACTGCCCCCTGTCCTGCACATTGTTCCTGGAGATGCACCTGAGGGGCCAAGGCACACCGTTCATGGCCATCCAGGTCAAACAGATGGGTCTGCCCACGAATATACAAATCGTCTTGGACAAGGCCACGCAGATGTTCACAACAATGAAGGGTGAGATGGCGGCACCTGAACCCCCCAGAGGGTGGATAAAAATCATGTGGGGATGCGGGAAAACCTGAAATATCATGGAGTATCACTGCTTTATGGGTGTTGATGTTGATTCAAATGTTATGTGTGAGACCCAAAGAATTTGGGGGTTGATCCCCCACTTTTTGTCGCCAAAATCAAGAAAAACAAAGTTACTAACCATAGGATTCGGGGTGTTTTCTCTAACATGCTCAGACAAACCTGCCTTCTGTGTAGTAAGAATAGCCCGTAAAGAACAAGGCCACCGAAAGCTGTGGTAAATCCTCCAGAAGGCAAAGCATTCTGCGGTGCTCTCGCGTTGCTTCCTCCACTTGTTTTACACACATCACCATCATTTTGTGAAAGAAAGAGGTTCTTTTCGATGTCTCTTCATCCGTAGCCGTACCCGAATTTACACCTTTTTGACCCCCATCCCTTGGCAACGGCCAATAGGATGCTCTCATCAGCTCCTCTGTGACTGGGTTCAAGTAGTTATTCAAATTCGGCACAATCATGGTGAGGATCACAATGGCGGAGCACCTTTGCTGACCAAAGACATCTCCCCTGCGAACATCTAAGTCAAATTTGACAAAGGGGTGCACCAACCCCAAAAAGATGCGGAAAATGGATTCATCACTAATTAGTTTCGTGAGTTAAAATAACCCACAAAAAGACACTCCGAAAAGGAGTTCATTATATATATATACACATTATGTATGGCCTAAATATTGTAACAGTGGCACAAAATGGAACACCATTTGGAGCACGATAAAAATAACAAAAATCAAGTATATAAACCTCCTGTGTTTGTGCCAATATGATATGCTTTGATTGGATCTAAAATTATATACATGTTCAATATTCAATGTATTTAGTATTCCGTATTCAATACGTTTCTAGGTTTTGGAGGCTGGCTTAGCTCCGGCCAGATCCTGGCCTAAGCTCCGAAGAGGAAACTAATACAAAACCGCCAGGTTTTTCAGAGCACGAAGATAAAAGAACAATAACATGGACGACTTTCAACACAATTCAAACCATACAGCGCGATTTGGCACACGACAAACCGGAAAAAAACCATGCGTTGGAGCACGACTTGGCGCACGACAAACCCCGAAAAAAAACAGGCATTTGGAACACGATTTGGTGCTCGACAAACCGGAAAAAAACATGCATTGGAGCAAGATGTGAATTTGGTGCACGACAAACCGTGAAAAGAAACACGCATTCATTTGGAGCACGATTTGGTGCACGAGAAACCGCGCAAAAAAAAACACGGTTTGGTGCAGGGCAGAGGAAACAATTTACTGGACATCCGGTCCGGTTTCGTTTGATTTCACAGCTGTTTGAAGCAGTGTATTTCTGAAAGGACAATATTGTGCTCCAAATGGTGGTATCTTTGGTGCTTCTTCTATTTCAACTTATATCAGGAAAAACACGTTTTTTTAGCACCATTTGGTGCACGAAGAAACCAATTCAAAATACAAGTATATAGCAATCCTCAAATTTTGTCAGTACTATGTCAATACCTTCGTGAAAGATGGATCATTGCAAACATTGCAGAGTAACCACCAGCAACCATTCCCCAAAAGGCACACCAGGCCAGGAACCACAAAGTAGAACACGAGTTGGTGCAAGACAAACCGCGAAAAAAACAAGGCAACCGATTGACTCGCCGCCCTTGTAAGGGTGATGTGATGAATTTGAAATTGTGATTCTTGAGGCTAAGAAACAAAATGAGCTGGTATTTGTGGGATTTGTGAAATAATGTTTGCAACATGGACATTCATTTCGATTGGCAGGCGTGTGACTCAAGTGTCAAAATTTGCGTTTCGCCTGCGCAGTGAATCGATTTTGCTCTTCAAGGGTTGAAAAAAAACATTAGAAAATTATGATTTTCAATCATCCCAGGCAAACATCCACCCATCCATTTTTTCCTCTTCTCGAAGCTTCAGTGCCCGAGTGCTTTTGACAACGCAGCGGCCACAGAGTCCAACAAGGCCACATTATGAAGCCATGTCCAACTGTAAGCCCAAGAGTACTTTTTTTTCGTACACTTGCTGGTTTTTCTTGTGGAGCATGGACATTGGTCTCCATTTTTTGACGTGTTTCCATGTACCATCCTTGTGTCGAGTGCCAGCAACAATGGTTCCATGGGATTTGCCCCGCAAACGACCTCGAAAATGATAAGTCTTATAGTATTTTTTGTTGACTTGGGCCATCTTGAATCTTTTGTGAGGGTAATCCTTGTTACAACTCGTCAGGAACTTTCATACACCCCCCCCACCCGCTGATGAAAATATACGGCAGCATGTGCAACATGTTAACAACGGCAACGTGTTCCGTAACGTAAGTGAAGTACTCATCAGGAACGTCAGTCAATACACCCCCCCCACCTCCCTGATGAACATACGACAGCATGTGCAACAATGTGCAACATGTTATAGCGAAGGCGAAAATCAAATCCTGTACCCCATTTGGCAGCCTTCATTTTTCAAATTTGCGACCCTTCCAAGGCACATTTACACGCATTGGAGCACGATTTGGTGCGCAACAAGCCGTAAAAACGCGTTGGAGCACGACAAACCGTGAAAAGAAGCACCGTTGGAGCACGATTTGGTGCACGACAAACCGCGGAAAAAAGCACGCATTGGAGCAATTTGGTGCACGACAAACCGAGAAAAAAAAGCAGCAATCTAATTCTTGCTTCAGCACAGCAGCAAACGTCGCAAACTAGTAGATGAAGTTTGATGGGAAGTTTGGATAGTGTATGATTCATGTTTGATACTTGGTATGGTTTTGATTCCCAATCCCAGATGGTTTTGAGAAGTGATTCCCATGTCCTCTTTCTCCTAATATGATGTGTGCAAACCACCACATGTCTACATTGAGCAGAACGACGGGCTATGTTTCCCAATTTTTGAACCATGGTCATGGTCCCTACAAGCAAAAAAATGAACATGTCCCCAGGCCCAACAATCCTTCAAGAAAAATTGCTCGATTTTATGGTGCTCCTTTTTGGGGTGGTGTTTAGTAAGGAACCCTTTTACTGACTGTTACAATATTTAGGAAACACCAAATAATACAATATATTTTAGTTTAGTATAGGTTCTGACTCGTTTTTTTTAGTATAGGTTCTATGTAGGCCCAACATGCATCCAAAATCACAAAAGAAAAATATTGTATGTATTTGTATGTGGCTATTAGTCATCCAGACACACATATCCCACAGTGTGGCCCAGGTTGGCATAAATACCAACGGACACGGTGTCCTTTACGAGGTCATAACGTTCACTGATAATGGGACAGATCGAACTCAGGAATTTCTGTGGCGGAGCTCTGCAAATCAAATGCGTAGCAGCAGCCTCGACAAACCAGAAGGAATAAAGCTCCCAGTCCAAACCATAGACATTGAGATAGTTTTTGCGACAAGCCCAAAACACCAGTATGAGGCCCAAATATGTATAAGTCATGTGGTAGACAACAAAGCCAACTGTGAGGCGATGCTCGCGTTCAGCATCTTGCTCTTTGGCTTCTGCCGGTTTTGCGCTGACCTCTTTGGCCTCGAGAGAAAGTGCCCGAGAACTTTCAAGCAGTGGCTCTGCATGCTCTGCTTCCTCTGGTTGGACACGACGCTGACGGCACCGTTGACTTTGCAACTTCAAACACAACCTGATCTGTGGTTGAGCCACCCATCTGAAAAAAATAAGCAAATATATAATCAATGGGGATCATCATCGATATCCAAGTCATAACATTAGACAAATTTGGTATTGAAATCCATGTGATCGGGGGTCGCCCATTTTAAGAACCCCCCATGTTGAAAATCGAAAAAAAAAAACGGACACCATCAACCAGCAACATGGTCAGCAGGGTCGATGAACCGTAGATCCACACCGCTGCGCGGGTGCGACTCAACCGGTCGGCCTCCCCCATTTTGGTTGGGAGCACCTTGACCGGATGGATTGGTGGTCGCAAGTCCGTCATCACGTGCCTCGCCAAAGATATATCCATGGCGGATTCCGCACGTTCAAATTCCGGCAAGGACGATTTCACGTCTGGCGGCGATCTTTCTTAGACTGCCGCCTGTGCCAAAAGGACAAGCCACAAGTCACAAGCGGCTTCGGTTCATCGAGTATTGAACTCACTGTTGCATGTTTCCCAACACATCCAAATATGTTGTTTTTACCTGCAAATGCCTGCATTGAATCCTGAATCCGACCAAATGATACTCATTCACCAACCCAGACCAATGCTGGCACAGTTGCGTTCTTGAGGTAAACATGGCATATAGAAGATGGATTAGTTGAGGCCTATACAGCACAGATACCTGTAGAAAAAACCAGTGCTTTTAGATGGGTCCTAATTGTTTAGATATTCCATGATATTTCGAGGGGTAACAATTACAAGGAAAACCATTGTTTCCTGACATTTCCCTGTACAAACCCAGCCAAGGAACATCTGAATCTAGAAGATACAGTATCCTCCAATCCCCCATGTATTAAACACAACCTATAGTGGCTTCTATATAAATATACATGTACGGAGGTTTCCTAAAATAAGGGTAACCCCAGTCATCATCCGTTTTAAGCCATCGCTTCCTTCACAACGGCTTCGCTCCGCACGCCTGCAACGTGGCAAGTTCCGCCAGCCAAGAAAACCACGCAGTTGAGGATAGGGTGGAGGTTGGAATGGAAAAATCATGGTTGATATTGGGCTAATAATGGCGTAATAATGGTTCATTGAATCTAATATTCAATGTTTAATGATGTTTAATGATATCATACCTTCTGACCCTTAGCTGGGAATGGGGATTTTTAATGGTGATCTAACCATCAAACGTGGTTCCACTTAGCCAGCAATAGCATGACGGGATGTTGTAGGTACCCGGTAATCATTCACATAGCAAGTTGGGAAACTCCCCAAACGAAGTTTGGTGCTTGGGAAAATCGTCTATAAATGGGGGATGTTCAATTGCAAGGTTTGATGATCATGGAGGGTTTTCTGGACTTTAGTGCGAGAAATCAATTTCCTCATCAATAAGTCTTAAACGGGAAATCGCCAGCCATGTCAACTGTGAGATTAGGGGTGTCCGAACGAACTACGCCACGAACAAATTGCTCCGATAGTCTTCTCCAAATACTGTACCAACTAGCAGTTTCCCCGTGTCTTGGCACTTCTAAACAGCGGCTTGACAAATTCACACTAGATTCCGTATTTGGACCCAAAAAAGCCGGGCAGTTTTTGTCTTTGCAGCTTTGTCAGCTATCACTGCATCATGCATTTTGCCGTAGGTGGGCGCCGCCAGAATCTGAGGGCTGGAACAAGCTTGAAACGTTGAGATTGATATGTCTTAAAACATGGAGAGTCCTCTTTGGGACAAACTCCTCCATCAACCTAAGCTACACGTCCAAAAGCAACTCCTCTGAACCGGACTTGTCCAAAATTAGAGGATGCTTCGAAATACATTGAAAGATGGAAAAAACATAAGACGATACACCACACGCAATTTCTTGGACAAGCAAACGGACAGGCACAGCTTGCGCGGCATTCTCCCAGGTGGAGGAGTCACATCTCTTCGTGCATCTGCAAAAAAGAGGCTTCATCGCTCTGTTTCTTCACCTGGCGAATGTTTTTTTTTTGGGGGGGTCCCTGGGGTCCATGGCATCCATTGACCTTAAGATTGTTTAATCTGATGGTAGAACTTGAGTCCGAAGATTGGTGGATGAAAAGCAGCAAAGCGAGATGAAGAGGTGGGAACGGGAGATATGCTTGCGGTGAACTGTGAGTTGGGTGGAGTGGTTCGGGATGGTTTGGGCACAGTACTCCATGAATGTGACCCCAAATTCCGCACTTGCTCCCACATCCCGGCCGCCGGAAAAAAGAAACTCAGCTACATTTAACTTCTGGTAGCTTTCGTATTGGCATGGGTCAGACCTATCATGACCCCAAAAAATGCTACGACGCCTTAAAACGTTTTTTGGGGTGGTCACCTATATATAGAGCCATCTCGGAAATCTTCGAGCCCATGAACGTGCGCAAAGGCCAAGGCACGTGCAGAAACGAAGGATCTTTGGATTGAGATAGCAAGGCATTGGTGACATCATGGAAACCTGAGTGCCAGGCTCTCGCGACACCATGGGTTTCGATGGGTTTCGCGTTAGTAACGGCGACATGCTCAGGGGAACACTGGGCAAATCTGGGCAACAAGTTAGCCACAGGGACGTAGAAAGGAAATTTCGTTTTTTTTTGGGATAGATTGGTAAGTCAGCCAATGTGGAAACATTGTCTGGGCAAATCATTAGCTATTACATTAAGAAAAGGTGCAAAGGAGTTATGAGCCCAAGGGACCCCACCATACCCAAACAATTCCATTTTTTCCGGAAATGTGGTACCCAAACATGTTATTAACTTTTCCACCATGAAAATTGCCGTTTGAGGGTTGGGACCTCCTTTTCGGACTTTTTTGTGTATTTGGACTAGCAGCCATCGCGAATATCATGAGAAATCGGGTGGCTGCTGGCCTTTGTCCAGTCCAACTTCTGCGTTTCGATGGTATACCAACGCATATTTTCATAGGTGCGCACCGCATAGAAGCCCGTCTTGGGGATGCGTAGCGTGGCCCATGCAGTATGATCACCCTCCACGTAGTGGCCCAAGGTATCTGGACCTGTCAGACCTGGCAATGGGATGGAAGTTTCGGGGCTACCCCAATGGCTGGCTGGTTGATTTCATGGAAAATCCCTTGAAAATTGGATGATGACTGGGGGTACCCCCATGACTTAGGAAACCTCCATGCAAAAAAGATGTGCATTTTGCATTGCCATATTTGATTAACGGAGAGTATCCGGGTATCCTCAGGATCAACATGGTATCAAAACGGCCAGCATTTGGGTATATGATGGTATACGGTATACCGATCAAGAAACCCTGTGTAACCGAAGAAATTTTCTAGCTGATGTAGAAGTTGTTTCATCAACAGTGAGTCGTGAACCATGTATGATTGCTTGCATCCGATTAATCGCCATGAGAACTGGGTGGAATCTCTGTTAGGTCATGCGATCTAGCTCCAATTCTTCAGGTTTCTGACAGGTTTCCAACTCACTTACGGGCTGCTTTTCCATAAAAATCAAAAACACTGTAAAACATGTTCAAACTATTTCTTTGGCCATCGAATACACAAAGTGGAGGTTACCTGTCAATGTTCCCTTCAATAATTGATTTCACCAATTGGTTTTGGCTGAAAGTAGGGTACCCCATTCCATCCCATGACACACACACACACACGCACACACACTGGTGACATGGTTCATCAGCATTTTCCCCATATTTTCCCTACGAACTGGCAATTTGGGGATTCTACCCTGTTTTCAGACATACCCAATTCATCCCAATTCTGCAATGTGGCCCCCCCAGTTATAACTTGGTTTATAAACCCCGGTAACAATAGTTATATAATAAGTTATAAGTATAATGAACTGAACCATAGTTTTTGGAGTTATAAGCCAACTTAGCTATCTTAGGGGGCCCCACATTGTGCAACACACTTTGCCAAGGCTCCTTTGATGATGAAAATCGAATTGAGGATTCCCTGCACGAGGGTCAGCCAGTCCTCCGTGGATGTTTGCAAAAGGGAACCACATCTCAGATTTTGCTACAAAGGGCGTTCTGTTCATGGTCTTTCTGTATTACATACATCTTCATGTGAGTGATTGAAAACTCTGTGGGTTTTGGAAGGGAGTAGCGATATCCTTGACTACAAGGTGGTGCCCCCCAGTTATAAGATGGTTTATAAACCCCATTAACTATAGTTATAAGTACCATAAACCATAGTTATTGGAGTTATAAACAAACTTAGCTATCTAGGGGGCCCCACCTTGTATAGAAGTTCCTTCAGTTTCTGACATACAGGGATGTAAAACTTTATGTACGACAAGTTCTATGCATGTGCCAAAAGAACCAGCAGCCGTTTCAGAGAATCGGTTTCTATCAAGTCAGAAAATTCTCATGATCGAGGTCTCTCAGTCTCTCAGACGGTGCATGTGGTTGATGATACCTGGAGTGAAAATTGCGGCCTTGGATTGAATCACGAGAAACACTGCGATCGCAGCACGTGATGTAAAAGTCATTCCATGACATGTCGGGGTACTTACTAAATCATACTAAATCTACCTGGTACTCAAAGGTGGAAATGGCTATGTTTGAGGACACTGGATGGGTACAGTGAAATCCGCTGTACCATGCTGTACCACATCAATACCAATAATTATAATGTGCCCCCCCGCAAATATAACTTGGTTTGTAAACCCCATTAACATATATTAACTATAGTTAAAAGTTAAAAGTATAGTTATGGGAGTTATGTTCACCAACTTAGCTATCGTTTGGGGGCCCCGCATTGTACCTACCGAATCCTACAGAAAAAACAAACTCCTGCCGCACAGCTTGATGCCCATATCGCCATCAAAAATCACACCCCGTTGTTAAATCCCACTCATATGGGAATACTGTACTTTTTTTTTTACCAACCATTATAGCCATCCCCAAAAAGATAGTAGAAAAGTGTTTCCAGGCAGTTATAGTTATATAAATGATATTTCATCATATATACTAAGTCACTAAGTATATATATAATATATACATATTTCCAGGTTTCCCACATTTCGGCATCTTTTTGGGGGGTTCCCACAATGGGATAGGAGACAACTTTTCATGGCTCACGGCCGTCCTCCACCTTCTTCTTGGGTGGGCTGTTGGTTAGGGCAATCTGGCGCTCGAAAAACATCTTGACGAAGCGTGAGGGAGGCGATGGGTCCCCAGGCAATCCAAAGGTATTGAAACCGTGGCCCATGACCTTTGGTACCTGGCGGTGAGCCAAACTTCACTGGGAATGGGATGACCGATTTAGACTGAGAAAAACCAGGCCACTAATCACTGACTGAGTGGGATGATCCAAGTGGGGGGATACCCTCAAATGACACGTTTCACTGGAAAAAGTGATGGTAGACCCTGGGATTTGTGGTATTCCCCAAATTGGGGCAAAGCATAACCCAAAAATGGCGTGCAGGGGAAATGCATGAGCGTGGTAACCCTGATGTCTTGTGAGATGTGAGACCCACATCAATCCCTTTAAATAGCATAGTTTTTTGATGTTTCGAAATGTGGGTTTTCTCTAAAACTGGGTGATACCCCATGATGAAATGCTTCATGTTCACGGCAAACCGTTGGAGATCATGGGAGAGTCGCCCCAAAAAAAACCCTCTGGTAATGACTAACATAGCGAACTGGAAAATCACCATTTTAAATGGGTAAATCAGCTATAAATGGGATTTTTTCAATAGTTATGTTAGTTTACCAGAGGGTACCACTAGTTTGGTAGGAATTTGTTTTTCCAACAAAAATGTGAAATCTCGGTGACGGCCTCATTAGTCCCGGCCAGTTGATCTCCAATCTTCATTTGCAAGTCGCTCTGCGAAGCGTCCTAGCGGCGGTTTTTGGTGAAGGCGGTTGGGGACCACAGAAATTTGACCCTGAGGTAGCACAAAGTTCCAATGGATTTGGAATGATTTACTGGTTGGTGGTTTCAACCTTGACCTACTCTGAAAAATGATGGACTTCGTCAGTTGGGATGATGAAATTCCCAATATATGGAAAAATAAAACATGTCCCAAACCACCAACCAGTTTAAGTATATTAATGATATGTATGGAGGGTTCAAGACTTTGAAACCCGGTCCTTTGATGTGATGGAGATGTAGGTATTGATGTTCTCAACTTGCCAAGGGTAAAACCTGACAACATAGAGCTGGCGCCATCAGGAAATTCAGCGTTCAAGTTACAATGAGTTACAGCAACACAATGAATTTCTGAAAATCATGGAATGTTCGTCCATCATCATCCATCATCATCCATCATCCATCATCACCTTCAAGAGATACTAAGTTTGTTTGGTTTTTCATGCCACAAAACCAACATTTCTTACACATCACTGGAACCCATTAAAGGCACGCAAAGGGTGGATCCAATCCGTTGAGTCCCATCTCCAAACTCTTTGGGAGACCATGTCTGGGAGATTTTGGTGGGTCGTCGTGATGTGATATGAACTGTTATGAGATGTTATGATTCAATGTCACATTATGTCATTATGTTATAATATTCATTGCTTTGCTTTACACATTGCCAAGATTTAAAGATCGCTGCCAGGCCATGCCAAAGACAGGAAAAAAAACATAGCCCTCATGATCCAAAGGCCCAAAGGGACGGATCATTGGTCATCACGCCAACATAGTTGTTATAGATCTTGGGTTGGCCCCGTTCATACTCCAGAACGATTGAGTTGCCCTCTGCATCCGCAATGGACCAGTGCGTGTTTGCAGATCGCCCCGGTACCGGGTTGTAGATGCCTCAAGTTGGTCTGGATGAGATTGGAAGAGTGGTTGACCCTGGTACCCCTGGTGCAGATTGGATTCTTCCTGAATGCTGACTAGAGATCCAATCAAAATCCTGTCACACTAGTTGACTCACCATGCTTACCCTCATTGGGCAAAGAAGTCATCTCGCAACAAAGCAACTGCTATCAGCCCAGGGCACTCTTTTGACAAGGGATTGCAGTGCTGATAGTCCGAACGATACAATGTCTGTACCGAGATAATGAGACCCTTCTCGTTCATGCCGTCAGCAACAAAGGAATGAGAACTCATGCCCACATAGCCAAAAGGACCTCGAAGAGTCACGGCAGGTGTCCCCTCACCGCTCACAACCACTGAAGCTTTCCGTGGGAAGACGGAGATCTTCCAGTCAATCACGCCGAAGAAAGTACCTGAGAGTTGAGCCATGAGGGAAATCAGCTACCACCATTCCCCATGATATCAATGGGAATTTCAGGATCCTAAAATGGAGGTACTGTACCATATGTGCGACCGTCAAAACTCAATTCATGTGGTGAGGTCATGGCATCGCTTCACAAGGCCCCCTATATTATAAGACCATATTTTATAGGGATATTCCCTTACATAGGCCTTATAGGCCTTACATATGGTAGGTACCTCGGATTTAGGTTCCTGAAATGGCCATTGATGATATGTTACTTCATGACGTGTTATGAGTATCTTAGGTTTGACGTTGTTAGAAATTGAAAGACTCAAGATCACATGCACCGGCAACCACAACAACGAGCACACCAACCCAAACTCTGAAAGGCCAAGTATGATGAACACTGCAACATGCCACGAAAAAACATGTGGTGAGTCACTTATGTTTATGTTTGTGAATAACATTTAACAACATATAATCACCATCATTACTTGGCCCTCTTGGCTCACCTTGGAAAACTGTTTCCGAGGCACCAAATTCCATGGTGTGGCCCATGACCTTTGTCCCAAGGCTGGTGTTCACCTCAAAATAGCTGCAGCCATGGCAGATCTGGATCAGTAGCACCGTGGCGAGCCGCATCATGGCGCGACGACTTGAGATGGCTGGGTCACAGGTCACCATCAGCTGAGGATATATGTTCTTTGGGGGGTGGTTTACTAAACCGTAGAGCCTGACTAAACCCCGGGATCTCTCGTGTTTCTCTTGGATCATATCAGATGATTTGTGATGATTGTGGAAGATGTCACATGGATTCACAGGGTCTGACCTTCTTCCTTGCCCCCTTGTTTGATTTCCCATGATGGTGCGCTCATCTGAAGCACAAGTCAAAGCCAAGGCTGAGACAAAGTCATGCAGTAAAGGGACCAACAGACCCTTAAAAAGTCAGCACGGGAATGGGTCAAACCCTACTATTGCCGTAATGGGGGGGATAAACATCCATTCACCAGCCATTATAGGGTACCTAGGGCGCCAGGGTTTCGACTCATTGGGTGTTCCCTGTTATTTCATGGCCGCTCTCGGAGCAAAAAACACCATGTTTAGGCACGCCCACAACACGGCTTGACAATCGAGGCCAAAAATTAACAACTGGTAGCACAGACCTTAAATGAGAACATATGAGGAGACCTGATACTTTCTCAACTCAGAGTGGTGAAGTTGTTACTGTATAATTTATCCAATTAGCATGGCAATTGAAAATCCACCATGTATAGAAAAAAACAACTAAAATATCAATTTATCGTATTTCCCCACTGTCAGGTGAGAGTTGTTTGATTTTATATCAGCTGTCCTGCTGCCTCCTTCTTCTCCGCCTCCTCCGCCTCCGCCGGACCTCCACTGCAAGCTCAGGATCAAAGTGTTCCCAGCCGGGCCTCAACCGCGAGCTCCGGATCAGAGTGTTCCGCACCGGACCTCAACCGCAAGCTCAGGATCAAAGTGTTCCCCGCCGGGCCTCAACCGCGAGCTCCGGATCAAAGTGTTCCCAGCCGGGCCTCAACCGCGAGCTCCGGATCAGAGTGTTTTTACCGGACCTCAACCGCGAGCTCCGGATCAGAGTGTTCCCCACCGGACCTCAACCGCAAGCTCAGGATCAAAGTGTTCCCCGCCGGGCCTCAACCGCGAGCTCCGGATCAAAGTGTTCCCAGCCGGACCTCAACCGCGAGCTCCGGATCAGAGTGTTCCCCGCCGGACCTCAACCACAAAGAATCTCCGAAGATATACCAAACAGAATGCCAGATAGAAGGTAAGAAAATATCTGAGATAAAATGTGAATGCCAAATAGAATGTCTGAACATATGTCAAAAAATGTCACTTGGTGGGGATCACTCGAAGAAGTTGTTTTTTCTGTTATTTTCACATGTCATTTTCATATGGATAGCTGACCTTCTCAGGAAGGTGTCCAAATCGTCAACGATTTTACACGTCGGAACGTCGGAACAGCAAAGACCATGGGATGTAATAGGAATGTAATGGGAGATAATGGGACATAACCAAGAAAATAAGGATTACCCTCCAGTGTCCGATAAAACATGGCTGGGAAATCCCCAAACTAAATGGTGCTTTATCGCTGGAAGCACCAACTGCAAATGGTTGACTTCATGTTGCATGACTTACTGTACCAGGAATGAGTATAGGTATAAATCATCCAAACATCGTAGATTTTATTTTTGGGCTTACCACATTACCCAATTTTTTGGAACGGTTGATCTTCCCACCAAAATGACATGTTGTTGCTATCCCGATTTGTCACCATTTTACGACACATCATCAATGTGGTTCATGTCAGCCGCAAATAAAAAACTCATCATGCGTGTGAAAATGTTGTCATGTCACACGACAGTGAAATACCTATCCAGTTTATGTTACATGTCATAGACTTATCGGAAAATTTAGATAGTAATCACCCCCAATTCAATGGATTCCCAGGTTACCATCATTTTACCCTATTCAAATAGATTTAGATTGATGCAATATTTGGAGGATGAAATAAACTATACACCTCAATAATTTTCTGTGGTTGGCAGCCCCTTATAAACCATGATTATCTGGGAACCTGTTCAGCTATTTTTTCGGTTGATATGCCGTCCAAATGACAAAAAAGTGGCAAAACTCTGACTGATATCACAAAAACCGGCTGATTCCCAGAGATGGCTTTTGCCAACACTTCTGGAACCCGCCACAAACTGATCATCATTGAAACACCGACGAAAATTGCCAAAGACCTACAGATAGTATCACCCCACAAACACAATTTGTGCCAAGTAAAATAAATACCCCCAAAATGTGTTCAACTTCACACCCATATTTGGCAGAGTGGGGTGTCGCTTCAACAAACAGCAACACCTTCCTGTGTTGTCAGCACAGGATTCTACAAACGCATGCTTGCACTGTTGGATAGCAACATCCACCAAAACGGCCAAAACCGTAATGGACAAAACACATGCCAGACCCGTACGTCAAGAGAAAATTGGATGTTGGATATGCAGGCACACACCATTGCTCGTTGGATATTTTGTTTGTGGGGCATTCAATATCATTCAATATCAAATACGTATTGGAAAAAATTGGAAAACATTAATATCACACAATCAGAGGTAGAACTAAATCACCAAGGACCCTAGAATCAAATTCCAAAGACCCCAAAAGTCGGCTGCCCATCGCTGCAATGAAGCGAGCCTTTTCCAACTTGTCTCGGCCAGTTCCACTGCCTACAGCGCAATGGTTAAAGGAAGTGGGGCTGTGAAGGGCCCCCTTTGATGTTGGTCTAAAAAGTCGCTGCAACATTACAGTTATTAATCACCATATAAATCCCACCTAACCTAGTTGTTGGCACCAACCTTCCAATTTTGAGGGAATGACACAAGTAAAAGATGATAACATATGATAACAGTATATAAAAGTCGTGTTTTGTTTTTCCTTTTGTTTCGTTCCCAGGATTCCAAAACCACCAAACCCTCACTCAGCGATGGCGTGCACACCCACAACCGGGGCACCTTCACAGAGAACCACGTGGAGAGTGTGGCGCTTGGCATGGTGCTTGACTTCAAGCTATAACTGATGACTCACTGGTGACTTCACCTTGAGGTAAAACTTCACCGAAATGCATCAGACGTCCAGTTGGGGAGCTGCTTGGAATTCCAAAACTTGGTGATGCAACATGTGGCTCCCGTAGTCGACTCTGTCTACTTTTTTCATCATCTTCGTTGGGTCCAACTTGCCTGTCCTCTATGGACCAAGCCCTTCAAATCAACTTTCAATCAAATCTGTTTTCTTTGATGTTCTCTACAGTCTGTAATGCCACATGTGAGATCTATATGAAGTCGAAGCTCTTCGATGGTGTTTCATCTGAACAAACGTGCGCTGCAGTGACGATCTGCCTTGGGCATCAAAGTGCCGATAAACCATGATACAACATGATACAACCCTTTCTGACAAGTTTATGAACATCAAAACAACTACCAACATTTATCTGGGTAAATTATAATATTTCACTAACCGGAATAGTTCGGCCATTTGGGGATGATTTCCCTAAAATAAACCATGATTCCAGTGAGGGAGAACAGTGAGGTCGTTGTAATTTACCCACATTTATGAATTAAAGTTCCATGTTTATCTGTACATTGAGGATCTCATTGGATGGACATTGATGTCTACCCGCACAAACGGCGGGGTGGCTTTTCATCCGCGGGTACAGCGGCCTGTCCAAGCACAACCTAAACCCAAACGCGTGTAACGAAAGTGTCCATGTTTTACATGGACACTGTGGATCCATTGACAAAGAACCCGAAGTTATCCCCAGGTCCTGGCATAAATGTACAAGTCATCAGCTGAGTTTGATGAGCCTTGAGATATCTTGAGATGTGTTCTGGATGGATTCAATATGATTCAATGCTCAATCGTCTTGAATGCCAAACTCCGCCTCTAAATTGTGAAACGGACATTGACATTCTTCTGGCCGACTGCCAGCTTCGTGCAACGTCATTCTTTCGTTGAACAAATCCATGTATGAGCATAGTATGAGGCCAGTAACGCAAGTCAAATTCCAGCTTTCTGTGTCTGGAAACATCAAAAACGTACGTCCATTCCTTTTTCCCATTCTTCCCATTCTTCCCATTCTTCTGTCAATGCACAATTGAGGACAAGAAAACGTTCAAGGTTTGGACTTCCAATTGAATGGCAATAATGCTCATGGGACATTCTTTGTTTTGCCATCACTCCTGGTTTTTGGTGGTATCTGACCATTTCCCATGATGAAAACAGCAGCTAATCTTCATCTGGTTGAGGTTTCAACCCATCCTTTAATTGTTATTCAAACATACTATCATAACATCAGCATATTATATGATATAAAGCAACGCTAGTCAACACAGTTCATCACAGTCATTTCTCATGTCTCAAGCAACACGTTGCGCCGATGTTCGCGTCACGCTACCGCGTCAGGCATCCAACTGCGTCAGCATCGCAACGCCACGCTTCACCCAGTGGCTCTCCTGGCCGATGGTGAAGTGATAGCTGAATGACGGCTGAATGGTCTCAATAGCTCATTATTAATGGATAGGTATGGATAGATGTGGATCGTAGCGGATAATAGCTATATTTATGATGGAGAAGCTTTCTTTTGGTCATATAGATTGATATATAGCGACAGTGATATGAAATATGAAATGTGAAATGAACACAATATGTATAGTGATATATGAAATAACCATAATATATAGTAGTGGATATTAGTGGATATATCTGGAAATTATGGTGCTTTGAGATGGTTTCAAAACGTCAGAAACTATCGAGGAACAACGCGCTTTATTCACTAGCAGCTAGACCAGTTCACACATGTCGTGCCAAGGACGGGAATGATCATCTCAACCTAATTGGGATGGCAAATGCATCTCAAACTTGGATGCGTTCACAGTCTGATATCTAAAATATTCCAAAATTCTAGATTCGATGATACTTGATGGCGCTAATTACCACTATATACTGACATTTGGCTGATTTTACATGATGTTACAGTGACAATTACCCTCTGGTAAACTAACATAGCTATTGAAAATGGCAATTGATAGTTGATTTACATTGATTTACCTATTAAAAATGGTGATTTTCCTTAGTTCTGTTAGTTTACTAAGAGGGTAACCCATTATCCCCATTAACCACTATTAAATCATATGAAATCATATGAAAATCCCCATTGACCCACTATTCACCCATATTATCCCCATTAACCCATGTATTTTTCCCCATACTGTGGCACTTCACTGGCATCACACAGCCAAGAATCTGGATGGGAGGATCTCAGCTTGATGGGCATGACCTGTGATCCAGGGTTTTGGAAAAGGGGCCGACAGAGAAAAAAAACAACTATATAATATATATATATACATATATATATATGGAATATGATGATATACATCATTTGTGTAGTAACATTCCATATATAATATCTTTGTAATATTTATACTATACATACAGTATATATGATATACATATAATAGGTCCACCAGGTCAACCAGGTCCCGCGCAAAGTTGGTACTGTGTCCAGTGGTCGACAAGACGCCTTTTCGAGTTGACACCTCGAGAATTCGAACTGCCGTGGCTGTTTGAAAAAAGGGATCCCAATTTCTGAATCCTGGGGATTCGATATTTTTTTTTGGATCATATGACATCATATGGCTGTAAAAAATGATCAAAGATGCAGCTGAAACACGGGACACGGTAACATCTTTTGAATCACCGGCAACTGGATAGGGCTGGATATGGCTGAATCAACGATGGCTCGTGCCTTGTACAACGGGCAATCGTACCACGGGAATTTCCGCAACTCTGCCTGGTTGATGTGAGAATGAGAAGCAACTGTTTCTGATTCGGATGTGGAATTCCATGGAAATTTCTGTGGACACTCTGTGGAAACTGGTGGAAATTCATGGTGTATGGCAAATCACCAGATTCCACCAACTTTCAGGCTAACATGGGAATGAAAGCTTCGAGGTACAAAGCACTCCGTCCCTACTTGGTACATGGCAGTGTCTCATTTGATGAACAGCCCTCAATATTCCTGGATCAACCCATCTACCAATCTGTGCCCAGTAACCATTAATATCCATTAAGCTACCTGTCGGATTCTATCATGACCATTGCATATTTAGGCCATCTTAAGAAATCCATAAAACAGCTGTTGATGATTGGAATCTTCAAGTGCTCATTGCCACTGTTTCATCATCGAACCCCAGGTCTCCGACCTTCTTGCACGGCAGGATCCATAGGAGGGGGACCGACACCTGAGATTTTGCGTCCCAGCGCACGCCCAATCCGCGCCGCTAAAGCATGAAGATTCCGATGCGATGCTGATCATGCAAGGCATTTTCTAAGATTGAACATGTTTTTAAAATAAGATTATGAACGTGAATAAACAATTAAGTATAATATGATCTTATATGATCTTATATGATCTCATAAGGGTTTGTCTGAACATAATATTCTAATATATATACACATATTATTTGTTATATGTTTCTTTGGGTGGAATGATTTCAACAGAGAAATAATCATGTTGGTGTTATGAAGCCCGTGTTCAACCACACCCCGCCATGGGTCCCAGATTTTGCCAAGAAACGTACAGCACCTTCAAATCACTTTCTGCCAGTTCCCACCTGAGGCGCAACTGGAGATACCCTGGATGATTCTGGGGATATGCCATTTAGAAATACGGACGCACATCTGGTTGGTGGTTGAGCCCTATCCCTCTGAAAAATGATGGAGTGAACGTCAGTTGGGATGATTTTCCATTCCCAACTGAATGGAACGTCCTAAAATTCCATGGTTCCAAACCATCAACCAAACATTCTTCAGATGTTGCTATGAAAAACGTGGGTTAGTTCTTGATTCAATATTGTTGGGAAGCCTGCAGCCGATGCGACATCAATCCCCAAAATCACAGAAATGACTCTTCAGTCCATTCATTTAACAACACATGTGACTGAATGTCCACAGAGAGAAAAAGGCAAAGAAAAAACACCTTAGGATCTAAGAATCTAAGTAAAGGATAGTAAAGGCAATACTGCAGTTGAGTCATATATATATATATCTATTCAATATTTTGAGGCAACTGAGTCTCGAACTCTGACCAGTCCCACTTGCAGCCTTCCAAGAACAGTCCATAACAGTAGACCTAGGCCAAATGGGCAATGATCCCCCCCCCATATATATATATATATTAAACAAATGTGATATAAGATATATAAGTGCTGTAATTCATCAGTGTGCATGTCGAAATATCTGAATAACCATGGATAACAATGGACCATGAAAATATGTCGCGTATTGTAGCAGAAACAATGTCAATCATGCGCACTGGACCGTGGTCCACTGTATTCCCCACGACATCCAATGATTCTCAGTGCCGCGCTCCATTCTCGGGCTTAGCCACAGGCTGTTGATCCTGTCTTGGCGAAATTGCGAGGGCTCTCAATCTCGGAATCTCTCTGCCGCACTTCACTTGAGATCATTTATCCTGCAACAGCGTGGGTTTGTATACAAACATAAAAACTTGGGAACCTGGGGTAACCCATTATTCCATCCACTGGTTCATCATCCCAGAATTTCCACGATTTCCAAGAAATAAATCAGACATCCTCCATTTTCAGAGACACCGATTCGTTATGTCAACTGATTTTTCCGTGTCGATTCGTATCACCTGAGGCATGTCGAAGTCAAAGACCAGGGTATCGATTGGAATGGTGTACCTGCACCAAGGTTGATAGGATGGCAACAAGATTCATCCAGGATCTGCGGAAGGAGTGGAAGGAGTCTTGGAAACAAACAAAGTGACAGGGATCAACTAGATTAGATTTCTTGATCGTCCCTGATTGGGAGGATCATCCCATTTTGGAAGTGCTTCAGCATGGTTAGTAGCTATGGGCTTATGAACCAGTTATAAATATCATTTGGTTATGACTAACGTAGCGAATTATGGAAAATCACCATTTTTGATAGGTAAATCATCATAGATCCTCTAAAAATGAACCATTCTATAGCTATGTTAGATAACCAGAGGGCATATTGAATTATATCTATCACAAATCCAAGTGAATTCACCAAGACAGGGTTCAATGGATTGGTTTAAGGGAAAATTTACAGGAAAGCCCCATATGAAATGGGAAAATCGATGGTTTCCGGTTAAGATTTTCCCTTAAACCAATCCATTGAAGGGTGACTAGGAACCAAGATAATGAACCTACTTGGGGGACCTGGGAACCAAGGTGATTCACCAAGACAGGCAGCCTCCGGGCGAAATTCTGCGCTGCACCCGTGGTGAAGGCCTCACAGATGCGGAATCCGCAGGTACGTTGATATGATCCCTAGGTGATAAATGATAGGGATCCTGTAGATCTATGAATGATCCACATCATGATGATCTATGATATGGATTATGGTGACCCATATATGATATGATATATATATATAATTATTGGTGTATTGTTCAACCTTACAATCATCATATCATAGGGATCTTGTTCTTTCGAAGCTCAACAAAAACAAGATCCCTATATTATATGATGTCTTGTATTCAATGGATTGGTTTGAGGGAAAATCTACAGGAAACAATCGATTTTCCCATTTCATATGGGGCTTTCCTGTAAATTTTCCCTTAAACCAATCCATTGATGTATCCCATTTGTATACCATATCCATATGACTTTCTTGGAGAAAAAAACTCCGTCTTCTCCTCACTTCGGCACGACATCGGCGCCTGAGTGAAGTAGATGCCACTCAGCCAGAAGGTGACCGGAATTCCATTGTCGATCCAAGCCTCATCTGGGACCATGTGCTGCATAGCATAACTGTGGAAAACAATGTCATAGGATTTCACTACCATATTATATATCATTAATTATAAACTGGTTGGTGGTTGAGCCTACCCCTCTGAAAAATGATGGAGTTCGTCAGTTGGGATGAAAAAAACACAATATATGGAAAAAAAACATGTTTGAAACCACCAACCAGATGTTTTTGTGAGTAGCTCTTGCAATTCCTGTGGTTTCTTTACATGTTTTTTTCCTTTCATGGCAATTTGTGAATGGTTTCCTGGTAGACCAGATGAATTGAGTGATTAGCGTAGGGCTGCCCCCCCTTCCCAGAGACAAAGAGGCCATGGCAGCTCCCAATATATATATATTATAATGTAACTATAATGTATACTGTATACTGTATATGTATATCATGATAATGATTGATCCATGGCATATACCCTCTTTTTAAATTGAGACGGGTATTAGCAGAAACCCACGGTTTCCCTACAATATCATCTACCCTAAAGTAAACATACAAAAAAAGTGGAGCTTAGCCACCATTAAAGGTGATCATGTTCCGAAGGGGTTTCCCTATGGGTTTTCCACATCTTTACCCCTAGGGGAATATCCTATCATTGGAATATTTTCGTGATGATAGAATATCATGTGGGTAAAATATACCCTTTTTTGGGATATCATATATTCCCATTATGAACATATTCCCCTATAGGGCATTCCATTGGTTATCCATGGTGATCCCATATACTTCGGAAGGGCGCCTGGAAGAACTTCAACCGCTCGATCAAATCCTGGGCGATAGGAACCGATGATCCAAATCTTTGGTGATGAGCCGTAGCCAGTGATAGAAATTACTATGGCATACTATGGCATTATATAAATATATATATATTGTAATATAATGTAATATAATGTAATATATCGTAATATAATGTAATATAATGAAATATAATGTAATATAATGTAATATAATGTAATATAATGTAATATATCGTAATATAATGTAATATAATGTAATATATCGTAATATAATGTAATATAATGTAATATAATGTAATATAATGTAATATAATGTAATATAATGTAATATAATGTAATATAATGTAATATAATGTAATATATCGTAATATAATGTAATATAATGTAATATATCGTAATATAATGTAATATAATGTAATATATCGTAATATAATGTAATATAATGTAATATATCGTAATATAATGTAATATAATGTAATATAATGTAATATAATGTAATATAATGTAATATATCGTAATATAATGTAATATAATGTAATATATCGTAATATAATGTAATACAATGTAATATAATGTAATATAATGTAATATAATGTAATATAATGTAATATAATGTAATATAATGTAATATAATGTAATATAATGTAATATAATGTATTATAATGTAATATAATGTAATATAATGTAATATATCATGTGCATAAAGTAATATATATATAATTACACAATTATACGTATATCATATATATCATTATTGTAATCACTTATAGTAAGTCATTATATAAATTATATGGTACCTCATAATATAAATATATGGCAATATAGTAATATAGTAATATAGTAATATTATCTGGTGATGACAAAGCGATATCACATGTCCTACTTCGCGTCTGGTAATGACTAACGTAGCGAACTGGAAAATCACAATCTTGAACAGGCAAATCATCATCGTTATCATCTATAAATGGGCCATGTTCCATAGCCCATGAAATGGACATAACTCTGAGCTGGGCGATTTTTGAGTCGAAATGAGTCGGGATATCAGAAAATACTTAAACATACACATGCATTATGTCAGAGATGGTGAAATCTGTAATGATCCAAAACAAATCAAAATAAGTGATCTGAGATGATCTGGGTAAACAAAAACACCATCCCGGCCACTATCCGGCCACAGGTCTTGGCTGAGATCAGGGCATTGGTGTAACCACCCAAGGGCTTCAATGAAGGATAGCTGTTGGCCAACCACATGGCGGGCCTCAGTGCAGACCGCGCTCTAAAGAGAGTGGACATGTTGGAACACCTGTTTTTTTGCTTACATACCAAACGTGAGCTTTTCTTAGAGTGGGGATGTCCGAGAGAACTGCCTCTCAAAGTGGTTCCCTGAATCAAGTCCAAAATCAAGCAATTTGCATCACACAACTACAAATGCGCTGCGGTGTCCAGAATGGCACTCTGTGAGCCCCAACGTCTTTCCATTGAAAATGGACAAGAAGACTTGCTCCAGGTCAGAACCTCAGTTACTGTCCAGTAATCCAACATGGCAAGAAATCGTCTGTAAATATGGACGTTTATAGCTGGGAAAATCATCTACAAGTGGTGTATTTTCATCTATTGTCCAGCTAGCCACGTTTCATGGCCGGAGGCTAGGGTCGTGATGTCGTTGCTTTCCAAAAAAGACCCAGCCCAATAACGAGCACGAATTGCAGCTCCTGCGCTTGCAAAGCCTAGGTTCCATGCTCATCAAAAGAAGTCCTTGGATGGCCTTCTGGATGTCCTGTCTGGCTTCGCTGATAATTGCACCATGAATTCAATGAATTAAAACACTGTTCATCTTAAATCCCAGTCCTCGAGGTTTTTGCTAGTGCTATGTAGTGCTATTGCACAAGTAAACTAAGAAACACATATACTAATCCTGCAGTGTAAACAAAACGCTTGAAATTTACACAACATGGCTGTTCACATGACCCAAATCCCATCATGTAGAACATGCTGCTTAGACTTAGGAGCTTTCCAGTCACCCGTTTTGCAATCCTGTCTGGAGCAGGAATGCTGCTGTGGGTCCTATTCATGGAATACTTGGATGTACATCCCAGGATTCTAAATGTACGTAATATCTCCGAGAAATAACCCCTCTATAAGTGGGAACATGAATCTAAGCGGGCTATAATATAGTTGTAGATCACCAACCTATACCAACTTAATATGTACGTACATTAAAACATAAGAGCATATTAAAGCATATTAAAACATATCAAAATATTTTAAACAATATTAAAACATATTAAAACATATGAAATCATATTATATAAAACATATTAAGCCTATACGTATCAGTGGGATAAGTTATAAATTATCACTAGATGCATTTTGCAGTGCGTTCATCATGGCGCATCCGCCTTGAGGGTCGCCACAATGACCCGGGTGAGGCTGTTGAAACGAGTCAATTCCTGCGGTGACAAACGAAGAATTCTCAATGGACATATGGAGGTGGCAATGGGTGGCACCAGAAATGGTTAATCATATGGTTAATAATGGTCAATAACAATGTTGATAATGGTTAATATGGTTAATAATGGTTAATAATGGATAGTTAACAATGGTTAATAATGGTTAATAATGGTTATATAATAATGGTTAATAATATGGTTTACATAAATGGTTAAATAATGTGGTTTATAATAAACCCTAATGGTGATGAGTATTTTTTTGTTTCCCAATCAAAATGGGGGCACCCAATAGCTGGATGGTTGATTTCATGGAAAATCCTACTATCAAAATCGATGATTTGGATAACTAAATGTACCATATGGTTATTTAACATAGCCATGGAAAATCACCATTTTTAATAGGTAAACCATCTATAAATGGGCCATTTTCCATGGCTATGTTAAAGAACCAGAGGGTAACCCTATTAGTAGGAAAACTCCAAATATGGTGAAAGCTTGTGACCAGAAGAACCATCAAGTTGTTTGAATACTAAACTTTACCAAATGTTGATACCACATGGATATGTTTTGGAACGAATGACAACTTGCTGGATATGATGGTTTTAAAAGCCATCAAGATGGTCATCAGTTGTTGTTCCCCTCCCACGGGCATGTTGAAGTCCGTTGACTTCGAGCAATAGGCTGACAGCCACTGAAGCCAAAACCAGAACTTGAACCACAAAATTGGAGGCCAACGGCCAACAAATAGGAGCGCAACCAAAACAACAACACTTTCAGGTAGGTTTTGGCATCGAAACAGAACCGTTTCGAATCGATTCGTTGTGAAGTGATGCCTGTACCAGGACGGTGTTCATGGACTCCTCATACATGGTGGGATACCTGGCCAGCAATGCGGCGCAGGAACCAGCGTCCAAAGAACATGTTTTTCCATCTGAAACATATGAAATTGTTGAACGCACACTGACACATTACTACGTCACTATATCAGGTGATATTATATCTATATTGTATCATTATATTGTGTATATCATATTACAGTATACCTTCATATACACTATAATTATCTATAATTATAACTGTAACCAGAGCGTACCATAGTTTTTTTTAATGCTATCACCAGAAGAACTTTGGCATGCGTGGCCTCTTTTGTACCTGCACCAAGTCAAACTGCTCGGGCATCCGCCGCAAGATGTCATTCGCCGCCTTGCGCCAAATGCTGATCGTTGGGAAATGTTGGGAAAGGGTGCAAGGCGGGCAACGTTTTATCTGACAATACATAAAACATGATAAAACATAGTAAACGCGTCCCTTTTTTCATTGGCTGCGCCCATTTTCAGCATTAAAACATCCCAACGTATGGTTTTTTGGCCCTTGGAAATCCGTACTTAATGGGTATGTAAATCTCCCCGTTAAAGGAGTGATGCCCATGCCCCAATATGGTTGGTCCATCTCTGACGACACATATGGTTTGCTTGAACATCGGCTACACCCCCAAAATTTCATGGACTATCAGGGTTATCAGGGTTATCATCATCCTAGTTTTGCCATTGAAATTACATACAAGTAACATTCTTGTCCATCTGGGTAAGTGTAGTACTTCACTCACCTGAAAGGTTGGGCTATTTCGGGCCCAATGCTATCGTTTCATCTATCCAGATCATCCCAGATCCAGACTCTTTGACCGGATTTTGGGAGGTTTCCATGGCGGGTAGCCCCAAATCATCCAAGTCATTTTATACAAATTTTTGACTTGTTGTATTGAAACCTATGGCTTTGGGGATCCCCCATGACTGAAGAAACCACAAAATTTCAAGACATGCACCTCGCCCACGGTCTCCTCTGGTGACGTTCCACCAGCGCCTGATGCCTTTTGGGAAAATGACGTGGCGTTGTCTTGGGAAAATGGATGGAAGATGGAAGATGGAAGATGTGGAAGATGAGAATTAAGGATTTGGAATACTGAACCTTTTTGAGGATGACAAGGACGTGCTTATTTTTCATGGCATGTTTCTTGTTTTGATATGAGGCATTTCTTGATGTTTAGGGAAACATGCTTGAAGATGACTTGATTTTATGTTTTGGGATGATGGACACTATACACTATTCAGAATCCTCAAAAAATACACCATCTTGTGGAAAGAAGCGTGGCAGAGTGGTCAGTAACAGAGTGGATTCTGCGAACCAGGGTAGCAAACAACGATAGCGTCAAGTGATGTGAAATTATTTTTTGTATTTGGATCTCTGCAAGGATATTACTACTCAATACTCCTAAGCCAGTAAATGCTCCAAAGCCAGGTAGTTTAAACTTTAAACTTTTAAACAACGAAATCTTGCCCTAATTTCTCAATCTGCATAGTTCGTGTGCCAAAATATCACACACCTCTGGCAGGAAAAAGACACCCTAGGGGTGGAAAAAAAAAAACAAAAACATCATCCAAAGAGGGAGGATCTGGCACCTGCCCCACAGTCAGCAGCAAGTTTTCCATCATCGCCTGCAGGGTGTGGAATTTTCCGTGGTTTTAAGCAATCAATCAATTGGGTTTTAACCAACGGTAATGGGATATCATGTGATATGTTCTATGGCTTGGATTTACTCCCGAAAGGCGACCTCTGTCTACTTCCACAACGGCCAACGATGACCAGTACATGGGTTTGAAGATAGGATAGCCCTAATTCCAAGTATATGATCATGTTCCACCATTTTTCAATGGTCATTTGGAGGCTATACCCCATTTTCAGACACACCCAGTGGCTGCGTCCAAGTAGCATAGGTTTCATTCTGCTCTCGAGTGAGATTGGCGTTGGCGTGGAATCCTGTCACGATGCGGATCTGTAGCACTGCAATCTGTCAATGCGAATGCTTTGAAACCATTTATACTATAACTTTGATCTACCCCCGGGGCAGTAACAGTGAGCACAAGCCAGGGGCACAAAATGAGCACCAGCCAAATGCAGAAAATAAGGGTCTAATCTGGTGATATGATACGGATAAATTCTTATACCAAAACCAAACAATGGATCAGGTAGACACCATGAATATGTAAATCATCAAATGGTTGAAAAAATGTTTCATGTGAATCGGAAGGAATCAAGCTGCACAGGTGTATGTTTCTCTCTTCTCGGCTCTGGTTGCTACAGATTTGCTAGGAACTGGCCAACTTATCACCAACATTCCGTTGGAAACCTTAGCAATTCTTAGTAACTACGACAGCTTAGCAATGTGACAACTAGCAACAATAACAACAACCGCCCCCCACCAGCGAGAGCACCACCACGACCACTACAACCAGCAGTACCAGCAGCGGCAGCAGCAGCAGCACCACCACCACCACAACAACCACCACCACCAAACGCAAGGGTGGGGGGGGGGTTGGGGCTGGGCCTGGGGCTGGGCTTGGCTGGGCTGGGGTGCTGGGGGCTGGTGTGGTTGGGTTGGGCCTGGGGGCGCTGGGGCTGGGGCTGGGCGTGGCGCTGGGGCTGGGGCTGGGGCTGGGCTGGCGCAGTTGACTTTTTTGGTTTTACTGTTTTCGGTTTTTTGTGCTCGGCTGGTGCTCAAATTGTGCCCGGCTGGTGCTCAAATTGTGCTCGGCTGGTGCTCAAATTGTGCCGGCTGGTGCTCAAATTGTGCTCGGCTGGTGCTCAAATTGTGCTCGGCTGGTGCTCAAATTGTGCCCGGCTGGTGCTCAAATTGTGCTCGGCTGGTGCTCGAATTGTGCTCGGCTGGTGCTCGAATTGTGCTCGGCTGGTGCTCAAATTGTGCCCGGCTGGTGCTCAAATTGTGCCCGGCTGGTGCTCAAATTGTGCTCGGCTGGTGCTCAAATTGTGCTCGGCTGGTGCTCAAATTGTGCTCGGCTGGTGCTCAAATTGTGCTCGGCTGGTGCTCAAATTGTGCTCGGCTGGTGCTCAAATTGTGCTCGGCTGGTGCTCAAATTGTGCTCGGCTGGTGCTCAAATTGTGCTCGGCTGGTGCTCGAATTGTGCTCGGCTGGTGCTCAAATTGTGCTCGGCTGGTGCTAAAATTGTGCCCGGCTGGTGCTCAAATTGTGCTTGGCTGGTGCTCAAATTGTGCTCGGCTGGTGCTCAAATTGTGCTCGGCTGGTGCTCAAATTGTGCTCGGCTGGTGCTCAAATTGTGCTCGGCTGGTGCTCAAATTGTGCTCGGCTGGTGCTCAAATTGTGCTCGGCTGGTGCTCAAATTGTGCTCGGCTGGTGCTCAAATTGTGCTTTTCTTGTGGTCCCTCTGGTGCTCGTTTTGTCGTCCCTTTGGACCTTTCCTTGCCCGGGCTAGTTTTTTTCATTTTTTTCGCAATTATTTTTGCAGTCTCCTTGTGCTTTTTTTGTGCTTTTTTTTGTGCTTTTTTTTGTGCTTTTTTTGTGCTTTTTTTGGTGCTTTTTTTGGTGCTTTTTTGTGCTTTTTTCTGTGTTTTTTAATGTTTTTTTTTGTGTTTTTTTGTGCTCTTTTTGTGTCTAGCTTGTGCTGGTTTTGGCGGTTGGTACTTACGCGTCAATGAAGTTTTGCGATTTAGGGTTCGAATGGGCTCGGGGTTTAGAATTTAAAGTTTAGGATGGATGCCAAGTATATAACATTTCCATTTTCCCACATGGCCAATCTGACTCCATGGTTGAGCACATTACGGTGCATTGTGCCAGTTGCATCAAGCGGCCAAATCCTTTCACAATATGTTCTAGTCCTTGCTTCGATGCAGACGCCTTGCTCGCACCTTCTCAGGGTAACACATGAATGTATTGTCTGTAGTCTGCGCTCTTCTTTTCTCAATGTTGGAATGCAACTGATATGCTTGAAAGATCTTGAAAGTGAAGCCCCTGTCTTGAATTCTGAATTCTGTATCAGAGGTTTGGAGGGCAGGTTGACGTTTTTTTTTGGGCACCTCCTAGCCGAGATTTTTGGAGCAATTTCCTTGTGCTCGTTTTGAAAGGGTAGGTTAAAGGAAAATCATTTATCTGCTGTTACTGGGCGGGGGGTAGATCGAAACTATATAACATTTAATATTAAACAAATTTCAATGAACCAGGGAGGTTTGGTGAGACGGAGCCTGGAATTGGACCAAACCTCCCTGGTTCATTGAAATTCCTTATTATTGCTTTAAACCTCCAAACATAGAATACCACTATCGTATCATCCGAAAAAATCGAATATTTATCATGTTTTTTTTTTCATCATCTTCCCTGTGTGTTTTTTCCCCAAAGAACCCAATTTCAGATATCATCCATGTATACTATATCTACAAACATAGTTCAAACACAAGAATATGCTACCTAAACCTCCCACCCTCCCAAGAAATGAGATGCAATTGTTCTACAGGAAGAACTGGTTCGAAGCCTATATTTTTTTCAGGGTCAAAATCCTCCTGTACCCTGTAGATATTTCTTTTAGTCAAACCATTGAAACTTTCAAACACATATTTGTTGGTTGAATCCTGAGTGTTTGTGCTAAAAAGTCCCAATTACCTCCCAATGTTATCCACTTATGGATCACCCTCTGGTAAGCAGAACATGGCTAGCTATGGCTGGCTGGAAAAATCCCCCAACTAAATGGTTTTTTTGTTGCTAGGAAGATCCTCTTTTTTCATGATTCTCTAATCTTTATGCTTGATAGTCTGTAAATCACCGGTTTTTAATGGCAAACTCGTCATGTATATATGTTTATCATCTATAAATGAGCAATTTTCCAGATAGCCAACGGGCTAAATCCCCATATCTTTTCCCCATGGCTCCAACGCTTGAAATCCATGGGTAAACCACAACTCGTCGCAAAAAGCCGCCATCGCGGTCCGTAAATGCCCGGGGGGGTCACCATGGGCGTCTGCCGAATCATCTCCAAACTCTCCTGGAGGAAAGGTAAGCGTTTCTGATATGGAGATAGCACCATTCAATACCATTCATATCCATTCATGTATGTATGTGTTATGATGTGTGATGTGCATCATTTTTTTGAGGTTTCCTGAAATTTCGGAGTACCCCCAATAGCTGGATGGTTGATTTCCATGGGAAAATCCCAATCTCAAATGGATGATGACTGGGGGTAGCCCCATGACTTAGGAAACCACCATATAGTTCGTATCATCTGCCAACATTGAGCATCTCAGCAGGCGCGAGATCCCAGCGATCCCAGCGAACATGGTAAGACTCATGTTACCCTACTGCAATCATACAACAAGAAGTGGACAACCCAGCATTTGTAGACCATCTTCAACCATGTTCCGAGCTGGTTTCCTCATGGTTTTTACGCATCTTTTTGTATGTTTACACTAGGATAAGATTTCTTAAGGTCTCCATGGTGATATCCATTGGTAATGTCCAAATTGTTGGAGGCCATATGAACAGAACAATATCAGCCACCATTCACCTATGGCAACCAAAAAGATGCCAAAAAGAAAGATCAAAACCTCAAACAGTGATAAAACATGATCAAATTATATCAAATATTATCAAATTATGTATATATTGTTCCTTGTCTATCCATCAGGGGACTACATTATATACCCAAAATCTGGTTTTTGTTGAACATGAATCAGCCATAGATTCTTAAAGGTCATTTTAACCCAGCCATCGATTTCCGAGAATTTTTCCTCCCAAGAGCTGGCTGGGAGCACAGTGAAGTCTGGATGCTCAGGACAGAGGCTATAGCCTGCGATCGTTTTTCGCAGAGTTTCGGGTCGAATCCGTGTCAAACCAGTGCCACATTCGCCACATTCACAGAAACTGTTCGGAGAACTTCTAAAACATCTGGAAAACTGTTCGGAGAACTATGGTTTGGAACTTGTTTTTTTTCTGCTTTCTTGGTGGGGGGGTGTTTTAATTGAAATTGGGTAATTAACGGTAATTACAAGGAGAAATGAATTCCATTGAATTCCAACATATTCCAACCATGAAGGGGTCTTACGCAAGCCCAGGCGGAACCGCGAAAATTCTACTGATCTTGCAGGGTGTTCTGACTGTCTCCAGATGGCTCTATAAAAGGAAATTGGAACCGGGTTCGGGCCCGTTGCCGAGCACAGCTTGGCTGTTCCACAAAATGCCGCAAAACTGATGGGAAGGTCGGTCAACATCGGACAGCTGATGGGCAAAAGCCTGGGGTAACACATTTTTTAACCCCCCCAAAAAGTCTGCTGTGGCTGAGCTAACATGTGTACCTTTTACAGAGTAACATACTCTGCACGACTCAACGTGTCACCATGCCTGGTTTCAAGACTTCAGGATTGTAGTAGTCTAGCAGAAGAGTCATCAACAACCGTCGGTCCTGGCAGTTTGCTGAAGAGCCATGTTCAACCTTGCCATCCCCAACAAAGCCTAGGCGTAATGCTCCATCTGTCCTTATTCACGATCCAAATGCTCCGGCAAATTGGCCCAACTGCAACTGAATTGCTTTAGCACCCATGGAAAAGATCAGTTGAAACTCAAAACTGGTTGGTGGTTTCAATCCCTCTGAAAAATATGAGTTCGTCAGTTGGGATGATGAAATTCCCAATAGATGGAAAAATATAAAAATCATGCTCCAAACCACTAACCAGCATTTGTTATACTTACCCTCTGGTAAACTAACGTAACTGTGGAAAATCACCATTTTAAGCTGGCTAAATCCACGAACTTTTAGCCCCTTGTGTTTTTCACGGCCTGTGCTTCGGTGACGCGGCCACCATAGTTGCACTCTCCCGCCAGGTAGTTGATAGCCTGCACCGATAGAAACAGCTCCTCCTAGTGTCCTAGTGTCGGGGTTAGGCCTTTGGGTAGTCATCTTCTGTCCGAAAATGCGGCTATAGCCCAAGTTTTGTTCATATAGTTTTTGTTGTTTCCAGGGGCACTTTTTTTGATTCTCTGATTGGAATAGCAATGGATTTTGGGACACCCCATGGTCAGACCCAACCAAACATGAACTGAGTGCAAGATCTTGAAAGCACGTCATGCTAGTCTCATCTCTTGTCCAGGATGACATATGCTCGAACCACAAATAGTCTGTAGGTTCTACATGCAGCAGCACCCTTTGGGGAGGACGCAGTGGTGGAGAGATGTGGACAGTGAATGTGACGATCACATTGCATCCACTGAGGATATCTCACATCCCCCATGGGTGTTACGGGGCTTGTCGCTGTTTCATCACAGGACAGCAGACCTTGAACTGTATCTGCTCCGGAGACTCATCAATAAACATCTGCAGTTGCCGAGCTGAAATCCGCAAATCCTCAGTGGCTGGTGCACCGATTTGACATGTGATAGCTGGTGAATTACATGGGCTACTTGGCTTTGACCGCATAAAGTCGCAATAAAGCCGCAGACTGGCGCAAAATGTAAATACGTAGTATGTGTTAATATGTGTTAATTAACTACGTTTTGCTCCAGCCTGTGAAACTCGCTTAACATCTATGAAAACCATGAAATAACCATGAAATCTCTGCTTCAACTGGATGCAGATCATCGTTCTTTTCCTTCAGCTTCACTTAGTTCACTCAGCTCAAAGCGTTTTGCGTGAATTCGTAGGGGATGTTCCAACCTCGCAAAACGCTTCAAATGGGATTGGTACCTGCAACATGTAGGGGAAAACATGGGAAACCCCCTTTGAATCCACTGTTTTATCAATGTGTCATCATTGTGTCCATATTAGAATTGTATAAAATTGACATTTTGGGGTGTATACCGTGTACCCCATTTTATGTTTATTACATACGTTTGAAACAGTCTGAATCGCGACCTTACTTAGACCCTCCGTTTGTAGCCCCAAATGGGTGAAAGTCCCAAGTCATCATGCGTATATTGCTAGAAATTGCCACATTTATCTCGGGAGACAGCACTCAGCTCGAAGACTCCGGGCCAAGGGCCGGGCCCAAGGGTCCAAAGAGTCGTCTCTCCTGGCTAGAAGTACAGGAGTTTTTGTTCATCATGTCAGTGGTGAAATAAAATTCACAGGTTCATCATGGTTCAACATGGTTCACCATGGTTCACCATTCAATGTCTGAGTTCTGGATGAGTGAAAAATCTATAAAAATCTCACCTCGGACTCAAATATGATGTGTGTGTGCAACTTCCACCGTTTTTCATGAATGATTGATGGAACTGCCGTGCTTGACATTGCTTGACACCTGAATCACAGCGTGGAAGAAGCACAGGGCGTACAGCAAGCGCTTGAATGCCTGAACGAAGAGCTGGAGATCCCACAACTGGCTGGCTGTTTCAATTCGAGGTAAGAAAGGATGAAAGTCATTTGAGCCCTGAAACATATCACTATCTGTATCCCATTCCATTGTACTGGTTTAATGGATTGGTTTAAGGGAAAAAATCTACAGGAAACCATGGTTTTTACCATCAAACATAGGGGTTTCCTGCACATTTTCCCATCATCCAATTCTGTGACTGGTTGGTTAGTCAATATTCCGCTATAGATATATGAATATATATATGATATATGATGAATAATATGGGTTATATGTTATAAGTTGTAATATGTTGTAATCCCATTCTGCCAGTGAGTATAACCCCCTATTTGTTTACCCATCAACTTCATGGGCATCATCCCAAAATAGGGAATGACCCTGGAAAAGGATGCCCGGATGCCCCAAGGATTTTGTTTTAAGCCGTTTTCAGAGGGAAATTGAGATCCTAAACCATCTAATTTAGAGGTTTTCCCCTGAATGGTCAAACTCTGATATACTCATTTAGATGGGAATTTAGATATGTATCAAATTTGTTTTCAGATATTTTTGGCGAATTTTCGGCAAATTCGCTGCCTTTTGAGCCACCTTCAGCACCTTTGAAGGGCTCGCCGCCCCATCCCGCTGTGGCGACCTGTGGGTTCTTGCAGCCTTCGAAGAACTCTTCGTTGCTAATAGGATCCTTGGAGATTCCAACATCCCAAGCCAGCGAAGCAACCAGATTTCTGGGTCAATTGGGTACAATTAGCCCCAAAATGGTGGTTGTAAATGATTGTAATGGGAAGATATGAAAAAAAAATTAGGTTTTAGACCATCAAAATGCGGGGGAACCCTATTTGCAAACAAACCCAAGTGGTTGATACTTTGAGCAATCTCCTATCGTCAGGCACCTCGTGCCCAGCTGGGAATCCCCAACCATTAAATAGGAGCCTTCCAAATTCATGCGCAAACCTTGTGGCGCTTCATTCGTGATCTTGACCTTGGCGTTCAAAAAATGGAACCAACTGCATCTTTCGGTGACTCACAAATGAAATGTATCATGATTTATCACAAACCGTGGCTAAACATATGAAAACAAATCAAGACGAGTACTCAGCGCACTCGACTGAGGAAGCACAGTAAAGAACATCGGCCGAGCTCATCACGCTGTTCTGGAGAATTGACACCTGAGTATCGCGCTTGGTATCCAGACATACCTAAAACCAATATTGCACAAACATTTGGGCTTATCCCAAAAAAACTTGAACCCAATTAAATGCAATGGTTCATCATCATTTGGACTCTTGACATGTTCACATATGTTCACATATGTTCACATGTTAGTGTAGTCTGCCCCCGTTTTTGGGACCCATAAAAAAAAAAAACAAAAGGTCTGTTGCTGAATGCACTCAGCACCCGACTGGAAATTTGTCGGATGGGTAGGACGTGAGCCACAACCTGCGTCTCGGTGGAGATTTCGCCAGCTGAGGAGTGCCCGGACAAAACATGGGATGGTTACATATGGTTCAATGGATTGGTTTAAGGGAAAATCTACAGGAAACCATGGTTTTTAGCATCAAATATAGGGGTTTCCTGTAAAATTTCCCATCATCCCATTCTATGAATGGTTCCTTCATCGCTAATCAAACATATAGACGTCATAAAAAGCGCGCCTTTCATTTTAAGACTCCAGTCTATTGCATGACTTCCTCAGCAAATCTTCAACATCCAACCATGACATCAGCATATATTCATCACCATCCATGACATCTTTGAATAACTTTGAACCACGACATCACCAGAGGCCCCAAAAACCGGGGTTGGTAAATGTCCTAATTTTTCATCATGATTCATAATCTCCAACAGATACTTTTTTTTTTGGTGTTCAACAATTCCATGGCAGCCATGGCAGCCATCAACGACGAAAAGAGCAGGACCGACGTCGCGGCACCTGAACTCCACGTTGGTCGCTTTGGGATCCATCTGTTCCAGGATCTTGTCCAGCTTCGGCATCCAGGAGGCGAACAAATGGCAGTTCTGAAGCAACACCTGGGCCAGGGCGGCCAGGGCCTGGTGACTAACGATGGGGACCTTGGGGGAAACCCCTTTAGGGGGAAATTCTGGGGAAAAACCTTGGAAACGTGTCGGAAACTTCAACAAAACAAACTGATATGATGATTTACATAAGATTATACGGCTAGGGGTCAAAAACACCAACATTGCTGGAATTTACATATGGATGTTTATCTCCCACAAATATCGAAATATAGGTCTTGACCCATCAAAAAAAATGGTATGGGAACAGTTCAACTATCAATACATTTGGTACTTGCAGGATCCAGCGTAGTTGTTTCTGTGGAGTATACCCTCAGCTTTCAATCAATGGTCTTGCCAACCAGTTCACAATCTGGAGAACCCAAACCTACTTTTCACCATGATTGTATCCCTAATTTATTCTTGTTTTGAAACCTCAAACAAAAACGAGAAGTGATTATGACTCTATGGCAGTGTTGTTATCATTATCATTGGCACTGTCATATCCCCTTTGTTATTATGATCGTCATTGTAATATCATTATTACTGTATTACTATTATTGGGTCTACACATGGTTGCTTGATAGGCTATCCCCGAGAAATTAGTCAGTAAATAAATCCCACTATTTCATGACCAGTCAACCATCCTTTTTTAATTACATCTCACTTTTTTCTGGGCTTCAGACTTTTAGCCAATAATAATAACAATTATATACAATTAACACTATACCAACATATGGGTATGGGTCAATACCCATAGATACATTTTTAGTGGGTTATTCACATCCATAAATCCCAGCTATTTTCATGTGAACAGAAGGGGTACTAAAAAGGTTTTGACCCATAGCCAAAAAAATCTTTGATACATCTTTCGAAGATGTTTCCTGCTATTTTTCACCATCCCCCAAATGACATACAGGTCATGGCCCCAATCAACACAACTGTCAGAAAAACGTCCCAAGTCATGGCAGGGTCCGATCTTTGGAGGCCGATTTCCACTCAAATGCAGCGCATCAATATCCATCAGTCTGAAGAAATCATAAAAAACCATGCCCCAGAAAATCCCCCAGTTTTTTCAAAATCCAATGGATTTTGAAACATGTGGTTTTCGACACTAAATGTTCATTTTTATGTTTTTGGCTCATGCACTCCCCATTTAGGATACCCTGGATACCCTCTGATTATATCCAACATGGCACTTGGAAATCCAGAGATTATAGCTGGGTTTCCAGCCTCGAACTAAATGATTAATTTTCTAGCCACGTTTGAGGACACCTGACAGTACTATACAGTAATATCATTAAATATCCCATTAACCCATTATGAACCCATTATTGACAACCATTGGTATAGAACCACTGGTTCGCCTCTGGTTTATCAACCTAAATCAATTCATCACTAACCATTCTTAACTCATCTTGTTAATAACAATTACTAACATCTTATTATCCCAAACAATTATTAAGCTCTTATTAACCTCTTATTAACCTCTTAATTGTTAGCCATTATTAGCCCAGTATTAACCTATTATTAATTGTTACAGTAACCAATATTAGCCCATTATTAACCATTATGACAATAAATCCAGTATGAACTGTTAACCATTAATAGTAAATAACCATTATTAACAATTATTAAGCTCTTATATCACTAAATCCATGATGAAACTCCCCTAAAAAATCACTAACCCAATGATTTCTTATTATCCACTAACCCAATATTCTTCATTAACCATTAACACATGAAATTAACCCAGTATTTCTATCACTTTCCATCCCATCCAGTCCTTTTTGTGAATTTTTGGCACCGCACCCAGCTTCCACTCTGCGTGGCATCCGCCAGCAAGCGTTCGGCCTTGGGACCTTGACCCTGACCTCGGTTGCCATGGGAATCCCCATGGGAATATCTATGGGATGTCTGGTAAACACCATAGAAATAGTGGATTCTACATAGCATGGTGATTTATATAAGTTATATAAGTTATATATAGATTTATATCCCATATCCCATAGATATTCCACTCATATCTCAATAAGGATAGCCTCTGGGAAACTAACAGTTTGCGAGCTTGAAAATTAAAATCTTTAAGTTCGGTAAATCAACAATTTCTATGGGCCAGTTTCAATAGCGAACTGTTAAATTACCAGAGGATATCATTTATAGATGACTGTAGATGATTAATGATTATATATAGCAATTCATATTGCATTCTTGAGTTGATGAATGTCCTTCTTTAGATGTACAACTGTTTAAATTCAATGAATAGATTTGTGAGCAAAATTGATACGAATGATCAATATATATATAGATAGATAGATAGATATATTATTATCACATATGTCAATCTATATTGTAACGGTACAGTATTATATGTTATAATACGCTAACCTGCCATCCACTAACGTGGACGCAGGAAGTCAACAGTTGCTGGGGACCGCCTGATTCTTCAGTAGGAAACACTGTACCCTCCGGTAAGTATGGATGATTGTGGAATATCATGGGAATATAATGGACATATTGGACATAATGCCTAACACCCTCCAGTAAACTCACAAAGTTATGGTATGCTATGGGATAGATGGCCCAATTACAGATGCTTTACCTCAAAATGATGATTTTCCAATATTTTCCAGTTCGCTATCTTCAGTTTCCACAGGGCAATGATTCATTCCTTGGGATACATTCCTCACCTTACGGATGACTGGTGCTCACTGTGAAGGACAGAGATATCCAGCGACAAGATGTCAGACTTCCGAGCATTTTAAGCAATGATGTTGGATGGACTTCAGATCTCCCTGTCTGCACTAATATTATGTATATATATATATTATTATATACATATTTATGCGCTGTGATTTTAAGATGGCATACCTACCCACAATACTACCCCAACAATGGTCCACTGATGTAGGCTTAAACATCTGAAGTATACCAGCGCCATGGTTGTGGGTTCATCTGAAAATATGGCTACCCAATCTGCTGATTTGAGGGGTACTTCGACCCTCCAAGTACCCATGAAAATGTGGAAAAGTCCAACATAAAGGATCTATTGAATTCTTACTATCCATATTCAAGCCCTAAAATATGATAACTAACAGTGCTTACATAACTATGGGCAATCAAATACCTAACATATGAGTAAATTACCATTGGTTACACATGTAAATTACAATAGTGGGTCTACTATACCTATTGGTGGGTTAAATATAGATGATACATCAACGTTCTAAATAAACAAACATAACATGTGTTACCCCATGTTGGTCTATTTAAATATTTACATATGTTACCCAGTTTAATAGAGCCGTTGGTTCTAGATAAATAACACTAAACCTACGTATATTCAGATCCAATATCAAAGCCCTAAAATAGAGCTAACAAACATTGCGTATATCAATAATGTGGGTAAAACAATGCCATAGACCATCCCCCAGTCATCACCATTTTTTGCTTGGTGGTATGTTTAGGCACCATTCCCAAATAAATGGGTGGTTTAATGGCATTGTTTTACCTACATTTTCCATATTTTCCATATAGTTTACCAATGTTTGTTAGATATTTTGTTTTCTAATCAAGCTACATATTGTCTTGTTTTCTATAGTTTACCATAGTTTACCAATGTATTTTCCATCTCGTTTACCATGCGAACACCCTTCCACCCCACGTCGAACGAACTCGTCGAACGAGTTCTCGAGTCTTCTGGGCGGCCCGGCCCAAGGATAAACTGTTGATCTCCCGTGCCTGCAACAGAAGGCAAACCCTCTGGGAATGACTAAACGACTATGAACATTTGCAGGACCCCCCTAGCAATTTCATGGGGAAAACCATGGGAAAACCGGTTCAGATTTTCCCACCAATCCAATGACGGTACCCCAAAAATCGATGGTTGTATAATATGGAAAATCCATCAATGGATGACTAACATATGTGTACCCCCATGACTTAGGAAACCTCCCTATTTTTCATGGGTAAATCACAGGTGAGTCAGAGGGTAAATCATGGGAACAAATTGCTGAAGAGTAACACAAAAAAAAAAAATATTAAACCAAAAAAACACTATAGAACACCAAATGATATATGATGATATATGAATATCTCGAAACCAATCACTGATATGTTTGACATGTCTTTTGGATATGTTGTGCTGTTGCCCGGAAAATCATTCTTGGCTTAGCGGTTGAGCAACCCAAAACGGTAGAAAAACGCACGATTATCGGGGCAGAAATCTCAGACCACTGCCTGTCAAAGTTCAAGAAGATACACATAGAACAGAAACCCAGTGACGCACCGATCCGAATTACCTCTGGAAATTTGTTCCACTTGCCTATTGAAGTCAATGGTCCATTTAGTTCGTTGATTTACCGAACTTAGAACATGGTGATTGTCCATAACGCAAACTGTTGGTTTACCAAAGGGTATCTATCCTTTTCTCTTTTCTCTTTTCCATGTTATTACTGATGTGGGCAATCCAATAATACAGTAAACCATCCCCAAGTCATCAGCATGTTTGGCTTGGTGGTATGTCGACCATCCCTATACACCAGAGGCTATATAATGTTTGGGAATGATTAAAGAGATGGTACCCTATTGTGAGATCTTTCTTGCTCCTAATTCAGTCACATGCTAATTGTTGGGGGGGAACTCTATTGTGAGATTTTTTTCAGATTTTTTCATTTTTTTTTATTTTTGTTCAATTAGTTTTTACTTTTTTTAAATTTTTATTTTTTCAATTTTAGATTTTTTCCAGATTATTTCATTTTTTTTATTTATTTTTATTTTATTTTTTTATTTTATTTTTTTTTAATATTTTTTCAATTTTAGATTTTTCCAGATTTTTTCCAAATAATTAGATGCCTTATTAAACCCTTATTAAAAAACAGCACTCAGACAATTTTTCAAGGGGGTACCTCATGAGTGGCTCAGTTACTCAATAATATAATTGTTTGGATGGTACTCTATTGTGAGCACCAACTTTTGGGAGTGAACAAAAAAACCTTTCTCCACCTTTCTTTGGGTAAAGCTGGTCCTTTTACTTTAGAAAGCCATATTTATGCTAAAGCTTAAAATGCAAGGTTTTCCAAATAATTAGATGCCTTATTAAACCCTTATTAAAAAACAGTACCTAGACAATTTTTCAAGGGGATACCTCATGAGTGGCTCAGTTACTCAATAATATAATTGTTTGGATGGTACTCTATTGTGAGCACCAACTTTTGGGAGTGAAAAAAAAAACAAAACCCTTTCTCCACCTTTCTTTGGGTAAAGCTGGTCCCTTTACTTTAGAAAGCCATATTTGTGTTAAAACTTTAAAATGCAAGGCTTTCCAAATAATTAGATGCCTTATTAAACCCTTATTAAAAAACAGCATCCAGACAATTTTTCAAAGGGGTACCTCATGAGTGGCTCAGTTACTGAATAATATAATTGTTTGGATGGTACTCTATTGTGAGCACCAACTTTTTGGAGTGAAAAAAGAAACGAAACCCTTTCTCCACCTTTCTTTGGGTAAAGCTGGTCCTTTCACTTTAGAAAGCCATATTTGTGTTAAAGCTTTAAAATGCAAGGTTTCCCAAATAATTCGATGCCTTATTAAACCCTTATTAAAAAACAGCATCCAGACAATTTTTCAAGGGGGTACCTCATGAGTGGCTCAGTTACTCAATAATATAATTGTTTGGATGGTACTCTATTGTGAGCACCAACTTTTGGGAGTGAAAAAAAAAAGCAAAACCCTTTCTCCACCTTTCTTTGGGTAAAGCTGGCCCCTTTACTGTAGAAAGCCATATTTGTGTTAAAACTTTAAAATGCAAGGCTTTCCAAATAATTAGATGCCTTATTAAACCCTTATTAAAAAACAGCATCCAGACAATTTTTCAAAGGGGTACCTCATGAGTGGCTCAGTTACTGAATAATATAATTGTTTGGATGGTACTCTATTGTGAGCACCAACTTTTTGGAGTGAAAAAAAACGAAACCCTTTCTCCACCTTTCTTTGGGTAAAGCTGGTCCTTTCACTTTAGAAAGCCATAGTTGTGATAAAACTTTAAAATGCAAGGTTTCCCAAATAATTAGATGCCTTATTAAACCCTTATTAAAAAACAGCATCCAGACAATTTTTCAAGGGTGTACCTCATGAGTGGCTCAGTTACTGAATAATATAATTGTTTGGATGGTACTCTATTGTGAGCACCAACTTTTGGGAGTGAAAAAAAAAACAAAACCCTTTCTCCACCTTTCTTTGGGTAAAGCTGGTCCCTTTACTTTAGAAAGCCATATTTGTGTTAAAACTTTAAAATGCAAGGCTTTCCAAATAATTAGATGCCTTATTAAACCCTTATTAAAAAACAGCATCCAGACAATTTTTCAAAGGGGTACCTCATGAGTGGCTCAGTTACTGAATAATATAATTGTTTGGATGGTACTCTATTGTGAGCACCAACTTTTTGGAGTGAAAAAAAAAACGAAACCCTTTCTCCACCTTTCTTTGGGTAAAGCTGGTCCTTTCACTTTAGAAAGCCATAGTTGTGATAAAACTTTAAAATGCAAGGTTTCCCAAATAATTAGATGCCTTATTAAACCCTTATTAAAAAACAGCATCCAGACAATTTTTCAAGGGTGTACCTCATGAGTGGCTCAGTTACTCAATAATATAATTGTTTGGATGGTACTCTATTGTGAGCACCAACTTTTGGGAGTGAAAAAAAAATGAAAGTAAATTAAAAGTAAATTGAAATCAATTGAAAGTAAATTGAATCAATTGAAAGTAAATTGAAAGTAAATTAAAGTAAATTGAAATCAATTGTAAATTGAAAGTAAATTGAATCAATTGAAAGTAAATTGAAAGTAAATTAAAAGTAAATTGAAATCAATTGAAAGTAAATTGAACGTAAATTAAAAGTAAATTGAAATCAATTGAAAGTAAATTGAAAGTAAATTAAAAGTAAATTAAATTGAAATCAATTGAAATCAATTGAAAGTAAATTAAAAGTAAATTGAAATCAATTGAAAGTAAATTGAAATCAATTGAAAGTAAATTGAAATCCTTTCTTAAGTTGATTGACCAAAAAAATGTTGAGGGGGGGGGCAAAAAAAAGTGCGAGCTATAGAGTATCCCCAAATTGTTTGGGGGGGGGGCCCCCTCACACTAATCAGACGCAAACATTATATATATATCAAATATCCCATGAACCAAGTATAAACATAATTATAACTCATTAATGTGGGTAACACATGGTCACACAATAATAAACCATCCCCCAGTCATCACCATTTTTTGCTTGGTGGTATGTTTACCATTCCCAAATAAATGGCTGGTTTAATGGCATTGTTTTACCCACATAATTAATATTTATCAACCCAATATTATTAATCAATGTTGACTTCTGGCCGAAAAAAAAATCATGACGACGCATCGGCCATAGGCCGGCCCACGCGTCGTCCGGTCTGCCGTTGCGAACTGTGGCCTTGTCAGTTGCGAACATGTACAGCGCCGAGGATGGGTCAGACCTGTCCAGCGAGGTTTTCGTCTACAACTTTAAATTGAGAACAGCGAGGAAAGCAGCTCTTTTTGAGGAAAAACAATGTGAAAATTTGGATGGTTACAGCAATAAAAAGGAGACTCTATGGGACAAAATGGGCAGATCTATAAGACTTTGGAGACATACTTTTCTTCGAATAGTCAAAAGGCATTGTTAAAGGCGGCATCAAGTCGATATGAATGCACTGCAACATGCATCAGGAGGACAGTAAGGACATCTAAATAAACGGTGTGAACGTGATCCCCTGCCTCAGGCAACGACAGAAATTGGATATTCAATGCATATTCAGCATTCATCTAGACGACTAAATCTTGAAGCACCAGTATCAATGATAATAACAGTTTAGTCACATTGATATTTTTATTAAGAAATATTATTAGATAACATAGTTTTATATTGCTGGTGGTTGAATATCATTAATATCAATGATGACTGGAAAATACCACAGTTTTCGAAAGGAACAATAACTTACCACATCCAGATGAGTCACTTGGGATCATCTTGACCTTTTAGATTTTTGTGTGTTCCAACCTTCAGTCTGGCGAAGTTGTTGAAGAAAAATCCCAAATGAATTCTATCCCGAAAAAGGTGTTGGTTTAACATGCATTAAACACATTTTTGAAGATTTTTTCTGGGTAAATCCAGAATTGGTCGTCTCTGCAGACTCATCGACTCAGGCTCTCACCCAGGTGACAGGATGAAGATCAAGGGCGATGTGGTTGATGAATCGGCATAACCTTGGACGTGGGGAGGCGACGATAGCCCTGGCGGCTATGGTATACCATAGCAGGGGGGTCGACCATAGCCCACAATGATACTGCAATGAGTTGCAAATCATGATGATTTTTGAGGCAAAAGGTTGGTGCTATCGCAATCTCATGATACATTTTGTGTTAAAAACAAATATGCAAATACCATGTCCACCAAACCAAACTGCTCGGCTCTCTCCCAAATCGAATGTACTTAGACCTTCCACATGCCGATAAAACTAATTACTCTTGAGGGTCTAGGATGGTCTAGGTATATCCTTTACCTCCACAATATGTCGCTTTAGAACGAGGACGAAACCTTGGAACTCTCCGAGACAACCTTGGACCTTGTGCGTCATGGGGCCCCATGGGGCCCGATGGGGCCCTGGCTCATCCCAGCATGGTTTCCTTTCCTGGGTGAATATAAGGCCTGTTTATTAATTAGGGGGGTACTTTCCAAATATCAATGGATTGGTTTAAGGGACAATCTACAGGAAAGCATGGTTTTTACAGTACCATCAAAAATATAGGGTTTTCCTGTGAATTTTCCCATCATTCAATTCTATGAAAATAGTCATAATCTGATACTGAAAAACTATCCCCCCAATTCAACAACCGTTTTGTGGTTTATTAATCCATGGTTGACATTAACAGGATTGGACGACCATGCCACAACTTTTTGGCCACCCATGTTTTCACCATGGCAGATACTTGGGATATGATAGATGTGGCATGGAACCACCTTCTTCATTTGGCAGCCCTGGGCCAAGCCATAGCTACGGCAAGCAGCTTCCGGCGATGTCAAAAGGCGGCGGTGTCACAAATTTCTCGCCGATCTGATGCGGTGTCAAAAGGCGGGATTTCGCTGATTTGATGATGATTCTTTTCGGGATTTCTGGATATGGGGGATCCCCAAAGTCATCCCAATTTTCTAATTACTAAGATTTGATGTACTCTCTGGTAATTTAACATAGCTATTGAAAATGACCATTTATAGTGAGTTTTCCCATTAAAAATGGTGATTTTCCATAGCTATGTTAAATTACCAGAGGGTAGGTTGATTTGAGGAATCAAAGTCATCCAAATTTTCTAATTCTTGATCGCGAAACCAATGATCTTGGAGTACCCAGAGAGTGAGAAACACCAACCCAACAAATCTCCGTACAATCCCCATAAGCCAAAAGCACCTTAAGATCCTGATCTTGTTGATGCTCCCTATGTTTTCCATATGTTGTTCAGATGTTCTCCAGATGTTTTCCACATGTTTTCCACCTCGGCGGTCACATAGGTGAGCACCGCAGGCAGGACGCGATCGGGTCTCACACACCTTCAAATATGGAAGTTTTGTAGCTGGGTAAGTAATCTACACATAGGGGAATTATTGATAATCAGGACATATATATATATGGATATTAATATTATATATATATGGATATATATATATATGGATATATATATATACATATTATATATATGGACATATATATATATATCCATATATATATATGGATATATATATGTCCATATGTATATATAATATGTATATATATCCATATATATATATCCATATATATCTGTATATATATGTATATCCATATATATATATATGGAAATATTTTATGGAATTGAATGGCTCAACAAACTACAATATTTCTGTGATGGGATTTACCCTCTGGTAATTTAATATAGCTACGGAAAATCACAATGCTTACCAGAGAAGTCATCTAATGAATGGGGATTCACCTGTTGGTTATTTAACATAGCTATGGTATAGGTGGCCAATTTATAGACGATGCTAAACAAGATGATTTTAACCAGAGGGTATACAAGCTGGGCCATGTATACCATAGCAAACGGTTAGCTTGTTGGAGGATATATAATCATGATGAAATATTATATTTCAATTAGATATCCCACATCAGATACTGTTGGTGAGGCTCCGCAGTGAAATGTTGGTCAAAAAGACCCCCATGAACTATGTTGTATACTGGACTTACACCATGTTGTATCATAGTATATTCTCACGACTATCAATTATTATATATATACATATTATATATATATATCCATATTATATACATATATACATATAATTTTATATATACATATAATTATATATATACATATAATTTTATATATACATATAATTATATATATAATTATAAAAAATCATATATATATAATTATATATATAACTATATATATATAATTATATATTAATATGTCAGTATACTATAATAACTCGAGTTATATTCGCTATATTCCCCCTAAACCCCAGCTATCAGTTATCACCAGGCAAGTTATTTGCGTCAACTAAGCTAGGGGGTCACCCTGAGAGTGATGATCATGATGATCATTGAATATGTGAAAACAACACACATGATCATTATCAAGAAGATTCAATAGAATTAAATAGATCTATGTAAATAGCTGGTGATCATCAATTGTTTCTTTCTTATGAGTTTGTTTGGATAAGAAGCAAACAAACATATACAACTTCGTTACATTAGATCCTCAAGACAAGTACCAGGTCCCTTGGCTCAACAAATGGGTCGATATTTTTTTCTCCTCAGTGATGGCCATCGTCACAGAATCCCCAAATGGCAAATTACCTGGACCGAGAATCATCTTGCCTTGAATGTCCTAAAATATGGTTACCCGGGTTACCCCATAAACCATTGCTTTTCCCATTGATAATCACCAGTTTAGATAACTTGGGGTACCATGACTTAGGACACCTCCAGATTAACCATTGCAAACCCTTCTTAAACCATGATGAACCATGAATTATCCACATTAATCATCATTAATCGATATTTTCCTGTAGGTAATGTCCAATGTCATAAACCATCTCCCAGTCATCATCATTTTTGGCAATATCCATCATTTTTGTATAGTAAACCACCACCATATTTATCCATATTTCCTTATTTTCATGTTGGTAAAACAATCATAAACCATCCCCAATGTCACCATTTTTATAGGTGGTATGTTTACCATTCCCAAATAAATGGGTGGTCCGAATCACCTCAAGACCATGAGCTTCTGGAATTGCGTCAGACCTCGGCTTTGCAGCGTGGCCCCACAGGATACCCTTGGGGGATTTCTTGGGTGACCCCAAACGTGGTAGATTCTAATGAGATATGATCTGTGTTAAATTCTAATGGCATATGAACTTTAATGAACTTTAACAAACAGTCTTTAGATTCTTTAGATTCTATTTACTTCAGGTATTGAACAAAGATATAGATAGGATATTCCGAATGATGGGTCCATATTTCTTTTGATGTCTTTCTATGTCTTCGCACATTGATTCCACAAAAGCTCCGACCTTCTTCGAAGCACAGAAACGGTCGGAGCTTATGTGGCGCATGCTGTTCCTACCCCAACCTCCATTCAATAGTCCCCTTTGGACAGTGGAAGGGTCTGAACCCCCAAAAAAGCTTGCCACCCGCATGGATAAAACATGATAAAACCCAGGGGGTCTGAGGCTAGCATTCGGATGTCTTGATTTCAGGATTCACCCTTCTTTGCACCATTGATCTTGGATAAAATCCAGCCATCCTCTTTGACCTTAAATTCAATGGCCTGATCCCATTTCGAGCATCAAATCCGGCTTCTGATCGAGAAATATCCAGAAGCCCAGGGGGTTACAGCCCATAGATTCCATGGATTCAGCCAGAACCATTCGTGGATAGCCAGGGATTTTTAAAGGCCACCATGTGCTGAATTGCTGGAGGATAACCCATCGGCCCTTTGAAAGGCCCCGACCCTTCAGGCTCTGTGGAGCTTTACGAATGTCTTCCAAACACCTGCAGGAAACATCAGTTTTTCCCTGAAACCTGGTACCATCACCATCACTGAATGGTATTTAATGGATGCTAATAGTATATCTATATGTAGGTCATAGGTGGTCACATCCCCCGGCTTATGTTGACAGCCGATGATCCAATTGTTTGCAGGTGACCTACTGGACAGCGGCCCCCAAAGGTTACAAGTTGGTTTATAACCCCCTATGAATACTATATGTAATAATATAATGTATATATATATACATATTATATAATTATATATTAATATATATATACATAGTTATCTATTCTCCATGAACCCTAGTTTAGCAAGTGATTGTTCAGTCAACTTACCTATCATAAATCGCATATCAATCCCCATGTTTCATGGATAAATCACCATGTGTCATGGCAATAACTGCCAGGCCTCATGGGATCGCCGGAATCATAGGCATCCTTCCACTTCTGGGTTTCACTGGTGAAGCTCTCCTGCGAATTCAACCGCTCTGGCTATCTCCGATATATGGCTTTCATTTGGTTGGAAAACGGGTTGAAGTTGGGTTGTATCATATTTTTATCCAAAATGCTTGGTGTTATCATATTTTATCATGTTCTGTCCACATGTTTTGTGATTAGAATCTACAGAGTCACGGTGCTATCCTCATGGTGCGTGGATCTCCAAGGGTTCCAGCCCTGTTGTATTGGGTGCCAATGGATTTTGAGACAAATCCCTAAACAATAGAGATGCACCAAATACATCCAAATACTTAGTACAACAACATGATTACCCCCGTGAAAATTAGAGATAACATGAGATACCTCTTTTCAATTCTTTTAACTGGTATATACACCGAATCTGTCATTTCTTACTAGCGCTTCTCGGCTTCTCGGTCCGGAATGGCTTGGTAGATCTCTTCCAATTTACTCAGTTTGAAGATCTCCAACCAGCACCTCACTGCTGTTGCCATGGTGCTGCTGCCTTGCTGGTGACCAGGATGTAGTACCAGTAAATCCTTCATGGAGTGGATATGTTATTGTTTAACACACCCGGTGCATCGTGGAAACATCTCAAAACCAACAAAAACGAAGACTTTGAGATGCTTTCCATGACATGAATCTTCCAATCTTCATCTTTCTGCCAGTCCCTGCCAGTCCTTTAGGGAGAATTTCACTGGGTCACCCAACCTGTCAGGAACCCAGTCTGCTGGCTTGGCTGGAGGCTCCTGGGATGTGGTGTTATACGTGTGATGCGCAGCAGGTCCGGTATAGGTTTGCGGCAAAAAAAGGAAAAGTCGAAGCAACGCCAAAATGGGAAATGTTGCGATCTATGCATATAGAAAATCTAGTGATACTTATGTCAAAGTACTTTCAAGAATCAAAGACATCTATGACTATGGAAGCACGAAAACTATATAAACGTATCAAAGCCAAACGTGTTCTTTTATTTTTAGGCTGATAAACTACAGGATGGTCCCCCCCAGTTATATCTTTACCATAAAGCATAGAATTCAGCCACTGAAATATCTCAACATATCTCAACTGAAATCTATCTGAAGGGGGCCCCTATATATATATACATATATATATACATATATATATACATATATATATATACATATATATATATATACATATACATATTATATATGATATATACGTGCTGTGCTTCCATGTGCTTCCTAACACTTGTCCAAGTCCTCCATCGCCGTGCCACCGGTCATGAGGAAGCGGTAGTCTGACATTGAAACCTGTGGCGAAACCGGGAACCATATGGGGGTTTCCTAAAATAGGTGGTTCATTTCATGGAAAATCCTACTAAAATGGATTAAAATGGATGATTTGGGGGTAGCCCTATTTTAGGAAATCTCCATATGAATATCAAAACAACTTTCAAGACAATCTGGACTATGCGTGGAACATTGCAGAACCATTCACTCCAATTCTTTCTGAACGGATTCCAGCTCCAAGGTGCCTTGCCAGTGGTGATCCGCAATCGCATGGTGAGCAAAAAGGAGAAGAGCAGCTTGTGCTTCTCGAAGAGGGAGCGACAAATGTTCTTGTAAAGCATCTCCTGCAGAAGAAGAAACCATTGGGAGGGCTGATCTTTTTCTTTACATGGAGATCCATGAAGATCCAACAGATTCCAAAAGATCTGGTTGGCACATCAGGGTAGAGGTTTATAGAGATTTAATCTCTTGATCCATGTTGATCCAAATCTGATGTCAGGTGTTGATATGTGTTGATTCTTTAATCCCTTCCTCAACTTGGATCTCCGTATTTGTGAGTCGAAGAGCATTCTGAGAGATACCAGACATTTGGATATTTTAGAGAATACACCGTACTGAAAGCGAACAAATATGTGATTTGACATGGCGGGATATGGCAGGTAGGAATGTCTGCCATCACATTCCCATACGGTTCAGTCCATAAAAAAGTCGTTGAGGATCAAAATGCGTTCGGCCTCGTCAAATTTGTGGAGCCCATTCCATACCGGTGTCTGCTTTGCGTGTTAGATATGTAGGTTGCAGCACAATTAACCAACAAAATGTCATATGCAAATATAATCAACGATATTCAAAGTGATAAAAACATATGATAAAACTTGCTGTGGTTGTGGATCAAAGCCAAGTGTATATCTGATAAATCAACAGCCACTGATCAATGAAAAAACAGGTTGTTTGATGTTTTGTTTGATGTTTTCATCCCAGTGGCGATGTCATCGGACTTCTGTGACTTGGAGATGGCCGCTCTGAAGAGGTTGATGAAGAAAGGCAGGGAATACTGGTACATCGGATCCTGCCGTTGTTTGAACGGGCCGTTGGTGACGTGACACCAACGGAGCGATAAATGGATAAATGGGGGATCCCCAAATGGCTGGTTGGTTCATTTCATGGAAAATCCCAATCTAAGATGGATGATTTAGGGCTACCCCCATTTTAGGAAACCTCCACATTGCCCGCTATGTTCTATTAGGAGGTTTCCGTTTTGTCATCGGGGTACCAAATCTTCCAAGTCATTGAAGCATTCTTTCGAAATCTTCCGAATCTCCCATTTTAAGAAATCCTCATATTATGTTTTGCATTTTTTCATGGAAATGGATGGAAGTGCTTCTAAATTTCTGGCGACCACCGATCAAGCCTGCCCTTAAGTAACTCGCAACGAGTGGCAATGTTGGCCAAATCAGCGATGCAAAAGAAGAGGATGGCTGTTTGGAACCTGACGCCCGGATGCGCTGGGTGACATCAAGGTATGATGCAAGGAAAACAAGAGAGGAAACCTGATGTTCAACGTTTTCAAATTTTATGGTTATGGTCCTGTAAAATTCTCTAACAAATCCAATAACCATATCAGTTTCCAGTGTTCAACTTAATCGTCAAACTGCTGCTTGTCGCTGGCAGTACGTACCCAACAGATGGGATGAGAAGACCCACCTGCGGAATGGTCAAATCGTGTTACGAATTTGGGGGATGAAGTTGGGTGAAGATCCACCAGCAACGCCACGAGCTATTTTGATCTATATGTTGATGTTTTTATCTATTGGAATAGATCATTGAGCAGATCACACAATCGATCAAAACTATTCAACATTCCTGACAGATGATGGTTTGGAATCAAACAAACATATATGATGTTGGCAAAATTGAACATTGTTTATGTTGTTTTTTGCTGTGAAAACCCATGAAAACCCTTTCGGTCCCATGGGGATTTTCAACGTGCCGGGCAGACGCCACGGGAACGTACTGCAGTCGCGCTTCGTCGATCTGCCGTTCTGTGGTCTCTGCGGTCAATTGCTTCTGGGCCTCCGGTCATGGCTCAAATGACATGGTTACAGTATGTCTCTGGGCTTCTCTGAAAATCACATATTAGCTTATCCTATATTTTCCAGGAAGTGTGACATTTTTTGGGAATCACATTCAATATTTTATTGGGAAAAAGGGTTGTGTACGAGTACAACACACTTCATGGCCATTTCCCAACGGAACACCCAAAGAGTCCCCGGGCGATCTCGTTGGAGAGCTGCTTGGAGGCGGAAAGAACCTGAACAAATGAAACTTGGCCCATTGGCAAAAGGACAACTATAAGGGGAGTAATCTCAAAAACCACTGCATGTCAATGCAACAATGAGAATCACATAGAAGCAGTCTTGTTCAAGTAGAGAAGCCACTGTTTTGACCCAAAAGAAATGAACTACAGTGGATTCTTGCGGCATTGCGAAATCCTGCACCACCTTTGGATGGTTGAAACCCATGGGCTTTTTACCACATCCCTCAACTGGTGTAGAATTTGGCAACCATCCATGGTATCGCAAAGATAAAATATAGATGTATATATCGCATGATATTTCCAGTAAATCCCATGGTCAAATTGATTTAAAAAAACCGGGGGACCTTTCGGAGGCTTCATTCAACGATCCTACTGACCTGCACTGCAGCTTCATCTTCAAGGATGTTGCCCTGGGAAGAACTGAGAACCTGAGGCGTGAGGCGTGAACTGTGACGAACTCTGGTGATGGAACTTGTGAAGAAAGAATGGAATCACAGATACTGGTAAAATAAATATCAAATTGTATATCAGAGTAATTAATTAAACAATATAATCGGTGATTGGACCAATAATGATTTTATGATGATTAGATTAATGGCATCCCCCTAATATCAACCTCCCTAAAACGGTCCCAAAAATCTGCGAAATATTGGTGGATTCTTTGCATCGAGATCCTCCTCCTGGAACAGTGTGGCTCATCCTGAATGGAAACGGCTGTGTTTTTTTTTGTAATCCCTTCCCCCGTTCATATTAAACACACCCGAAACGAAACCATGGTGGATTTTCAGGGATTTTCCACATCATTGGCACCATAGAAATGGAGTGTTTTTCTTTCAAACAGGTGATGGGATTATGGTTGATGATCTTCGTGATGGTGACCAATCTCCTCGGAAATGTTGAGGAATGCGGAGATCATCTCTTTGAACAGTTCTATGATTAGGTTGCATCATCTTTTCATAGAATCTTGGAACCACTTGAACCAAGATGCTTTCAACTTTAATCAACTAATCTGTGAATTCATTTTGAGGTTCCGATCCCATTTTATTCATTGGGTACCACTTTAAAAAGAAAAACATAGTTAGCTGATTCCAAATCTGGATAAATATTGGATACACTAAAGATTTGGATTAGGTTACCATTTGATAACATTGGACAACCATTGGTATTACCATTATGACTTGGTATAATGGAATGGCAATACCAATGGTATAATATTATTTCCATGGTATTATTTCTGGATAACATTGGATATTTTGGAATAATTTCCGGTACATTAATGAGTTGTTCTGGTGATTTGGACTCTGCTTCCCATGCTGACCAGTGACATCCAGGATCTTATTCTCAGTGACTTCCAATTGCTCCTTGTTCTCAGCACCTGCCCCAGCGATGAGCCCGATGATGCTGACCACAAGCAGCGGTTGGTGGTGGTTAAGGAGCCCTCAATAAACCTTTATCATTGGGCTGTCACTTTTGGGGGAGCCTCCAAGTACCTAGAAGTACCTGGGGTAATATATATACTCATTATTACTTGGGACTGTTACAGTAGCAATTTTGATGGGTACAAACGGAAAGTCATAAGTACATTAAGTATCAAAATGGAGGTTTCCAATTTTGTCACGGAAACCCAAGAAATGCTCCAAGTCATTCAACCATCACTTAGTTAATCGCTTAACCCATGGTGACGACTGGGGATCCTCCATGACTTGAGAACCCACGTCCAGCTGGGGCACCTTCGACCACCAATCTGGCCTTTTCCTCTGCCAGATCTGGACGTTCCTGGAAGTGGATGGATCTGGACCAAGGCACTGCAGTGTCTTTGATGCCAAACAAAGTCGGGAACACATCTCGATTTGTGATGCGCAGTACCCCATGACACCATGACACAACGAGTTGCCTTTTCAACCACGATGTTCAGCAACTGGTCTTGTAGTCCAACCTGCTGAGATGGCAACATGCAGTGACGACTGCGGCATATGTGAAGTGACTAAGCAATGTTCCTATAGTCTGCAGAGTCTCAAAATATCTCAAAATGGTAGATGTATGCATTAGAAACACGCAGAACATCACCCCAGGTACCCAAGTTAGCGACACACTTTCACTAAACTCGACCCAAATCCATCATCCAAATATCTTGAGCAAGTGGAAAAAGGGATGGACATTGATTTTTGAAAGATGCTGCTGGCGAATTTTAACTGGCGACATAGTCCAACTTCACCCATCTGAAGGCCCGGATAAACCTTCTTTTGCAGCATTGCTGGCACCCCCAAATGAGGAGATCAATCAATGGATTGGTTTGAGGCAAAATTGGAACCGGAAACCCCTATATTTCATGGGAAAACCATGGTTTCCGGCAAAGATTTTCCCTTACACCAATCCGTTAAAATGAATCAAACATGGATAAGCACAAGCAAATGTCATGAAGCTCACGTCGATGGAACATCCACCTGAGTGATCATGAAGTTCAACAGGGTGACCTTCACGGCTACCTGGCACAAAGAAAGCATCCTGTCGAAGGGGACAGCAACCTGTTGGGTCATTGATATATTCTCATCACCTAGTTTTGGAATGTTTTGGACAGGTAAAAAGTATTAAAGAGTGACAAAATCATCGAAGATTGTGGCAAATTTGCAGCCAGAGCATCAAAACACGGGCCTTTGAAAGACCCAAACCATGCGCTTACAGCGCCAGGCTGTGCCTCTGGCAGGTAGTGCGGATTTCGTAACTTCGTGGTCAGGTAGAACTTGAAGCTCTTGGCCCATTCAATGGTCGACTGGCGATGCGATGCGGTGGCCATGGCCGGAAAAAAGAACTGCACGGCGAAAAACAAGAGTTTCAAGCTGCCAGGCTAAGGTTGTAGGGTTGTAACCCCCCACCAAAAATATTGAAGCATTGATTCAAGGGGTCATACAATGAGTGATGAGCACTTGCAGATACCCACCTCGCCCAAGCGGATCATAATCCTGAAACTGCAGAAATGGTCAGAGTCCCAAGTGTCAACATAAAGAAATACCTACGTAGACCCTCCAAGCCATAAAAATTGCCACAAGTCCCCAAGATAATTGGTATATTGCCAGAATTTTCGAGGCACTTGGAGGGTCTAGGTACTATAATAATGTATGATACTCAATAATATCTTATCCTTTTAAATCCTTTTATTTTATTTGTTAATATCATTGACATGGATATATCATGATATATCTTATTTTTTCTTAAATATCATTGATATACATGGATATACCTTACATAATTATTTCTTGATTTACCTCAATGTACCAACCGGAAATGACTTCAGCTTCCGAACATCCGTTGACCGCCAAGCCACGCGCTTCCCTTCTTGAAGGTCTGCCGCAAGAGGACCGGTTCCACCGCCGGATCCGTCTCCTGGCTGGTGATCCCCCAATGGTTTTTGGTGGCTTGAAGTGGAACAAAATCGGGTTCAATCATTGGAAAAAAACATGGTGGGTTGAATGGACACTAAACATATGTTTTTAATGTTTTTTGATTGTTTTGATAATTGGAAAACATCTTGATGGAGCCTAGAAATTTTGATGTTTCATAACTGGACACACAAAAAATATCAACAAATATCAATAACATGGAGTTGAATTTAAACACTACTACAATGCTAGCCCTATGGATTCAAATGCGTCCTGTTCTCGAACAGGGAGAAATCACTCAGCAAATCATAACCCAAATACCTCGGATCCATCGGGTAGTATAAAATGCTTGAAATATGTTGAAAGTTTTGTCATAAAAAAAAAAAAACAAAAAACAATATTGTAATTGTCCACTTTATTCAATATTGTATTGTAATTTCATAATTAGAATGGTATAATGGGTGACAATGTACAATCTTCCGAATACTATGACTTTTTCATACATTTCCTATGATGATAACTGACCTATGGTATCTGGTAAATAGATGTCAATATATGTTGATGTATGTCAATATCATAGATAGTATGATATGGAATCAACTTATACCTTTTGGTCAGTTGTGGTCCATCTGATATTCCATGATATGGAGTCAGCTGGTTTTAAACAGCAATATGGCATCTGGTTGGTAATTTCAACACTATGTAAAGAATATGCTCCTCACTTGGAATTATCATCCCAGTCATAGGGTTGAAACATATTAAGAATGCTTGAAACCACCGACCGAATATGTATAGAATTATAGAAATTATGCTGACTTATAGGTGAATGTACATATCATAATCCAACCAACATATTCCAACATATTCCAACCATGTCCTGAACTTCACGCGAAATCGAAATCGAAATCTCTGGAATTCAGCCCTCTCTTAGCCAACCGGGTCGTCCCGGCAGTGGGATCTTATCGGATCCTCTTGGACATTTTCGATCAGCATGGGGTTGCCAAACTGGATGCAACCTGCCATCAGCTCCACTTTGGGACGTGGATAACATGGATACCTCGAACGTCCCTGGATGGATGGATCCAATTACTAGTTCTGAGAATGGAAAACTATGGAAAACTTCATCCGAACATATCCCTAATGAAGTACCCATTGCTACTGTATATTCTGTTCCAAGATGCACAGCTACCCAGTCTTATGGCATGTTGTGCAGCAAATGTTGAAAATGTTATGTGTTGATTGCTTGTAGTTCTTTGCAAGCCTCATAGGAAAAGTTGAATCCTGTCACAAGAATCTGTAGATGCCAGTGATTTATGACAGCATATGATAGCCTTTGGAGGTGAACTCTATTTTTTGCTCTAAAATAACGGTTTTAAGCCTACTCTTGTCACAAAACACTGTAAATACCCGTATTTCTAAGCATTTTTAGTCCAAAAATCACTCCCCCGTGAGGGGCCGTTCTGATTAAATTTGGGGAGAAAAGACATGGTTTCCTTTAGATTGGCATTAAACCAATTGATCAATTAGGAAATCCATTAAATCCATAATCATTGCCTGAATCCCCAGGATTCCCAATTTTTAATACTTAAAATCACTGAAACCACCATGTGTATCCATTTGTGATGATCAAACCCATTGAACCACAACTTTTCATACTTAATCCACCCATTTTTCGATGAATCCAGTCAGAATCTCTCGACATTCTCCTCGCGCCCACCTTCCAAGCGCTTCAGATAGTCGCCATCCGTAAACTTCGCCACAACCAGCTGCAGTGGTTGCCCCATCCTGGCAGCACCAGGTTTGTGGATGCCACGTTAAGAAACCTCCACACATAGAGGTTTCAACTGTAAATGTTCCCATCCAAATTCTGGAAGCTTAGAAACATCCTGTACATTCGTGACTTGAAGGTTGGAAAAAAAATTAGAACCTTTTGAGAATATGTATATAATATAATGAATTAAATCTCATTCTGAGCAAAAAAAAACCGTCCCATGTCCCGGGCCCCAAGACATCCAAGACATGGCGTGCTTTTTGATCCACCGATTGGCTTGCCCTTGTGGGTCGATGCATAAGGGCCACCTTGGAGGTGGGGAAACGCTGAAACGGGATAGAAAAAACAATGGTATATATGGAAAAGGTTTGAAAATACTGGGTTTTTGATGGAAATTGTGGAAAATTATGGTAAATAATGTTATAATGTTGATAAGAGCGTATTTTTTGTGAAACACTTCATATTCTATAGACGAAATATAAGGTGAAATGAGTACACGTATGTATTCAACTGGGTTCAAAACCAGGTGCCCATCATCCGTCCAAAAATATGGTCAGAATCCTCAATCCAGACGTTCATCACTGAGCCATACTGAGCATGGAACCGTCGTGCCTGCCGTATCCCCACAGAACCGTGTGCACTTGTGTCACAGTCCGACATTGAATGGACAAGTCTGAATATGTCTTGCTAATTGCCCAAATGTCAATCGCAAATCGCAACAATCCATAACAATCCAAGAACGGCACTGTTCACAGGAAAAGAGATGTAGATGAAGCCTTCTCCAAACATGTGATACCCCAAAAATTGTTGGTTAAGCATTTTCCCTACTGACGTGACCATAAATATCCATAAATTGAGATTACCCTCTGGTAAACTACGACAACTATGGAAAATCACGATTTTTAATTGGTAAATCAACGAACTAAATGGTTATATAATCATTTTCCCTACTGACATGACCATAAATATCCATAAATTGAGATTACCCTCTGGTAAACTACGATAACTATGGAAAATCACAATTTTCAATATTGGTAAATCAACGAACTAAATGGTTATATAATCATTTTCCCTACTGACATGACCATAAATATCCATAAATTGAGATTACCCTCTGGTAAACTAAGATAACTATGGAAAATCACAAGTTTTTTAATTGGTAAATCAATGAACTAAATGGCAATTTTTCAATAGCTGTGTTAGTTTACCAGATGATAAATCCAGCATTTTCAGTGCCCGGATAACCGCCTTGTCCATGATGATGCCATTCTCAATGCTGAAGGAGTCGTTCGGCAGTCCGGCCACCACCCAAGCCCTCACCTGCCATAGCTGCGATGGAGCCAGCATTCCAATCCAAACATCTCCAAACCACAGAAGCCAGAAATCGTCCACATTAAGTGGCCTACTTGTGGTGTAGGTTTTATATGGTTTTATATGGTTTATCACAGCTATACATCATAATTACATCCCATTTCTTCCCATTCATCTCCACTGCTCCTAAAGTCATCTATCCAGTCTATCTAGCACCTTTCTGGCCCCCATATGGTGGTTTCCCAAGTCATGAGAGTACCCCGAGTCATCATCCATTTATAGATGGGTTCCTCCATGAAATCATCCAGCTATTGCCAGCTATTGGGGTACCCACCTATTTATAATATTTATGGACACGAAATGGAGTATTCACCCATGATTAACCCATGATTCACAATTCTATTAACCATATATTAACCACTATATTAAGCCATGTTAACCATATATCAACCGTATATCAACCATTGTTAATCCATGATTAACCATTATGTTAACCCTCCATTTCGGGAGACCACAGATCCCCCCAGCGCCTTCACGGGTTCCCCCAGGCATTTCTCCAACGAGAACTTCTCGGAGCCCGGGATCTGACGCTGCAGCGACTCCTCCGCCCAGGCCCTGCCAGGCGGCCGAGGCCGAGAAAGGTGGGACTTATCCCTACTATGGAGGTTTCCATCAATGGGGGTACTCCAATAGCTGGATGGTTTACAATGGAAAATCCGAAATGGATGATGACTGGGGGAACCCTGGGTTAAACAGTACCAACATGGATGACTTGGGGGGTCCTAAGTCATGGAGTTACCCCAATAGCTGGACGGATGGTTGATGTCATGGAAACTCCGAAAATCAAATGGATGATGACTGGGGGTACCGCCTCCCAATTTTAGGAAACCTTCATATATAACTGGGTCATAAAGTTAAGTTATGATTATGCATTGAATATACTTGTTAAGCAGTGATACTAAGTGGGATGATCTTTACATCTTCAAACTCGAGGTAAACCCGCTTTGACAGAGGGACAAAGAGGTGACTTGGGGATCCCCATTTTGGGAAACCTCCATAGAAATAACTGTTTTGTGAAGTTCAGATATGAGTTTGCAAATTGCTTACCAGTTATACAGTGGGATGATCCTCGAGGAGGTGATAAAACAAATGGTGGTGATTAAAAAAATGCGATGATGATGATGATGATGATGATGCTGATGATGCTGATGGTGGTGGTGCTGTTCTCTCAAAAATCCAATGATAATTCTTACTAAAAACAACACTGATGTCGCTGGAAATGGCAAAGAACATCAAGTCAACATGATACTTTCATGTCTTTTCCTTCCTTTGGGATTCTATGGCAATGCCATGAGTTTTTCATGGTCTGAGAGTCTGAGAGGCAGGCTTCACAGCGCTCTCGCGGAAGTCTGGAGTGAAGGCACCAAGGTATGCGATCAAACCACTGGCAACGATGACCTGGCCACGGCATCGCGAACGGTCACCAATGAACCTGGCCGATAGATGGTTAACATCAGACTGATTAATCATGGTTGATTTGATGGTGATTTTTGCTTGGGAAGAGGAGGCTGTGTTTTCCAAGGCTCTTAAACTTGTTGCATCCTCACGTATACGTCTGACATACGTCTATTAGACACCTTCGAAAAACAGATCTACTTTTTGCATCGGATTTTACATGACCCAGGACCAACAGGCTGCGCTCACATCGCCCGTAAGGTTCACATAGTCAGCCTCGAGACCGCAGCGGTTTTGTCGGGGGAGATTGGGGGCACCTGATGGATGATTAGATCCCCATGGCGTTGATCAAACGGGCAGACCAATGTGGAAAGAACTTGCACTATCAATGGATTGGTTCAAGGGAAAATTTACAGGAAACCATTGTTTTTACCATTAAATATTGGGTTTTCCTGTAAATTTTCCCCCTAAACCAATCCAGTGACACTAGGGTCTATTTCTTCAATCTATGCCCTGCACTCGTGGTCCTCAAAACTCAAGCACTGTTGGCCAATCTTCCACAGGGACCTCTCAACCCTTGGAGTGGCTAAGCTCATCATGCCACGTGGCAAAACATAGACATCTCCCCCGAGAATTTTCAAACAATAGAGAATTACCGCATGGAACACACATTAAACATACTACAATAATTAACATATAATAGCAATATCACCTTCAGTAAATCTGGACCGATGGCTTCGCCATTCAATGGATGGCCGGATGATTATCAACAAATATTTAATACTGCAGGTATCAAGGTAGCCTGGTATGCTCCATTCGCCAGTCAGGATTTCGGAGCTACATCATAGCGAATCCTCAATTCTCTCCAGTGTTACCCTTCAATGACCCCCCTGAGTTTTCTTGTCGAACATCGCAATATTCCAAGAATCAGATGTCCATTCCATCCACTGGTTCATGATAATTGTCCCAACGAAAATGACCATACATGACCATACATTGAATTATAATTTCTTGCCACTCACTTTTCCATGTACAATTATGTCCATAGAATAATCTCAATGTGTCATTCTGAAACCATATTTATATCATGGTTCAATCGTGAGTTCAATCGTGATATTTGATGCTTAAATCATGCACAACCTCCGATCTTCATGGCTCAATCCTCATGCTTCTTGTTTAAATCATGTTAAATCACCAGATTCCCACGCCGAAATCATGTGACATCCTCCTAAGTTTGGCGGAACCCAAAGTTTGAAGGTTTACATCCCAGTTGTTCTTGCTTCAACCAGGGTATCCAGACTTTGGAAAGTCTGAAACAATCCGGAAAAAAAACAATGAAAATTAGGCTTATTTCTTCATGTTCTTTATTAGATGGCCATTTGAATGACTATTTTCGGACAAAGCCACACAAAATTACCCCTATCCCATCTCCTAAAAAACTGCCTGAAAGCAGTTTCCCTATTCGCCATGGCTTCTCATAATCCCCAGTAAATTAGGTACTAGATGGTACTAGTATATAGATGTACCCTCTGGATCCCTCTGGTAATTTAACATAGCTATGTTGATTTACCCATTAAAAATGGATGGATTTTCTATAGTTATGTTATCTTAGTTTACCAGAGGGTAAATCACCATTAATCACCATTAGTGTCCCCATTAATCACCATTAGTGTCCCCATGCCATAACGCAACCAAGGTAGTTTTCATAGCTCCTCCTGGAGACCGCTTTCGCTCGCATCGGCAACCCGTGGCAGCCAGGACACTGCCAGGTCGATGGCGTTCTGCGTCCAGCGCGTCTTCTCGCCGCCCAAGCTGGTGATCAGCGTCTCAGCCTCGGTTTACTGAACAACATGGAGATTTCAGCATGATTAAGAGTGGTTAATGACGGTTCATCATGGTTCATCATGGTGGATATAGTGGTTAACGATGGTTAACAATGATCAAAGATATATAGATAATATAATGGTCATGGTTAATGATTGCTAATGATGGTCAACAATGGTTAATAATGGCTAATCATGAAGGTTCACAAATCAGGGGAACATTGGTGATGTGTGTTTGTCATTGCTGATAGTTAAGTTGTATTTACTATGATATAAATAACATGGGAATTTGTTTTGTGTCATATAGTTGATACATTTGAAGTCTTTGCCCAACATCAAAACACCAACTAAATGCAACGACCAAGTCTTAAGTAACTCAGATGTGAAGTCTTTGCCCAACATGCTGAACACCAACTGAATGCAGGATTTATATAAAATCATGGATCCGAACATGAAAACCAGAAAATCATGCATTTCCTATGCGTTTCACAAAAAGGCACGACTTTTGAAAATCAAGTGCTCCCAAGCTATTTTCAACGATTCCCACTAATCTAGGCACGACTTTAGCAACTCTCTGTAGGGTCTCGTTCAGTTGGTCTATTTTATATAATTAACCGTCAATTAACCGTTGGAAGGTAAAAAATGATGAATGTAGAATGATGAAATCGATCTCTCTTGATGAATGTGGATGTTTAGGCACTCAACCTATCACTATAGGGGCACCACTTTCAATGGAGTGTTTTATATATATATATATATTATATATTATGAATGATTATAAATGCATAAAACCAAACAAAAACGGCAGAAATGTGGTAGTAACATGGTCCATCATGGTCCATCACGGTACTGGGCAATCCGACACGCTCCAACTTCTTCTGGCAGAGGTCAACTTCCATGGTGAGGTTATCCTGCTCCTGCCTGGTGCCACTGGGGCCACCAATCATCGAAGGGCGACATATCCACAGTCAAAATATCCATACTGCCATAGTAAATATCAATGTAAATCATATTAGGATGTCAAACATATCTATAGTAAATATATGTAAATCTAATTATATCTAGTTATAATGAAGATATTGTAAGTAAAACAGCACATCAAATATGTTTTGAACCAGGAATTGTCAGGTACTGCACATAGACGTGGGAAGGAGCTGCTCCAATCTGACAGCACGTGGACAATCCCCGCAGCGTGTGGTTGTCACATTTTCCAGATCAGCTTTGTGCAATATTGTGCAATCGTACTCATCCATACTCATCCCATCCTACCCCTTCCCAGTTCCATGCACACCCCGGACCCATATTTTCTCTTATATTTTCTGCTATCTGCAGTCCTGTTGGTCAAGTTGAGTACTAATGACATAAGCCGCGACTCCCTACCTGAGTGATGCCAACTTTCCATTCAACGCCGAGAGTTCATCCAGGACCTTTTGCAATTCGGCACCTTGCTGCGCGCGCAGCAAAGGATCCCCGCTCAAACCCGGTAGATGTCGGGGAAATCTCCAAATGAACTGGGATTTGAATGGGCAGATTTGCCAGTAAGAAAATGTATAAATGTCATGGTGGGGATCACACGAAGTAAAGTAATTTTTGCCATTCACCTGATAAAATACATAATCTCCAAATGGGGAAGTTTGTTCGATTGCCATGTTTGATTATCAAAGGGTACTAAGAATGAGCTGCAAAAAGGATGTGTTTTGCATGGTTTTGACATCTTGAATTTCACCCTTCAACATGGACCAAATTGAACCCTGTTGGGTCACAACATGTCACAACAAGGGTTGGCTCTTGCTCCAGAAATCATCAAACAATCTCCCAAATGGCAGTTTCCTACACTGGGGGGGACCCCCATGATCATCCAAACTTACACTAGATTTTAGTATATTTTACCCATGGTTTTGGGGATCCTCCATTTTTTGACACCCCAAATAACGTCAAATAACAATTTGAATAACCCATAGGATCCATGTATGGTATATATGCTAACATTTGGTGTATATTGATGGTAAATGTTACCATATATAGCATACATGGATCCTATGGGTAATAGTGAATGGGGAAATTGATGATGAACCGGATCAAAAACGATGCCAAATGTGATGTCGCTGGGATTCACAGACGCTTCTCTTTGAGCTTTTCCATGACTCCTGGAGATATCGCCGGCATCGCCGAAAAAACACCCGACCCTGATTTAATCAGAATACCCATCAAATCAGCCTTCAAAAAACAGGTGAATGGTGAATGCCGTGCATGTAGATCTTCAAGGCTCCACGGGTCCTTGATAGGCGGCTTCAGCTTCGGCCAGGCTTTCTTTCTTGGGTGCCACCACCTGCAGTGGATGGACAAAAACATATATCACATGGAAAAAAAACAACATATAGGCTAATGATTAATGGTTAGACAATGATTATGTGATGAGTGGTTAAAACAGTTAATGGTTACAATGTTCGAGCTGTTTTACTCGCCAGAAAATGATTGTGTTGATACTGGATGATTTTATGTGTCTTTGTACCCTCCAAGACAAAGCACAGAAAGAATTGACCGTGTCAGAATTGGCAGAGGTTCAAAAAAAGATCGTGGGGTCCTGGACTTTGTGGTTCCAAATGTATTCAAATGAGCCATGAAAAAATCATCATCACCATCATCCTATTTCATGATTTCACCACTTTCTTGATAGCTAAGGCTAAGGCATCTAAGGCCCTAGTCGGATTAGTATGATGAGCTCACAATCCCATAGAATCCCCAATTTACCCCAGGTATTCATTCCCCATCTGATCATCAACCAAGGTATTTCAACTTCATGACCCCCTTGAGCCCTTGGGTTTGCTCCACCTTGGCCACGCGGTCATAGGTCTCCATGGCACGTACCCACATGCACAAACCTGGCGTCTCCAGATTCGACTTTTTCCCAGCCCAAAAAGATAGAGATGTTGACCCTTTGGGCATTGAACATGGCTATAAAAAAACCACACATTTTTGTAGATACCCTCTGGTAAACAGCCACATAGCTATTGAAAATGGCCATTTAGTTCGTTAAATTTTACCCATTAAAAATGGTGATTGTCCATGGTTATGTTGGTTTACCAGAGGGTAAATAACAAATCATCGAACTAAGTGGAATATATATGATCAAAAGATATCAAAATATACTTTTTCTTATGCGGTTGGCTATTTGATGGATCAAACTGGATCAAAATCAAGTATCCACCAAACTCCTGGCATTGTCTCCACAAATTGAGTTTTCTCAACATGCTATGTCTGCTAAAAAAAATCCCATCCCCTACCATTAGACCCTCTGAGTGTTGGATTTTTTCGTCAGGGAAGGTATCTCTCCGAATCGGATTCATCCACAGGGCAGGCCACCCCAAGCTGCAGTCGAGGATTTTTGGACCTCATTCACACACCAAGCTGGGAAATCCAACGACAAAAAACCAGCCAAGTTTGAATGCCAAACTATTCACTTATGATTAGCTGATAGTGAAAGCTATGCAGCTATGGCTTGGCTTGGCTGGCTTTTCCTACATTCAATACAATTGAAAATATATGGGTTTGTCTGAAAATGGGCTACCCCAAATCGGTGAATCATAAGTTTCTCTATCTTTTCCTATTAAAACTGCCATTTTTAGGGGTCTAATATGGTCTAATTACCCGATGTTCATGCACACCACAAGACATGCACCAAAAGGGCTCCCTGCGCGGTCGGGCTGGAAGTCTTCTTTCACAGTGTATTCCGCAATCTTTTTGATGGTAGCCTGGCGCCGGCGCAGGATCCAAAACAGCCCCTGGATGATGAGAGATGGGTCTGAAAATAGACTATTATCCAAAAAAAACAAAAACAACATTTAATGAGGAATGATACCAGATTTCTTCACAGGTCAGCAAAAAACTTCGCTGGCAGCACAGGAGGGATGTTATCCTTGTCAAAGGTCTGCCTCACAGAGCTCGGGATGGCGTAATTTACGACCAATCAATTTCAGGAAAATGCTCATATATATATACACATATATACATACCAGATCACTGATTCTGATTCTGAATAGTAACTGATAAAAAGGATCCCCGTTGAGGGGTGAAAAAACATGCATTCAAAACATGCTGCGCATATCGTACCAACTTCACCAGATCGGTACACTGGGAAAACATTCCAGACTTCCGTAGCGCCAAGCACAGGCCTGGAAGTGTTTGATCATCATAGTAAATATATTACCATAGTTTACCATAGTTGTAATATATATATATATATATGATCATTATAGCATAATATAGCTATTATATATCGATTATCTCATATATGAACATGGAAAAAGAAAACCAATGAACTTATTTCAATCATCTTTGAAAGATCTGAACATCGAGCACCAATCAACAAGAATCTGAAATTCCGTCAAAATCCGTCAAAACATGTCAAGTCTATGAGTAGAACATATAGTAATAATATATATATATATAATTATAATTATATATGATATAACCATGTAGCATAAGTTGGAGCCGCTCCATACTTCTAAGCCAATCCAGCCAAGAGGCAAAGATTGAAGGAAACCCATGTCTGAAATCATCTTGACAGCTGCTGGCCAGAAATCATCCACCTCAATGTGCCACCAAAAAAAAAACAGCATGAAAACATGTCAGTTAAAGGTACCTATATGTGTACCTACCATATATAAGGCCTATTTTTTAGGCCTATGTAAGGGGATATACCCCCAAAATATGGCCAGAAATATGGTACAGTACCTCCATTTTAGGATCCTGGAGTTCCCATTGAAAACATGTCAGTTAACGGCATGCGATGGATATACGTCGCTTTTTCAAGGTCCCTTTTCAGATCCATAGGTCCTATGCGCGGCATGGGCGTATGACATCCAACTCCAGTGCTCCTCATTGTTCAACAAAGGAAGTGATCACACGTCTTGAATCATCTTTAACCTACCTAAACATACCTAAACCATCCTAAACCCTTATAACTTAACCTTTACAAATGTAACATATTGTAACATATTGTAACATATTGTAACATATTGTAACATTTCTTTGCTCATTTGAGGATCTCTTCTGACCATCGATGAAAATGGGTCAACTGAGAATCCGCGCCATTTTGCCACTCTCATCCTTGACCCTCACAGGCTTCACCTGACTCGTGGCGAATTTTCAGTGAACACCCCGCACTAAAGATGGACGGAGTTTTCATGGTGTTCTGTAAATGGATGATATTTACCCTCTGGTAAACTAACATAGCTATGGAAAATCACCATTTTTCATGGGAAAATCAACGAACTAAATGACAATTTTCAATAGCAAACTGTGGCTGTTTACCAGAGGGTTTCATGAATTTTAATGAGGCATTCCATGAAATCCCTAATATATGAATGGACAAATCCATGAAACTCCGTATCGTTCGTGGGGGGATTTTCCATGTGAGATAGGACACCAATGAGGGTAACGCCCAATGAGATGCTTCAAAAATGTGGAGCCCCAAGACCAGTACGTCCACAAGTAAACCTACTATTTTGACAGATTTTGCTAGATTTTCACCAATCGGTTGACTGAGAAATGACCAGGTTTACTGTAAAATCCCACCACTTGCGTGCTCTTGAGAATGAAACCTGCGTTCTTTTTTGGGGGGAATGGAGGTCACTTGAGGAATCACCAGGCATCCGCGCATTTCTCAGAACGCACACAGCGGAGAGCACCAGGCGAACAGGTGCTGCGGGATTCTTCATAGCCTGCGGACGTTAAGACTCACTGTGCCATCGAGTCTCACCCTCCAGGAATCAAACGTAGCAATTGGAAACTTCCTATAAATGCAGATCTTAATGGGAAAATCATCTCTGAATTGCTGATTTTCATTTGTCACGTTTGATTACCGGAAGGTAAGTAGTTTGAGGAGATAAATCTGCGTAATGATCACAGTTCACATATTTGCAATAACCATCCCCCCGCCCAAAAAAAAAACAATAAATTGCTATCCCTATTCTGGGCTATCATAATCTCCAATGGACCAGCTAGTATAACCTCCTAACAACCAAACAACCATCATTTATTGATACTTGAAATCCCAGTAAAAATCGACTGGAGAGTTGAACCAATGAGTTATCAACTACATCCCCATATGATGCTTATTAAAAGCAAGTTATAACCCCTATAAATGGTTGGCAACGAATTGCCTTGTCATAACCCATCAACACACGCAAAAAAAAAAACAAGTGGATTTGACTGAAAATGGCAATTTAATACCCCAAAATGCCGGTTTCAATTTAAGGAAAATTATGTTTATAACAGTAACTATATGAAATTTGGGAGTATCCCCAACAATAATCAACCAATGTTAGCTAGTATGAACTATGATTATAATGTTTCACTAAACTTCACTGAATTCTTACAAACATATATATATATATGGAGCTTTCCAAAGTCACGGGGGTACCCTCAGTCATCATCCAGTCGTCATGGATGACCATGACTTCGTATTGAAACTGGCTCATGGCGACTTGGATTTTCTGGAAAAAAAACAATCCAGCGGGGATATCTCCCTGGTTTTCTCAGTGAGATTTTTGTAGGCTTAATCGACTGAAATAACTAGGGTGAACTAGCCTACTTAGGATTCGAGGGATGAGGCACCAGCCGTAGCTTGGCTTATTCACTGGTGGACTATTGGGGATCCCCCATTTTAGGAAACCACCATATGAACCATAGAATTAACCATTATTAAAAACCATTAATAGCAATTTAATAGCTAATGGACTGAGGGTTGTCCCGGAATGGTCGTATGAACGTCAGTGGGAGGCTCATTTCTCTGCGCAGGTGCAGTGTTTTATGACTCTGGTACATCTGTGAGTTAGCGTGGTCTAAGACGAATTTTTGGAATAATCAGTCAGAAAAGTAAACCCTCTGCGGACTTCACGCGTTTCGGCCATTTCCACTTTTTCAGTCTTTTCGACTTTTTTGGCGAGTCCGGATTTTATAACTTATGTAAACCCTAAATGAAACCCCTATTAGAGGTATGCGTATATGTTCCATGGGGCCGGGAGATTATGACAAGGAAATCCCCTGGCACTGGAATGATGGAACCAATGGGGTGCTAGCTCCGCTCTCGGGTATGGCCCTCCGGGCCATACCCTCGTAGGACGGGGGGTTGTCCCTTCGGGACAACCCCTCGTCCTGTGGGTAAAAATAATAAGCATTATTAATAACCATTCATAGCATTACCATTACCCATAGGATCCATGTATGGTATATATGGTAACATGGATCCCATCAATATACCCCAGTCATGTTACCATATATATATATACCAGCACCATGGATCCTATGGGTTATTAATAACCATTATTAATTAATATTAATAATAGCATTCAATTTCACAATTTTCAGACCACCAAAGCTTTCTGCCACGCCTTCACCTCCGCGATCTCTTTCCCCGACAGAGTGTCCAAGGCCTTCAGTGCTTCGTTCAAGGCCGGCCTGAAAAAACGGCAGGCAAAGGGGTCTCTGGGAGAGGTGGACTCCTGGACATGGTGTCCAGCACTAGCTATGACATTCATATTATGATTATATATATATATATATTATATAAATGATCATATATGTACAGATACATAAATGATACATAATATGGATGATATGATATAGTACATGTATGTACATTTATGATCATATATATATATATATATATATTGTCAAAAAGTGGATAGAGATATCATACACCAAAAAGAAAATCTGCCCTGAGACCTCCATTACTCCGTGATAGAACACCCCCGCTGAGTAGTGCACATGGCTTCGGCCAACGCTTCCTCACACTCCTCCCAGCTGGAATGATGGAGAAAGGCCCTTAGAAAAACTCCATGGTAAATATCTGTAACTCTGGTTGTTCACCTTGGTATTCCTAAAAAAAATGCCATGTCTAAAAATTCAGGCAGCACGGCAATATCCCATGTGGTCCCATGTGGACGAGAGCACTGGATGACGAAGCGGACCAGGGAGGAGTCGAACCTCCAAATCAAGTTGTCAACGTCTGTCTCCAGACTTTGCAAGCTACGCCACACCCATAGGGCAACTGGTCCTCTGCAGACTTAATCAGAACGTCTGCCTGAGACCACCAGCTGCCCAGTCTGCCCAATCTTTGCCGTGCTCAGCTGATCTCATTTCAGTTCATTGTATGGGAAAGCCTGGCCAGCAAAAACCTCCGGTTATCCCCACATCCGCGTCCAAAAATGGGGAGTAACATGGAGTAACCCATTGCCAATGGATCTTGATTCCCCCTAGTCATATGGTTTTTTTGTAGGTTTTCGTTCCGTTAAAATCCTGCTTTCCCGCAGCCACGCCGAAGCGCCAAACATGGCGTCTCCTTCTTGATGCCATCCGCCTCCGCCGCCGCTTCGCTGGCCACCTTCTCATCAGCGGCCACCACCTGGCGAGGGCGAGAAGCCATGGGGTTTTACCATGCTTCCAATGGGTAGATAAGTCGACCATCAAATTGTGGTAAACCTATGGTTAAAACACATGGTAAAACTATAGATGGTAAAACATGAAAACATATGAAAACAACTAGAACACCATCCATGGTTTATATGCAATGACACAAATATGTTAGCAAACAACTGGTGAAAATTATTTACAATCATTTCAACATGTGAAATGTCATAAGATCATGGCACTTAACTAGATTTGAGGTTATAATAGAATGGTGCAACACACTACAAAGGTTCGGTATGGTTTGTGATGGGCTTTTCATCATGGTTTGGACTCCTAGGAGTCCCTGATGAAGATTACTTCAAGGGAATCCCACGGGCAAAGTCCAATTCCGGAGCCAGAGTCCAAATCGTAGCGAGCCGAGAGGAATCCCAGCGAAGCTTTGGATCCAGGGTTACTAGCCTTCTTTTTGAAATGGTGAATTTAAGATAGGAGTGATATCGGTATAATACTATTACTATGGAAGAATATATGAACTATATGTTTTTTTTTAATGGTTACTTCATGAAGAATCGCGATGTTGGGGGATTCTATGAACTATGAAAACATTGTTCATGGCAGTCTTGCGCATTCTATGACTCCATATTTAATACTAAGAAGTCTTGAAATCGAAGCCGGAACACCTTCCAATAACAAACTAAGTTTCGCAGGCCCCATTTGTTCAGGGATCAATGTCAGAACAAGTGGGCCTTACCTTACCCCTTTAAGCACTCGGGATCTTAGTTCAAGGGATCATTCTGCAGCTGTTACCAACAAAAATGTCAATGGTATCCCCAAGTATTGTTAGTAGAATCCCGATTCAAGTGATGATTGATGTGGAGGTTTCCTAAAATAGGGGTAGCCCTAAATCATCCAAAATTAGACTGAAAGCTATGGTGACGACTGGGGAAACCCCATGACTTGAGAAACTTCGTCTCGCCTCTTTGACCTTCTCCGTTTTCGCACTTTCCTGCGGCCATGACTGAGGTGTCTTCACATTACCAGAACAGCTGGAGAGCTAACACACTCATCCAATGAACAACAGTGTTTTTCTTTTTTTCCATTCCACCGCATGGAGTTCCCTCGCGCGGTCTTGCAAGACTTCAAATTCATGCCAACTGTGCCAACTGTGAAATTGCTTCAATTTTTCTTCGTTCCAGAATTGATGATATATTTTGTTGATCTCAAACAATTAATATTACTATGACTCGACCACATCACAATGCACAAAGTGGCGACAGACCCCACCTCGTTGACCACGATCATCATCTCACCAACCTGTAGATTTTCCCATGGAAAAAAGGGCTTTCCGGTTTCAATTGTCCCGTAAACCAATCCATTGATAGTAGCACATGACATCACCATTTTGGGGAAACTTCCCCACGAAGTGTTGGTTCCCTGGTTTGTTGATCCCGGGCATGACCGTCTCTGGGAACAATCCATGGGCCGTGGCACGCAGCAATTCCTTTGGCTCCGAAAAACTCATGAGAATATTCTGGTTGGTGGTTTTAACCATCTTGAAAAATGATGGAGTTCGTCAATGGGAAGGATGACAACCCATATATGAAATGGAAAATAAAACATGTTTGAAGCCACCAACCAGTTAGTCAGAGAATCAGAGATCACCAGAGAATATCTGCAACACGGCTCGCGAAATCGAAGCAGCCACTCAGCCACTCAGCCACTCTGCCAGAGAGGCTACTCAGCCACTCAGCCACTCTTCTCTGACTGAGCATTCTGATAATGAGTGGATGTGGCAACACGGCTCAGCGAAATCGAAGCAGCCACTCAGCCACTCAGCCACTCTGCCAGAGAGGCTGACGCAGCCACTCAGCCACTCAGCCACTCTGAGCGGCTGACTGGCTGAGTGGCTGGAGAGCCATTGGAGTGTAAGCAATATTACCCAGATCTAATTTTTCTTAGGTCTGGGTAGTATCTCAAGTGAGGTTTTATGCTAATTTAGGGCCCCTTCCTTTATTCATCCAGGCACTGGGGCATATATTCTTATGGGTTGAATGGGGCAAACATCTGTGTTAAAGGGTTGTGAGAAAGAAGTCATTAATCATTTGTGTTAAAGGGGTTCGCTCTGTGGGTCCCTGCGGATCATCATGGCGAAAGGAATGAGACATTTGGTTATAGTTCCAATGTTTTCATATGTGTATGTTATAAAAGAAATTATATATATATGTAGATATAGCTAGACACAAACACACCTAAGGTCATATCATCCACCTCCATCATTTCATCATTTACCACAGTTCATTTTCACAACAGTTCATATCATTTCATCACAGTATCAACACAAAATAAGACCACATAATTTCATACATCATCATCCCACATTATTTCATCATCATCCATCATCACATAAATTCATATCATAAAGTTTCATCATAATATTTTATCATAATATATTATTATAAAATAATATCATAAATCTAAATCATCCACGTCTAACATTCCTATGTTCGAATCGTTCGAATCATAAATTTTCATATATTATGATATGAAAAAAATATGGGGTTAAAGTCTTTTAAAGTTTTTTGGTGTAATGGTTTTCCAGATTTGTTTCAATTTTGCAATTCTGGCTTCATCATCTTTTAAGTATTCCTCCATATATGTGTGTTTTTTCTCTTCTTCCTTTTTGAGTTTTTCCTTGCTGGAATGCCTGTCGGTTTTGACATGTTTGGACAACCTGCATTGTTTCACATTCCGTTGGCAAATGTCGCAGAATACTTCCTTTTGATTATATACTTTGTTATTCTCCTTTTGTTTGTCCAAGCATTCAATACACATTCTATTCATTCCATTGAACTCGTCACCATTTTTGTTTTTCTTACACTTTGTGCACTTTCTACTCTCCATACTATTATAAGGTATTATCCTTTCAATTTTAAGTGTATTTCCTTATGCCATAAAAAAAAAAAAAACATATTATCTGATATGAAAATTTATGGGATTCAAATATAAATTCCTTGTTGTATTATTTCATACACTTTGTCAAACTTATTCTCGTCAATAATTGTATTTCCAATAAACTGTTCATTGTCTTTGATATGCAACAATATTTTTCTTAAGCAATCTATAAAGGTTTCATGACTAAAGTTATCATCCATACAATCAGCATCATTAATATTCATTTCTAACATGCAGAATGCAACCCTAGAATATGATTTGTTACAACATGTTTCAATCCTTGTCCACAATCTTGATAATGTCTTATCTCTTTTTCATTTAATACTAAATTCATTTTATCATCTGGAATTTCATTCACTAAAGTATTATAAACGTAAATTTGAATTTGTTCATCAATATCATCATCGTCACAAGGGTTAATATCAATTTCAATTGAATCAACATGACTCATTATATTTGAGCAACTTTTACAGGCTACATATTCACAAATTTAATTACCAATACCATCGGTAAAATTATTTTTTATAATTCATTTTATTGTTGCATATTCACTACATTTACAGCTTAAGATTTTTTGTTTGATGTATTCTTCTTGATTGATTTCACGTTCACTACTTGTATCACTGAATGAGATTTCGCTAATATATATATATAATATATATATAATATTCCTTTAAGTAGATTTCCTATAAATGGTAATTGATATGTTCAGCAATTCATGCCTCAATAGTGGGCTATTGTATCCTTCTAATGTACAATATGTTTGATTCAATTTTTCATCAATGGACTCTACGGTATACTCACCTTTCAAAAAGTGTGAGGTTCTCTCCTTCGCCGTTGTTGCTTTCTTCCTTTTGATTTTTACTTTGTCTCCCACAAATAGTTCAGGATAGAGCCTCTGTTTCTTTGCTTTCATTGCAATGTTTAATCTTGACTTGAATTCATTGTCTGTATCTCTGGCTTTATACGGTGTTTGACCAGTAGCGGAATGCACATCTTTATTATTGTAAGTTAACACAATTTCATCTATGTAGTCTATCCATTGTATATTCGTTTTTTAATTCTTTTCATCGTTCTCAACTCTTTTGCATAATTTGTCTTTAAAAATTGTTTGTAAAACGCTCGGCAAAAGCAGGATGGCCTCTTGTCCTATACAATTCGGGCTTCGCTTTCTACATATGCTTGGAATTCACCACTTGCTATAGCTTTCTCGTCGTCGGTGTATATGATTTCAGGTTTCTTTGCCATCTTCTCTAGCGCTTTCTTTGTTCCTTGAATAACACTGCCTGTCTCTTTCCTTCTTACTGGGACTACGACAGCATACTTACTCAAACAATCAATACAGACTAATCCAGCTCTGTATCTTTGTTTTACCTTTAAATCTTTTTTGGAAATAAAGAATATATCAATTTGGTATCTATGATTGTTATGTGGAACAACAAAACTGTTATAGCCTCTCGGGTTCATTTTTATCTCTACACTCTTTTCGAAAAAAATCTTCAACATCTTTCATAGTAATAGATTGGTCTTTCTCTCTTGCATCCTTCAAAGTAGTGTTTTTGGAACCAAACCCTGCTTTATAAAAATATATGTTTCCTATGATTTCTTGCTTACTCATACCAATATTTTATTAAGTTTTATTATTTTGAAAAAATCTAATGTGAAGAAGAATTGCAGTGGCAACAATAAGCCTCGCTGTTGTCAATAGAATGGCACAGTCCATTATCACCTCTCTGCGCCGTAAAGTTACTTGATCATTTGCCACCTCTGGTATCAAGATTAAATTTAACTCCACACTTTGCACAACAACCCTTGAACATCTTCAAACATGTTCATCAATGTATTCATCAACTATTTCTCTTCCTCCTTTTCTGTCTTGTCCTTTGTGACCTTCAACCTTGTTTTTAAAATAGTTAACTACCAAATTCTTAAACATATCTTCGTCGGCTGTATCATTTTTGAAAAATATACATTATTGAAATCTGTTGCTCTGGTTACAGCACACCATAGCCATTCTTTGCTCACCAAATAGTCGTTGTAATAGTTGTTTCCAATCCTGAACTTGTAGAGTTCATCACCACTCTCTTTCTTTTTAAGTGATTTCAGGTTATGGTTCAAAGTGTATATGTGGCTGTTCTTAATCAATCCGTTGAAGTTATGTAGCTATGGCAGTTGAAGTTTACAGGGTTATGTTTGTAAATCAAGTTGCTGTCAATGTCATATATATATATATATACTCTTGCTTGGATATTGAAATGTTTAAAACTTTATCCGTCCATTTCATTGATTGATGACTCTGCCGCAGCCACTCAGCCACTCAGCCGCTGTGCCAGAGTGGCTGATGCAGCCACTCAGCCACTCTGCCAGAGTGGCTGGAGCAGCAGCCACTCAGCCACTCTGCCAGAGTGGCCGACGCAGCCACTCAGCCACTCTGCCGGAGAGGCTGGAGGAGCAGCCACTCAGCCACTCAGCCACTCTGCCAGAGTGGCTGGAGCAGCCACTCAGCCACTCAGCCACTCTGCCGGAGTGGCTGGCCAGGAGCCACTCAGCCACTCAGCCACTCTGCCAGAGTGGCTGGAGCAGCCACTCAGCCACTCAGCCACTCTGAGTGACTGAGTCAGTCACTCTGCCAGAGTGGCTGAGTGGCTGAGTGGCTGATGTGAAAATTTCCGCCATTGCGCGTTCAATCTGATAATTAGTCCAGGGATAGTCAGAGCTAGTGTCCCAACCAAGGAGCTTGCGGAAAGCCCACTGTCTGCTCCCTTATCCAACCTCTTTGTTCTTCTCGACCAGTTTTGGTTGGAGTGCAATAAGCTCCTTGACAACTCGGACATGGTCCCATTTCTGGGCTTCGGCAAAAATCAAATGTATCTGTGAAGGTTATGATATTGGCTGGAAACAATGCATGTCCTCCCATTGCTACTGCTAGATCTGCCAAAATAGCCATTGCTACTGTCCTTTGGTTGAACAAAGCTGGGATACATTCTATATTAATAAACCATCCCCCAGTCATCACCATAGATAGGTGGTATGTTTACCGTTCCCAAATGGGTAGTTTATGGCATTGTTTTAACCACATTATTGACATTCCCTCTTCTTCGACGTGTCCTGAATTTACCAATTTTCATCAATTTTCTATTTTGGCCCACAATACCCGACAGGACCCGGTCGTCTCCCTGTGGAATCTTCGGGGTCGTCTCCCAAAAACGTCCTGCTTCATTCCCTCCACGGATTGCTCAGTGGTGGTCAACTTCTCCAAGCCGACCTGTCCATGCAATTCGATGCAATTCGCACACTTTCTGGGACCCAAAAGCGGGCTATGCCCACAGTGTCCACAGTGTCCTACCGAAAAAATGGATGTGAGTGGGATGAAGTGGGCTATGGATGGCTATGGTTATACCTCAAGAATGGCAACTTTAATAGTGAACAGCATTGAACAGTATGATGAACTCTGGGATCTTGGGCAAAATTATTCAGTACAAGTACAAACCAAAGCAGATAGTCTTTGTTTATCCCCTGTACTAACCGTTATCAACAATGAATCAATTATATAATGTGTCATCCCATGATCAACTAGATATTCTTCCCATCATGGTTAGGTGTGTTAATGTTTCTATATTAAACCATTAATATAACTATATAAATCTATATAACCATAATCATGCGAAAACTTTCCCATGAAATTCTCTTTTTTTTCTCCATGGCCATGGGATCTCGATCATCTGATCACCGGAGGCCTCATATTTCGACTTCAAGCTGCTGATCGAGTCGCGCTTCTCCGCCAGCAGCGACTGGCAGAATCGTGGCGACGTGACCCCGGGTGACCCACGGTGACCCATTGGAAAAGCCATTGGAAAAGCCAGTGAATTACCTTCCAGATCCTGGAAGAGGAAATTCACAGATGAAAACAAACATCTTCAAAATTAGTGAGTGATAACATGTGATAATCATTCAACATGACCCTTCAATTCTAGTGATCATCTTCCAAGCCCCAACTTTTTTGGGAGTGTTCTGATGGTCTGATGGGATCTGGAATCCCCAAGTTTACACCTATATGAATACGTATATATGTATATACGTATATATATATGTATGTATATATGTGAATGCTGGTATAATACCATATGGATATATGGCCACTATATGGATTAACTTATGGAATCTCTTTGTAATGGTCAATACAATACCAAAATGAAGAATAAATCAGGATAAATCAAAATAGTTCATTCATTCATGAAATAATTCACCTGATTTCCTCTGGATCCCAACACTCCCAGCTGCACCTTGAAGGTTTGGATCAGTTCCAAAAAGGATGTGGGCGTGGAGTAGTAAATGCCTCATTTTCAGAAAGACTGGCGGACGACTGGTCCTGTCATTGTATGTCATTGTTATAGTTCAATGGAATACATCAGAATTGGTTAAAACATCGCATTCTTCGGCGCATCAACTCATTCCGAGACATCTCTGCAAGAATCCAAAGAGAACTGTGGACAAGAACCCAAGGATTCCAAACTCAACGGCTCTGAAAGTGGGCAGCCTGAACTCCAACGGCTGCATTTTCTTCAAAAATGATCCAAAACCCTGGGATTTTACCGTTTTCGATACATGTTCTCCGCCCGCGTCTCCCAGGACTCGAGAGCCAAGCGTTTCAACTCATCCTCGAAGCGACGAGCCAACTTTTTCGTCTCGGAGTGGAAATACCTCAGATTCAGCACCCTCCGGTGTCAATCATGGCTACTATCAACAGTAGTAGCTGGAAAATCATGAAACTCCCAGCATTTTCAGATGTTTTTCCTATTAAAACCTCATGAAACCTCCATTGATCGGGGATTTCCCATCCGGCCACCACTGGAGGGTAACCCAATATTTGGACCCTTCAACTGGCACCGAAGCCGGTCAAGACCATCGGATCGATTTCCGTTTGGTACCATCCAGTAAATTAACATAGACCCTGCCAGATAGGGGTTGGAAGATTAGTGAAACCATTAAAACATGGGTCATGTTCAGGGTCTATGTTTATTTACCAGAGGGTATATGGAGTCCTCCTAATCAATCTTAATCCAACAGAATGGAAGAATGATGAGACCCTATCTAACATAGATTGTCTACGTGGGGTTCAAAGTGAACAACAACTTGCAACCGCAGTAATCAGGAGGGTCTTAATTCAGACTGCATGAAAACCAATCAGCCCATAAGAATGTATATTAGGCTATGGGTCAAACACATGGCACCCTGGTTTTCACACCGGGATTTTGTGGACGTTACTCCACTCATAGATATTGATCCATCCGCATGGAATCCCTTCCGCGAATTATTAAACATTCACACCATACAATTGGGATGTTTAATGTGAACAGGACATGGGATACTATTAACCACTATCAACCACTATAAACCATAAACTGTTATTAACCATGGTTAACCATTCATTAGCCAATATGAACCATCCACTCATCAAAGAGTTAATCATGAACTATACTATATAACCACTATTAACAATGAAGCATCCATTAATCATTAATTAACTATTACCTACTATTAACCATGATTAACCACTACAGTATCAGCCCATTATCAAGCATTATCAACCCATTATTAACCCACTATTAACCATTATGAACCACCATTTATCATATATTTACCATCATTCAGAATCATTTACCATATATTAGCCATCATTTACCATATATTTACCATATGTTTCATCTATTTCAAGCTACTCACATCCACCAGTATAATAATATGCCCATAGATTTACCCATTATTGTTAACACGTTCTTGACCTTATGGGCCCATAGATAGACCAGCTTCACCTCAGAACCTGTGCCACCAGACTGGCACATCTCTACACAGTTCTGTCGCACCTCACAGGGGCAGTGTCATCGCAACGGAGACATCGGGAGTCGCAATATGGATATATGAATGGGTATATGATGGTATGTGTATGGGTAAAGGAATGGGTATATTCATCTGGGTATATAATATGTATGGGTGTATGTATATATATATATTATATGTCTATATTTAAAGTATATGTATGGGCCTAATTAATTTATTGGTATATGATATGTATGAATATATGATGGGTATATGATAGCTGTATGATGGGCAGTATCTGGGAGTCCTAACATGATGGCTATATACGCCTGAAAATGGATTAATGACCGTCCCCGAATTCATTGGCATATAATCGTGAATCTCCTCCAACTTTTGACTATATGAACAGTTATTCGGATCATGCAATTCTGGTTGGTGGTTTTAACCCCTCTGAAAAATATGAAAGTCAGATTGGATCATCATCCCAACTATTGGGGAAAATAAAAAAATGCTCCAAACCACCAACCAGCAATTTGTACATATTTGTACCACAGGACCTTGAAACGTTGGAAACATGCAATTCAGACTTTCAATCCAGTGGATCTAATACGCCAATGTCAGCAATGTCAGCAACCAGGCAATGTGGGATCATTGGGTTTCAGTACGCCTACCAAAAATAACCATTTTATGCACATACTATTAACCATCATTAGTGAATCAATAACCATGATGAAGCCATTATTAACTCACTAGTAACCATGATGAACCATCATTTACCATATATTAGCCATCATTCAGAATCATTTACCATATATTAGCCATCATTTACCATATATTTACCATATGTTTCATCTATTTCAAGCTACTCACATCCACCAGTATAATAATAGGCCCATAGATTTACCCATTATTGTTATAGATACCATGAAGCACTATCGACCAACGCGGTGGCGACCGCACCTGCGCGTCCAAATCAGGAATCGACTCCAAGAACTTGGTGGCGACCGCCATCAAGGCATCTGGCGGCCATGCCTAAGGTCTCGTCCGGTTGAAACGGTTGAAAGGTGGGGCTCTTGGGGAAGTCATGGTAGAGTTATGGTGATTTAATGGGATTTCATAGGGATTTTATGGGATTTAATAGGATTTTAATGGTATTTAATAGGGATTTTAATGGAATGTCATTGGGATTTTGATGGGATGCCATAGGGATTTTGATAGTTAAGTTGGTATCTCCAATAACCCTTGGGTCTATGGAAGATATAACTATAGTTAATGGTTTTTATAAACCAACTTATAACACGAGGACCGAAAAAATGCAAGGTTTCTGGTAGATTGCAACCCCCAAGAGAGAAACATTGAGAAGATTTGGGAAGCAGCAGCATAGTGAGTGATAAATATTATAAGTTAATATACATAGTACATTACTGTTCTATGTGTTTTTTTCTCCGGGGGGTCACTATATATTCATATATATAGATATATATAGATATATAGAAATATATAGATATTGGATTACATTGGGTGATGGGGTTAAGCAAGGATGATAACAAGGGGACCACCTTGTATGATAGGTTAAACCATGGATAATCATACTGTACAGCAACCCACAAAATTTGGATGAGAAGTTTAGAGACCAGGAAACTATGGAGAAAACATCATCTATCATCTACAACATCCTGGAAACATGTTCTTTTTTTGCAGGTGCTTTGTGGTAAAACTTTGATTTAGGGAGAAACAACAAAAATTGCATGTCTTGTGGGAGAAACTGAGTTGACTTGAAAATTAATGCTTCCATCAGGATATAGGTTTTGGATGTTTTTGGATGTTCTTTTTGGGAGAATTTCGCAGTGGCTGCCTGTGGATTGATGTTATGTTTTCTATGATGCTACAAGTATCGATGATGGACCATACGCAACCACACTGGCCCCTCTCAGCCTTCTTTCTCACATTAGGCGCAATGTCCCACGAAGGGGAAGGACTCAAACACAGCATCGAATCAACATGTGGCATTGGGCAATCTGATTCTACTATAGTTATATTTTTCATAGACCCAAAAGTTATTGGAGATACCAACTTAACTATCAAAATCCGTATCGAAATCCCACTAAAATCCTATTAAGTCCCATGCAAATCCCATTAATCCCTATTATATAAATCCCTATGAAATCCCATTAAAATCCCATGAAAATTCACATCTCCTATCGGCATTCCCATCGGTGACGAAAAACTCAGTGCACTTTTCAAAACTGTGGCTGGTTTCCCTATCAATTCCCGGTAATCCGTCTGAGTTCACTGCTGTGTACCAATCAATGGTACAGCAATTCACCAGCGATGGAAACCTCAGGGACCAAATGGGTGTGTCTGAAAATAGTGTACCCCTAAACCCAATGGTTAATGACCATTATCCCTATTAAATGGCTATAATTGGGAATATACCCTATTTTCAGACAAACCCAAATTTCATTGAGCCTCCCTTGAGGACGAAATCCTGGTCGAATCATCTTTGAATCGGTGACAAAAATAAGCTGACTAAATAGACTAATGACTAGACAAATAGTGAAATCAACATCAAAATTAGTAGGGAATAAATCAACATCAGAATTACTTAGCCTTTCCTCCTAATATTGAACACCGCAAGCAACCATTCTTTGTTTCCAGAGGATGTAAACGTATTTAAGGGACCATACCATGTGTTGAACACCATCCAACTATCCCCAATAGAGGAAACATGCAATTGGGTATACCCCTATGGCCCTGAGATGATGTGAAAATATGGTAAAATGACATAAAATGACCCCCAAATGTTGGATTTCACATCTATTAGTATAGTATGTTGAGTATGTTCCGAACGAACATCATGACATCCTCCATCTATGGATCATGTTGCGAACTAAACAGGATGGGGCCCCCAAGACAGCGTTCAGTTGAGATAGAAGTGGCTGAATTCTATGGTTTATGGTAGATATAACGAACTAGTTTTCATGGGGTTTCTTTCAACCAACATTCACATCACTGGGGCACCATCCTGAACCTCCATCTCTTCAGTAGTTTTCTTCGGAGATTTCCTAGGATTTACCCGTCCCATTGCCGGCCATGTTTCATGACACGTTTTTCGCACCCAGGAACTGTCGAAGGCGCGTGCGCCAGTTGTCACCGATGGGCGAGAAACACACCACGCAGCCCACCTGGTAACCGGGGCATTGTTTTGCATCTAATGGTGATTTAATGGTGATTTAATGGTGATATAATGGTTTAACAATGGATTAACAATGGTGAATAATGGGATGATATAGGAATTACCTTCTGGTTATGACTAACATAGCCATGGTATAGATGGCCCATAGATTTATAGGTGGTTTACCTAGCTATAAAATGGTGATTTTCCATGGCTATGTTAGTCATAACCAGATGGTATTTCTAGGGATATTGCATGGGAATATCATCCCTATAGATAGGTCAGATAGGTAGAACGATAGATGGGCATATTAAGAATGGGAATATCATATCATGGGAATATAAGTGATAATTATAGAATGTAATATGGCTTAACAATGCCATAAATCACCCATTTGGGAATGGTTTCTATATATCTATATACACCACCTATATAAATGGTGATTCGGGAGATTGTTTATTATTGTTTTAACCCACATTAATATCATTCCGGGATGAAAGTAACTAGTCTCTCAAAAAAAAACGTTTCGGATTTGACTTGGGTTTATAGGGGTAACTATAGTTTGCACATATTTTTGTTTGTATTTGGGTGATTGTTCATAGTTTCTTTATATAAACAAAATATCACAGAAAGGCCTCACCGACCGTACGTAATCTGATATCTATTTAGTCTATAGGGATATTTAATGGGAATAGAATGATACCAGTATATGATGATATATGCTGCAATGATTGTTAACCTCAAGCAAACAAACGGTTTGCTCAAAAACATGCCCCATTGAATTCGATGAGGAAAACCATGGAAAACCTAGACCTATTGGACCTATTATCCAATTATGCATACGTACATATATATACATATATACATACATAAACATGGCAATTTCCAGTACGTAAACTGTTAAATTACCAGAGGCTACTTGTGATGGGAGCATCATGGGGATTTCTGGGATATTTGCAACTACCTTTACCGCTGTAACATGCTATCGTGGCCAACTAACTTTATATTCCATAAGGTATCCTGATTCCATACGTGACTTGTTACAATACCAGAAAAGAATATATTTCCCAATTATCATCTATAACAGACGATAAAAAGTAGGTCTGATTGAAGATGGGTGGTATCCTCTAATGGCCATCAAGTATAGGGAACATATGGGAACATATAGGAACAATGATGTCAAGCATCAAATTTAGGCGTAACAAAAATTTTCAGATCCATTACCACAAGCTTAAACCTCGGTTGACCAACAATCTTGCATAATATCAACATGTTTTCTATGATCCCATGTCTGAGCAATTCTTCGATTTCTTTGGGCAAAGATTGGACGAAATAGCCTCTGGTAAACTAACAGTTTGCTGTTGAAAATGGCCATTTATGGTTGTTTAACCCATCAACAATGGTGTGATTTTCCATAGCGCACTGTGAGTTTACCAGAGGGTAAGTCACTTTTCCAGAACATAACAATGGATGGCCGATCAAACAAACGCTTGGAAGCCACAATTTGAGCGTGGCTGAAAATTGGACAATGTGAAGCCAACATCAAGGGGGTTGTGCCGACCATTTGGGGATGATATTCACATCTTTTCACCAACCATTTAAATTTATGGCAATATTGGAGATTGTCTACGGCATTGGGTTTACCACAAGGCATGGGAGAAAACATCCAAAACCCATCGAAACATCTGGTTCTCACATCGGGAGTTATGGATGTTCACCCTGCCAGCCCCAAAATGCTATTGATCGATGCGTTGGTTTGCTCGGCAGATCCATAGCACAGAACTGAGTAGCCCACCATTGCTCGGCATCGTTCAATGAAGAATGCGAAGAGCTGTGTCAAAGTGCCATCCTAAGCGCCGTTCGAAGGATCTGAACGTCCAAGAGTCACTGCTTGCGAAAGAGTTTGGAAAGACCTACAAAGGGGATATGGGTTTCCTCAAACATGAAAGGAGTACCACTTTATATGGTAATTTGAATGGGGAATCTGAGGTTCTAAACCAGTAAATTTGGGCATGATAGACTATAGATAAGCCATTCATCATATTTTTGACAGTACGTATGAAGGTTCCAAACAACAAATCATCATAGACACAGCCTCATGATCAACAAATCATATCACTTGGATTTAACCAAATATCCCTCGTGCTACTCTCACCAGCAGACGGTCACGCGCATCTGCAAACTCCGCTTTCTCCAGGCAAACAGACTTGCACTGCCATAGAGAACAACTGGGTGAGATGTTATCCTCCGGCAATCCAGCATTGGAGCACCATCTGGCAAATTCCCAATCAACAGAGGTTTTTTGGGACCATCTGGGGATGTTCCCTGGCCATGTTTGGTGCCGGAATAGGCCCTTCAGAAACATCATCGGCACCTGACCATTGGCGTGGCCTTTTTGTTAGGCCTGAAACTCTTGTTTATGGCACCAGAAATGGGGGTTTCCAGAAATGGGGGTAACCCCAAATGGATAAATGGATGGTTTATTTATGTTTCTTCCTTGGAAAATCCCATTAAAGTTAAAATGGATGATTTGGGGCTATCCCTATTTTAGGAAAGCTCCATATAATCTTCTAAGTCGGTCATAGGGTTCACCCTGGTGGGTGGTAGGTTTCGCAGTTTCGCTCCCGTGTGGTCTGGTGTTGTAGAATAGTATGGACAGAAGCACCAGTGTCGTAAACTGTCTGTTTCCCAAGAATTGTTGGGTAGATCCCTTCTGTATCCCTATATCCCAATTATATCGAATAATTATATCATGGACCATGCCTTCTGGTGTGGACATGTGGGTGTCACACTGGAATAATTTGTTTATTATCCCAGTGTCTATGACTTACACTGGAGCCATTGTTATTCTGAGGTGATCCACATCCAGAATAATTTGTTTTTTTTAAATGCTGATTTCATCTCCAGGTTTGTTCAAGTATGACCCAAAAACCATGTCAACATTCGACCCAAAAACCATCTAAACATTCGAATCTTGTGTGATCAGTTGGAATGCAAAATGCTTGTCGCAGTCTCAGGCTCCGTTTCGCGAAAAAAATCTGAACCGGTTCCAAAAGTTGTATCTAATTGTTAGGCCACCTGGTGTCCCACTCGTTCTCGCGTCATTTTTGTCCTATTGCGAATTTCTGAACGGCATCTTGTCTTTTGCATCTTGAACCCGTGATGTATCTTGTACAATCATACAGCTTCTATTTCTAGCTTGACCAAGAAAGATCGAGAAACTTTAAAACCTAATTTAACAAGTGACCTGAGGAACCGTTTCTTGACGCCAAGAAACCAATCTCAAGGTCACTTGTAAAAATTGGGTTTGAAAATTTGAAATCCTCTTGACTTTTGCTGGCAAAATGACGGAAGTCGTTTTGAGGGATTTTGCATGAGTAAGAAAGCGAAAATGCATTGATCACCAACCTTCTTCCCCCAAAATTCTATCTCCGAAACCACCCGTATCCTCACCTGCACGCGTGTAAATATATTCTTGCTGTCAACATATGTTTGGCACCCTTGTTGATCCCTGTTGTATATAGGTTTAACCTGTAACTTAGATAGCTTGTGACTAGCCACATATTTTTCTGGGCTCAAGGAATGTCAAGGAATACAGGACGTTGTGTTGATGTATTGTCAATGATTTTCAATTCAACATGCAGTGATCCTCAGCCCTTTCCCACCAATATTCTACCTCCGAAACCACCCGCATCCTCCACCTGCGGGTGTCAAGATTACTCCTGGTGTCAACATACCTCTAGGACCCGTGCTTTACAGAGGTGTAGCCTGTAGAGTCGCCTGCGCAGTTTGTAAATTGCTCAAGCCCTCTCTGCCTGGTTTCAAGGATGTGCAAAAAGGTCTCGAGCCATGTGTTTAACATTGCTTAACACTGTTTAATGCGGAATTCAACAGCCCAAGATGTTTGCTCACGTTTTTTCACCGATTTTCAAACGACAATGCAATGATCATCAGCCCTCTTCCACCCAGAATCTACCGCCGAAAAGATCTGCAGAAAGGTCTCGAGCTATGCATCCAACATTGTTGAATGCAGAAGCCCACAGGGAAAGTAATGCAAGATGCTTTTCCACACATGGCAAAGAGCAATGAGCTGAAAATGGACTGATCATCAAGCCTTTTCCATCAATATTCTACTTCCGAAACCACCAGCATCCTCCTCCACCTGCATGCGTCAAAATTATTCCTGGTGTCAACACATGTCTGGCACCCCTGTGCTGTAGAGGTTTAACCTGCAAAGTGGCCTGCTCTGTCTGTAACTAGCTAAAGCCCCTCCATTTTTCTGGTTTACAGGATGTGCACAAAAGTTCCGAGACGTGTGTTTAACATCGTTTAGCATTCTTTGATGCAGAATTCAACAGGGAAAGTAATGTAAGATGCTTTTCCATAAGTTTGAACGAGTTATGAAATAAAAATGAATTGATCTCCAACCCTTTTCCACCAATATTCGATCTCCAAAAACCATCAGCATCCTCCACCTGCACGCATCTAAATTATTCCTGGTGTCAACACATGTCTGCCACCCGTATTTTGTAGAGGGTTAACCTGCAAAGGCATCAATATTCTACTTCCGAAACCACCAGCATCCTCCTCCACCTGCACGCGTCAAAATTATTCCTGGTGTCAACACATGTCTGGCACCCCTGTGCTGTAGAGGTTTAACCTGCAAAGTGGCCTGCTCTGTCTGTAACTAGCTAAAGACCATCCTTTTTTCTTGCTTACAGTATGTGCAGAAAGGTATCGAGACGTGTGTTTAACATCGTTTAACCTTCTTTGATGCAGAATTCAACAGGGAAAGTAATGTAAGATGCTTTTCCATAAGTTTGAACGAGTTATGAAATAAAAATGAATTGGTCTCCAACCCTTTTCCACCAATATTCGATCTCCAAAAACCATCAGCATCCTCCACCTGCACGCATCTAAATTATTCCTGGTGTCAACACATGTCTGCCACCCGTATTTTGTGGAGGGTTAACCTGCAAAGGCATCAATATTCTACTTCCGAAACCACCAGCATCCTCCTCCACCTGCACGCGTCAAAATTATTCCTGGTGTCAACACATGTCTGGCACCCCTGTGCTGTAGAGGTTTAACCTGCAAAGTGGCCTGCTCTGTCTGTAACTAGCTAAAGACCATCCTTTTTTCTTGCTTACAGTATGTGCAGAAAGGTATCGAGACGTGTGTTTAACATCGTTTAACATTCTTTGATGCAGAATTCAACAGGGAAAGTAATGTAAGATGCTTTTCCATAAGTTTGAACGAGTTATGAAATAAAAATGAATTGATCTCCAACCCTTTTCCACCAATATTCGATCTCCAAAAACCATCAGCATCCTCCACCTGCACGCATCTAAATTATTCCTGGTGTCAACACATGTCTGCCACCCGTATTTTGTAGAGGGTTAACCTGCAAAGGCATCAATATTCTACTTCCGAAACCACCAGCATCCTTCTTCACCTGCACGCGTCAAAATTATTCCTGGTGTCAACACATGTCTGGCACCCCTGTGCTGTAGAGGTTTAACCTGCAAAGTGGCCTGCTCTGTCTGTAACTAGCTAAAGCCCCTCCATTTTTCTGGCTTACAGGATGTGCAGAAAAGTTTCGAGACGTGTGTTTAACATCGTTTAACCTTCTTTGATGCAGATTCAACAGGGAAAGTAATGCAAGATACTTTTCCATAAATTTGAACGAGTAAGGAAATGAAAATCAATAGAAATCAATTGGTCATCACCCTTTTTCCACCAATATTCGATCTTCAAAGCAATCAGCATCCTCCACCTGTACGCGTCTAAATTATCATGTCCGGAACCCGTGTTTTATCATCGCCCCTGCAATTACAGGGGGTCCTTGGTACCTCTGATTCTGGAAAGAGTTGCAGGGCGTATTCAAGCCTAAACAAACAGGGGTGCCAGACATGTCCTGACACAAGGAATAATTTTGACGCGTGCAGGTGGAGGACGCGGGTGGTTTCGGAGGTAGAATATTGGTGGAAGAGGGCTTATGATCATTGTAAGTTGACTTGAAATTCATTCAAAACGCATCAGAACAACATCCTTCATTCCTTGACTTCAAAAAAAGAAGCCGTAGCTAGTCCTATGTAAGCTACAGGTTAAACTTATACAAAACAGGGGTGCCAGACATGCGTTGACACCAGGAATATATTTCGACGCCCGCAGTTGGAGGATGCGGGCGCTGTCGGATATGAATTGGTGGAAGAGGGTTGGTGATCATTAATTGCATTCACAACTGAAGCTCAAAATACATCAGAATGATCTCTTTGATTGCTTGATATTCCTTGAGGCCAGAAATACACAAATGCTGTGTACAGACTGCGCAAGCTACTTTACAGGCTACACCTCTATAAAGCACGGGTCCTAGAGGTATGTTGACACCAGGAGTAATCTTGACGCCCGCAGGTGGAGGATGCGGGTGGTTTCGGAGGTAGAATATTGGTGGGAAAGGGCTGAGGATCACTGCATGTTGATTTGAAAATCATTGACAATACATCAACACAACATCCTGTATTCCTTGACATTCCTTGGGCCCAGAAAAATATGTGGCTAGTCACAAGCTATCTAAGTTACAGGTTAAACCTATATACAACAGGGGTGCCAAACATATGTTGACAGCAAGAATATATTTACACGCGTGCAGGTGAGGATACGGGTGGTTTCGGAAATAGAATTTTGGGGGAAGAAGGTTGGTGATCAATGCATTTTCACTTTCTTACTCATGCAAATTCCCTCAAAACGACTTCAGTCATTTTGCCAGCAAAAGTCAAGAGGATTTCAAACCCAATTTTTACAAGTGACCTTGAGATTGGTTTCTTGGCGTCAAGAAACGGTTCCTCAGGTCACTTGTTAAATTAGGTTTTAAAGTTTCTCGATCTTTCTTGGTCAAGCTAGAAAAAGAAGATTTAGTTATTTACAGGTTATGCAAGATACATCACAGATTAAACCTATATAGTTCGTTCCAACATTTGAACCGTTTGATGATATGTTATAACACATAATTTCATGCATTTTGAAAGGCTACATATCAAAATTATTCCAATGTCTATCCACATCCTGTTGTTTCTTTTAACCAAAATTATTCCAATGTCTATCCACATTGTTAACCAAAATGATTCCAATGTCTATCCACATTGTTAACCAAAATTATTCCAATGTCTATCCACATCGGTAACCAAAATTATTCCAATGTCTATCCACATCGTGTTGTTTCTTCTAACCAAAATTATTCCAATGTCTTGCCACCTACACTTTGCCCATAGTGCCTAAAAATTATTCCCAAGGAAATTATTCTGGAAAATTATTCCTAGATGTAACATCCACATCGGAATAATTTCGGATGGTATGGGTCATATTATATCCATGATAATTATATTCCGGCTAATATTAGTAATTACCAAACTCACCATGTGGTTTCAGCGTTGCTTCCAACAACGCTGGTTTCTGTATAACACAGCTGGAAAAGTCAGCACAAGACAAACCAGGTCAACCACCTATCCCTCTCACTGCTACAATTAAATAACAGAAATCCTTGCTGGTTGGTGGTTTTAACCATATTGAAACATATTAGTCAATGGGAAGGATTATCCCGTATATTATGGGAAATAAAAAAATGTTGGAAACCGCCGGCCAGCACCGGACCTTTCCATTTTGGGGTCCCTTACTGAAGGCATTTTCAACAGCGGGAAAGGATTTTGAACATAACTCCAAAAAGTGTTGTCAACATGTGTAACCTGCACAATTGCATGACCCCCAATAAACAACCAGCAATCAGCACTTGTTCTTTTTGGGCCACTATGGGCAACTGCTCCGGTGAGAGGCTTTGCAGCGAGAATGTTCATCTCCCCCTTTCCCAGTGGTGACACGTCCGCAAAAAAAAGGACCCATGAAACTTCAGTGAATCTCAAAGTGGAAATACAGCTACAACGCGCCGCCAACATGTCACCAGGATCATGTGTCTGAAGGGAATGGCGTCATCACTACAACATCACTACAACCATGTCAATGGTACAGGACATGGTCGCAGTTTCTGTGCAACAGACTACCATCTTGATCTTCAGCAGCTCCAATTTCTGATCCAACGATCCAATGTCCCATTGTAGACAGCGAATTCTCCAGCTTTCGGGTGGACAATAGAAAAACATTCGAAAAATCAATGGACTACATCCCCCGCAAGCGTAGCACCAAGTGGATGGTGGACTCTTTCTGGATGTTGTACTCCTCCAGGGTCCGGTCATTCTCAAGTAGCTTACCTGCAAAGACTGCCCTCTGCTGATCCGACATTCGTGACATCGCCTTCTCAATTGCATCGCCTTCTCAATTGTATCAGTGCTATTTACTTGCAAAGTCACCGTCCTGCCTGTCAAGGTCTCCACATAAATTTGCATCTCGATGGGTTTGCAAATCACCATGTCGATCCAGCAGTTCCCCTCAATCTGGCACTCCGCCAGGGTTTTTTGACCCTGAATCCCTTCGCCGGCAAAAATCAAGCGCTGCTGCTCAGCTGGAATACCTTGGAGTTGAATCTAAGTTTAAAAAAATAGATTCCCGAATTGGTGAGTGAACCGATGTGAAAATATGGAAAAATAAGACAGATCATCTTCACCAAATCCAAATAAATCCAGGATGCCTTGCTTCTCTTGAATCTTGGCCTTCACATTGTCAATAGTGTCGCTAGCCTCTACATCCAGTGTGATTGTCTCTCCAGCTAGCGTCTTCACGAAGATTTGCATGGCGCTCATTTGAGAGAATTCTGAAATGGAGTGTTGCCACTTGAATGAAAAGAGGGACAACACGGACAACCAAAAGCCACTATTTGGCGATCTATCTAGAAGCCGTGCATAGCCGTACCAATGCAAGGCTATATTGTATTCATCAGATTTGATCTGTCTTTATCCGGAATTCTCAATGTTTGATACACCGCGTCTAGAAGCAACCTTTCCCTGGAACTGTGCCAATTTCCTTGCTGTGGGCCGAATTCTTCAACACTTGCAAAAAAACGATCTCAACTGCAGCTGTTAGTTATAACCCAGCACTAAAATAACAGTCAGACCTGCCAAAAAAAACCTGCAATGACCTGACTTGAGGGGCCTTGGGTAAACTCATTTTGCCCGAATCCTCTTGAAGCAACTGGTGGTCTCAAATTTAACGCACCTGCCGCAACCTGCTCCCCAAAAAACTCGTATCATTATTATCATAACTAACAATAGATCGATATCATAACTATTATCACTATAGTAATATGATAATATGATATCATCCTGTAAACTAACACTTCGATGTGGAAAACCCACAATTGGTAGATCATGTTCCCAGGGTTCCCCGGCTTTCAATATCTTTTTGTCTGTTTCAACCAGGAGAAGCCTCAGAATAAGTTCTTTGCCAAACAAACGATGTCTGTTTAATATGTTTAATGACCTTCGTATTCCTTCATATAAATCACCCATAAAGAAGCCCTAGCATACCATCTTAAATCAAAACATCAAATATCAATATTCCATAATATACCAATACCACGAACAAGTCATCCAAGTACCTAGGAAAAAAAACGATGAACATCCCAAGTCATTTGTTCATACTTTTTGTTCAATTTTGTTCATAGTTTGTTGAAAAAACCCAAGTACCTAAAATCATCCAAGTACCTTTAAAAACGATGAATCGCCTCGGTTGCCTGTGGCCGGAATCGGGCTGGAGGGTTCCTCCTTCTGAATGGCAGCTTATAGCTGGGAAAATGATCTGTAAATGATCTGTCAATGGTGGATTTTCCATTGCCATGTTTGAGTGCCTGAGGCTAATCCACATCATTTTCCCTTAGAAGCAGACTATCCCATGGTGATTTTTAGGGCTTTCCAAATGCTTTGGGAAAAACTAATCTATCTCCCACATCTTGCCTGTCAACATGTCACCATATGTCACTCCATTTTTGCTCGACTCAACCAGTTGGATCGTAGTTGAGGAGGAATCGCAGCAGTGAATCTCTGTACAATGAGTGACTTCTATAGTGCCCAATCATGCCCAATCCACAACTTCATGTGAGGCACGAGCAAGAGGCCACTCCAAGAATTCACTGCTGAATGCAGATATTTGTCCGATCAAAAGCAAACCAACTTGACACGAAGGCATCGTTTTAAACTCACAGCTACAAGTTGTTGCGTTTCATTCATAGTGTGTAGTTGTTGCTACACTTCTTGGAAAAGATGTCGAAGACATGGCGATTCCGCATTTGTTCAACTTTCATCCCAAATTGCTATCATGTGAGACCATGTTAAGGGCAGCCCATGTTTAAGGGCAGCTTGGATATCTCCATGCATGTATTGTGCCAAAAGCTTAAAATGAAGAACAGGTAAACATGGCAACACTGAAAAATCAATTGTTAGTTTGAATCAATTTGATACGATTCGGGTTACAACTCTGAAGCATTCAAATGTATGCAGTATCATGAGCACTAATAGTTTCATGAGATTGGTATTAGACATCCATCAGTCTATGGAATGGCATGGACTTATAAAATGTTCCCATATAAGTCGTCTATCTGTCCAGTAAGGTGTTGTTCAATCTTGGTTGCAGTGTCAGACTGTTACGTTATTAAAGCACTGGTTGGTGTCACCATCACTTCAAGTCACGATCAAGTTGTGCCTGCACAAGATCGAAAATTTCCGATGCTGTCTGTCTTGACGTCCATGAGGGGTAAAATCAAAAGAAACAAATCTGAGAGATTCTGAGAGTATGACTGGACACTTGTTCATTGTAGCTGGCAACACGGTAAATCAAACTCCTCATGCAAAGAACAAGCCATACTAACAGCAATCATCGCAGACGCAGCACCAAGTGGAGGGTGGCCTCCTTCTGGATGTTGTAATCCGAAAGGGTGCGGCCATCCTCCAACTGCTTGCCAGCAAAGATCAGGCGCTGCTGATCAGGTGGGATCCCCTCCTTATCCTGGATCTTGGCCTTGACATTGTCAATGGTGTCACTTGCCTCAACGTCGAGGGTGATGGTCTTGCCCGTCAAGGTCTTCACAAAGATCTGCATGCCACCTCGCAAGCGCAAGACCAAGTGAGGGTGGACTCCTTCTGGATGTTGTAATCCGAAAGGGTGCGGCCATCCTCCAGCTGCTTGCCTGCAAAGATCAGGCGCTGCTGATCAGGTGGGATCCCCTCCTTGTCCTGGATCTTGGCCTTGACATTGTCAATGGTGTCACTTGGCCTCAACGTCGAGGGTGATGGTCTTGCCCGTCAAGGTCTTCACGAAGATCTGCATGCCACCTCGCAAGCGCAAGACCAAGTGGAGGGTGGACTCCTTCTGGATGTTGTAATCCGAAAGGGTGCGGCCATCCTCCAGCTGCTTGCCAGCAAAGATCAGGCGCTGCTGATCAGGTGGGATCCCCTCCTTATCCTGGATCTTGGCCTTGACATTGTCAATGGTGTCACTTGCCTCAACGTCGAGGGTGATGGTCTTGCCGGTCAGGGTCTTCACAAAGATCTGCATGCCACCTCGCAAGCGCAAGACCAAGTGGAGGGTGGACTCCTTCTGGATGTTGTAATCCGAAAGGGTGCGGCCATCCTCCAGCTGCTTGCCAGCAAAGATCAGGCGCTGCTGATCAGGTGGGATCCCCTCCTTATCCTGGATCTTGGCCTTGACATTGTCAATGGTGTCACTTGCCTCTCGTCGGGTGATGGTCTTGCCCGTCAGGGTCTTCACGAAGATCTGCATGCCACCTCGCAAGCGCAAGACCAAGTGGAGGGTGGACTCCTTCTGGATGTTGTAATCCGAAAGGGTGCGGCCATCCTCCAGCTGCTTGCCAGCAAAGATCAGGCGCTGCTGATCAGGTGGGATCCCCTCCTTATCCTGGATCTTGGCCTTGACATTGTCAATGGTGTCACTTGCCTCAACGTCGAGGGTGATGGTCTTGCCGTCAGGGTCTTCACAAAGATCTGCATGCCACCTCGCAAGCGCAAGACCAAGTGGAGGGTGGACTCCTTCTGGATGTTGTAATCCGAAAGGGTGCGGCCATCCTCCAGCTGCTTGCCAGCAAAGATCAGGCGCTGCTGATCAGGTGGGATCCCCTCCTTATCCTGGATCTTGGCCTTGACATTGTCAATGGTGTCACTTGCCTCAACGTCGAGGGTGATGGTCTTGCCCGTCAAGGTCTTCACGAAGATCTGCATGCCACCTCGCAAGCGCAAGACCAAGTGGAGGGTGGACTCCTTCTGGATGTTGTAATCCGAAAGGGTGCGGCCATCCTCCAGCTGCTTGCCTGCAAAGATCAGGCGCTGCTGATCAGGTGGGATCCCCTCCTTATCCTGGATCTTGGCCTTGACATTGTCAATGGTGTCACTTGCCTCAACGTCGAGGGTGATGGTCTTACCCGTCAAGGTTTTGACGAAGATCTGCATGCCACCTCGCAAGCGCAAGACCAAGTGGAGGGTGGACTCCTTCTGGATGTTGTAATCCGAAAGGGTGCGGCCATCCTCCAGCTGCTTGCCTGCAAAGATCAGGCGCTGCTGATCAGGTGGGATCCCCTCCTTATCCTGGATCTTGGCCTTGACATTGTCAATGGTGTCACTTGCCTCAACGTCGAGGGTGATGGTCTTGCCCGTCAAAGTCTTCACAAAGATCTGCATGCCACCTCGCAAGCGCAAGACCAAGTGAGGGTGGACTCCTTCTGGATGTTGTAATCCGAAAGGGTGCGGCCATCCTCCAGCTGCTTGCCAGCAAAGATCAGGCGCTGCTGATCAGGTGGGATCCCCTCCTTATCCTGGATCTTGGCCTTGACATTGTCAATGGTGTCACTTGCCTCAACGTCGAGGGTGATGGTCTTGCCGGTCAGGGTCTTCACAAAGATCTGCATGCCACCTCGCAAGCGCAAGACCAAGTGGAGGGTGGACTCCTTCTGGATGTTGTAATCCGAAAGGGTGCGGCCATCCTCCAGCTGCTTGCCTGCAAAGATCAGGCGCTGCTGATCAGGTGGGATCCCCTCCTTATCCTGGATCTTGGCCTTGACATTGTCAATGGTGTCACTTGCCTCAACGTCGAGGGTGATGGTCTTGCCCGTCAAGGTCTTCACGAAGATCTGCATGTTTCGTTTATCTGCGAATTTCTATCCTTGAAACTAATCCCTCGCGAGGATGGATGTGTGTGTGTGTGCCTTGGTTGGAGCCGAAACATCAAGGGAGGTCTCTGCCAAAAGGACCAAGATGTGGATTTTTTTGTCCTGAGTCCTGACCAGTATGATGTGCATGTTCCATCATCATTCCAGCAATAACTGCATGGATCTGCATGGACAAAAATCA